TTGCAAAGTCAGTGTCAAGAATATTAGGCACAGATTGTGTTGCACTGAAGAGAGAGAAAAGCTCCTCCAAAGTCTACAGAGCAAATCTGACAGACCACTCTGTACTATATGAGTCACAGAATTGTCACCAAGGGGCTGATGGTTATCCACCCTCCTTCAGAGCCTTAATGAAAGGATTGGCTGAATGTATTAGAGAAAGTGAGATGAACATGCATACACAAGGAACATATTGCAATACCAAAGACAGAACTGAAAACATGTAAATTTCTTCAGCATGCTAAGAATGCTGTGGAACATCACCTTAAGCAGTTCCATCTTCCCATGGAAGGGCTGGAAAAACCATGAAAATCCATGAAAATTTAGCCATTCATTTAAGTGGAAATCAAACTATGTCTCATAACAAGAACAGTGTGACAGAAGACAAAATGCCATAGACTGACAAAGCAACCTTCTTGTCTACATCTGAAGACCCATGGTTCTTTACAGGAACCAAATCTGACTTACTCAATACTGGAGATCCCAAATGGTAAAAATGCATAAAATTGAATGACATAGGCATGTAAATTACACATTATATGAATGATATTTGCAGTAGATCAGAACAGAGAAGTTATCATGGTAGGCATATACAAGATTAAAACATAAGGTCACATCAGACAGTTGTTATCCAATGAAGGTACAAGTTGTTCATATTTGGACTGGTTTTTTTATTGATGTATTCAGAGGAATAATTGGCACCACCTGTGGTAACTGGCATGTGGACACGCAAGGCAAATTTCCACATGTTAAAAGCACTCTAAAGTGCAAAACTGGGTATTCAGGAAGCAGTCCTATAATGATGTACATTTCAAACAAAACAAAAACGATATAGGAAAAATGGCAGCACTGGCCCAAAGACCCCGTGGTACAATGGAAATCATATTGCAGCATTCTGGGCTGCTATTGCAGGATTCTAAAGGGTCTTAATTCCAAGCCACATGTTTGGGAAATGCTATAAGTTGAGTGGCATAGTACCAATGTTATTTGCCCCTACATATGACTGCCATAATTATTTGCATATTTTAGAATTCGGGGATGTAGTGTTAAAGGGCAATGCATGTTTTACATTGCAAATATTGCATCAGTGCTAACGAGAGAAAATATAAGACTGTCACAGGACCTGCGTGTGTGTGTGCCTGCATTTTTAGCAATGGAAATCTGGCTTGATGGGATGAACAACACTCTCTCCCTGAAAGAATGCGAAATATTTTGTATACTGAAGGTGGATTCCACAGTAATTACAGGGCCTCAGACAATTTGAAGATAAGGTAAGAATTACCATAAAATCTCATAAACTGTATTTCATCTGACAGCAGTTATTTCCACTGGGGGAATAAAGATAATTGTGGGGGTATTCCATTTGCCCGCGTGGCTCTTTTTCACTCCTGGCCCCAATTCATGAAAACAAAAATTCCATCAACCAGCCATGTTCTCTTACCACCAGTGATATGCATACTTTTTGCTAGATTTCAGAAAATTGAAAATTGCAGAAAATTGAAAATTGTAGATCCCATTATGGGCAGTGTTATTGTAAATTTAAAGAGTGCTGATACAGGGATATATTTCTCTGGTAAATATTCATCCACTCACCAGAGGGTATGGTAGTAAGCCTGCAATGCCTAGAATTCTGAGACGTTGAATGAAATTACACAAAAATGAAGACTATAAATAAATAATAAGAGCACACGAAACATCAAATGGAGGTTGGTTTTCATTTTGCTGGGAGAATGGAAGTGGTACCTGAGAACTATATTCACTCAACAGGTTAGCACAAGCACCATTCAGCAAGTGCTAACTTTAAAAGTTGTTGAGCTTTTTGGGGGGCAAAGTTATTGAGCTGTTTTTGAGATTTTTTTTTTAAGGAAATTCATAAAAAAGACACTTCCAACATGGGTTGCCATATGCCCGTGTTTTCCTGGGCATTTTTGCCGAATTTCAGAAATTCCGCCCAGATGCTATTTCCGGCGGATGAATCCCAGCTATGTCTAGGAAATTCTGGATGTACGGCAGCCCAAATATGTTGTGTGACATCCTGCCAGATGCTGAGGAGGCTATTACCACATTCTGCACCCCATCAGAAAGCTGGAGAAGCAGGAAGTGGTAAGAACCCACACCCCTTGTTCTTAGCTGTACATTGCCAAGTAGTCACAGATACACCGTGATAAAATGTCACTCCACTAAGTGGATCACTATATTTCACCCATATGAAGTTTGTAATCTGTCAGGTCTAGAATTTCCTCCACAAAAGCCTAGGAAATTCATTTATAAAGTGAAGATGGTATTGAATATCTTGAGTGGTAAAGTCTCCAGTAACATAAAAATAAGAGACTGTGGGCTTGTCCACATCTGAGCATTATTTAGTTGTTAATCCACTTTCCCCGCATCTAAATTAGACCGGAGTAATTGCCAGCCACACAAATTTGAATTTGAATATGAAGAGCAGTGTTGGTCTTTCCTGTTCACACCAGTAGGTGTTCCTTTTTGCATTTCTCCCGGCCTTCTGATTTCTTGATTCTAATATGTCAGTTGAGTACTGACAGGGCATTCATGTAGATAACTATGATGCACCTTGTTTTTTGTTTTTAAAAAATCACAGCCCAGGAAATTTGCAAAAGTATAGTTAGGCAACTGTAAATTCACTGCTCATGCTTCCAAAGTTTTCTGAGGGATAATAATAATAATAATAATAATAATAATAATAATAATAATAGGCTATGCTTTTCCATTGAGAATTTTGCCTGGGGAATAAATGAAAGCAACTGTAATTTCTTAGTACAATTTTCAGATTGCTGTGCGGTATCTTTTGTAGATATTTTTAATGTGTTTTGCTTGTACAGTTTTATGGTTTTGTGCAAATGTGAAGGATCAAAAGATAGATAGATGATAGACAGATAGATAATAGCTAGATGATAGATAGATGATAGATTGATAGATAGATAATAGATAGATTGATAGATAGATGATAGATTGGCTTCCTCTTCCAGTCAGGGGCAAGCCAGAAATAGCGGAGCACAGCAGAAAAAGAAATGAATGTTTTGAAGAAGCATGGAAATGAGAGTAGATAGTGATGAATGATCCACTCAAAGACACTGGAACAAAATAGTCTGCACCCTGAGTGGAGTGCTTTGCAGCCTGATTTCCCACAATTTATTGGATTATCCCCATTTTGGGTAAACTGAGAATTTTCTGAGGGAAAGCGTTGAGATTAGTGTTGAGATTCATCATGTGGACTACGTAATTTAAACAGGAGTGGCAAAAGCTGCAAACACACAGTGTGGACATGCCCTGCAACACATACTGCATCTTGTAAGGTTTCATGTAAATTGCAGCACAAATAAGCTGATTTAGCCTTCTGGTATTCCAAAGAGCAAAGGAAATGGCTTCAAAGAAAATCACAGCCCTGTTCTGCAGGGAAGCTTTACTGTAGGTGCCTTTTCATAGCCTTAACCTGACTTGACAGAATCAATCCACACTGTGGTAAGACAAAGCAAGCTCTTTTTCAGTATTTAGGTCAGGGCATTTTTACGATATGTGGAATGGTGCAGAAGACAATGCTGGCTACTCAGCATCTTGTATGGGAGATACAACTCTTTGTGGTGCAGCAAGAATTTTGGGACCAAATTCAGGTTTAACGTTGGGAAGTAAATTCTATCCTGGTGCTAAGAGACAAATGAGTGTGACACATAGAAAAGTAACGATAGCAAGCAGATAGAAAAGCACAGGATTTTGTTTCCAAACTGAGTGGTACAAACTGTGCTCAGCAAAGTACCTCAACCATTCAGTACCGATCTGCACTCATCATATTGCAAAAGGGACATAATATAATGGACAAGATGCAGAAAATGGATAGAGCTTCTATCACTGTAAGTGACAGACCACAGCAAGCTGTTCCTTACTGACAGGATCAATTATGGAAGGCAAGCTTCTCTGAAGGACCTGTTTCTTACCGCTACTGATTGTGCTGAGTGCTATTCCTTTGTGGTGGAGGAAAGTGACACCTATGGAACCCTTGTCTCATTTTATGCTCTGTGGTGATCTAAGATTAATTCTACCGGTGTAGAATAGAACATCCCTATTTTCTGAGGAATATTGGGGGGTATGAAAGTATTGCTAGTAATCAGCCATGGGCTTGGAGCATTGAATGCTGGAAAATGTAGTGTGAGAGGGCGAGAAGCAGAGCTAGAGGAGGACTGACTCTGAACCTAGGTTGTAATCAGAACTGTACAGCATCTCTTATGTAAGTTTTAGTTTAGCAATACAGTGGTACCTCGGGTTACATACACTTCAGGTTACAGACTCCACTAACCCAGAAATATTACCTCTGGTTAAGAACTTTGCTTCAGGATGAGAACAGAAATCGTGCTCCGGCAACACGGCAGCAGCAGGAGGCCCCATTAGCTAAAGTGGTGCTTCAGGTTAAGAACAGTTTCAGGTTAAGCACGGACCTCTGGAACAAATTAAGTACTTAACCCGAGGTACCACTGTAAAGCATGTTAGAATGTAACCTTCAATGCATCTGTTTTCTGACAAGCTGTTACAAGGGATCATGGACACATCTGAGAAACAGAGCTTATGAGTCTTTGGCTGAGAAAAAATGCACAGACAAACTTTGCTTTGCCATGGGGTCTGAGTAAAAGTCGAATCCAGTGGAATTAAAATGGATCCTCTTGAATTTGCATGTTTTTATACCCTCCAGTCCCCTAAACCACCATCAAGTTAAAGCCAACCTTGGTAGACTGCACAATAAAGAAGACAGATCCAATATGATAAAAAATATGGATCCAAGGCATGAATCCTCATTATTTGTAATAATAACAAAACCACCAAGAAGTCACAAAACACACCTAAGGTCACAGAGGTGACCTATGACATGACTGGTGGTTTGGATGGGATCCAGGCCTCACATCCATGCTTTGCACCATGGCAGTAATTGAAAGTGCAAGATCTGTGGTTCTTAATACTTCCTCTTTCATTTCTATGTGCTTTTCCAGGTAGATGGGAGGTCACTAATGCATAAGGAGGATCTTAAAACCTTCATGGGCACCAGGGGAAGTTGTATGGGTAACCCTAGCCACATAGCTTCATGCTTTCAAGGTGTTGCTGGGGCAAACTCAATTGATATAAGACTAACATTGTGGCGTGGATCCACTGTAGGTGAGAATGTTGTTCATCCCTTCATTACTGATTTTCTTGATTGTATGAATGTCTGGTAGCCAGTACTGTGCCTTTACAAGGCACTAACAGGAGGACAGTTCTGAGCAGGTAGGGGTGATAAATGTGCATGAATGTTAGACATGATGGCATGGCAATGAACCAATGGGTGCTCTTGCAGCATTCCAGCATTTAAAAAATCAGAGACTTTGCTTTATGTCTGTATGAAGCCCCCGTTCTGAATGCTAAGCAATGCATAGCATAATCTTACGTTGGCCACTGTTATTAGGAGCAAACAACCACAAGCAAATTTGATGCTTGCCGTATTTATATTTCTAAATGTATTTAAATTCTGCAGGTTAACAGGTGGAAGATAAGTCCTTGCTTTTTCTCCCATCTCTCTAAGGGAGAAGAGGCATAAGGTGGTAAAATGGAAGAGAAGGTCAGTGCAGGCTTCTGGGAACAAAGCTGAGGTTCTCCGCACGCTATATAACAAACCAGGCTCTACTGTTGCCTTCAGCACAGGGATGACATCCGCCCTCAATGCACGTTGCCAGTCATCAGAACGTCTCCAAACACAAACCAAGGATTCTAAGCAGGGATTTCCACAAGCAGGTGCTACATCCAACAAGAAACCTTGCAAAATCAAGTGAGAGTTATTTGTCACCTGGAAGATAAATGCTGCATTAAAAGGCAGGCCTTGATGATGAACGTAAGCCTAGCCTCAACAGCAAGATATGTACTGGTCATGTATGGGTGAGATAATAAAGGGTACATCCTAGGTTTCATCGTTTTGGTTCATGCGGCCAACTGGGAAAACACAACATGATGGGAAAACAAATTGTTTAGGAGGATTTCACTTGTACAAGTGAGTGGAGGCAGAAACTCTTCGGAAGCTGAGGTTTGATTAACAGGCATTTGCTTCCTCTCTGACACAGCTATTTCTTTGTCGGAGGACCTTTCCGCCCCATTCCAGTGGCCGAAGATACATTAAACGGTTAGTGAAATGAGTGTTGCGTCCTTGTCAAGTTCTTCACTTGATGTAACAGCCATCCTCCCTTTGCGGAAGGACCCTGACGACAAATAAGGCTACAGCATTGTTAGGAATCCTCAAGAGCGCTGTCAGGCATTCTCACTAGATGGATCACCCATGCTATACTGCAGGCAGCAGTAGATTAACATTCCAACCACGTCTATCCCATTGTCAGTTTCAACCCATTATGAAACAAAAACAGAGTATGTTTCCCCCCTTTTGTTCACATTGCAGCTGTCATTGTTCCTGAGTTTAAAATCAGAGAGAGAGAGAGAGAAAGCGTCCCTGTATTAAGAAAGCCAGACTTTCCACATCAACTGTTTTATTGTCACTGTCCCCTTAAGAGTCCTGGATACGTTTCTTCTGCTCTGTCCCCTTTATTGTCGATGACTTTCATGGGAAGTTGGTGTCCGTGTTTAAAATAACCCCCCTGCACAGCAGGGATAGATTGTTCATAGTAACTTTGGTTCCTTGCCTGGCATACCTTTACTCAATCGACTGAATGTGGTTTGCTTGCTGATTCTTCACCATAAAAAATAAAATAAAAATCCTAGTGATATATGCTGATGGCATATTTGTCTCCCTCCTTATAGAATGTTATTAAGTGCAGCATATCTTGTAGCTTTAGACAGGGAACTGTCAAGTAACAAATCTTGAAGTAATGGCTTAAAACTACATGGTGGGTGTGGTCTCTCGGTGACAGAGTGTTGCTTTGTTTTGCAATGGTTGTAAACAGTGTTCTCTTCTTCGTGTGTTTGGAAGCATCTGCCCTTTGAGGACTTTTCTGTATAGTCAATCACTCTAGAAAGCAAGAGAAAAGCACGTCTGGTAAAAGGGCACCATTCAAATGACCTCCCTAATTAAAGAGTAGTACCCACTTCCAGTCTCTCTGCTCTCCCCTCTCCTTCCATCTCCTCCCTCTTCTAAGCATCTCTGGACCATTTACATGGCTCTAAGGTAATGCCCAGTTAGGCCCTCTCTTGCCCAGCTGGCAGCAATCATGGTGCTGGCTGGTAAGCAAACAGCACCCACGTGTGATGTCATCATAGTGGGCGATGACACTTGTGACCTTCCTGGCTCATCTCCCACACCAGTTTGGAGAGAGTGGGGCATAGTGGCGAGTGCTGGCAGCTTGCTACAACCTATACAAATCAAAGTAAAATGTCAACTGTTAATAAGGAGAGCAACCAGATATGTGTCTTCCTTTATATTTATTTAGAAGAGACCAATCTTTAAATTTAGAATTTGGGGGTATTTTTTCTACTTTGATAGTGTCTTCAAAGACAGTTCAGTCTAGGTGAGTAGCTATTAGTTTATTATACTCTAAAGACATAAAGAGAAGTCAAACCATGAAATCTTTTCCTGTTGTTGTTGTTCTGCATCTTAAGCTAGTCACTCCAAATGATGACTTACGGTTCAGACGCTATATTACCAAAAGCTGGTGCTATGGATAATAATGAGGGAAGGATTGCTGGACAGAGGACAAAGGTTATAACCAAACAATAATATATTCTGGACAAAGGCAACATTCCACATTTCCTTAGGGTCACCACACATTACAGCAACCATCTAATGTAAAGTCTGAGTGCAATAAATGTGTTTACAAACACATACAACAGAAAGGTCCACTCAGGGAGCTGAGGTTGGCTGCAACTTCCTGTGGAAAACTCAAGTTGGCCTCTGCATAATGTATGAAATGGCCCTTTGTAGAAGGTCTGAAACACACTTGATTGATCTTGTTTCTGGATCAACATTGGTTTAGATATTCAGTTGTGCTGTTTTGGATAAGAACCTAGAAAGAGGTATGTGTGTGGCTTAGTATTTTAAGGGAAAACAAAGAAAGCAGTCTTACCTTTCAAGAGGCACATTTGACATCAAGGCCAAAGAATAAAGGCAAGAGAGAAGAACAAGAACAGAAAAAGAAACTGCAGAGGAAGAGGGAAAGAACACATTATTTTTCGGGGATATAATATTTATTTTCACTATGATGTATGTGATAAGCATCTAACTCCATTAGACATGTGATTATAATGATTATACTTCCAGTAAACCTTTTCTCCTGGAAGTGATACATCACTTAGACTATAGGGTTGCATCTATTTTGTTAACATTTAACTGGCACAAATCATTAGTAAAGGCCTCGTGCTTAGTAGCTTGGCAGGTTTCCATGGAAATCAGCCTGTTAGGCTGACTTTGAATAGTTGGGGATTTATGATCTGATAAAGAGGTGTGATCTCAGATGCACATGTAGGAATCAAAATTCATGTCACTGAAAGGACCCAATTTGTGGGCACAAGAATGGGTGTTGCTGTGCAATTTTTATTTCCTTGGGTGCACTGGAGCTCCCATGTCTTGATCACAACACAGGGTTAGAGTGGAAGACTGGACAGCCTGTATAAATCTGTACTAGCAAAATGATAGAATGATACATTTTGGTCATGCAAAAATAGTAAATAGGGAAAGCCTTTGTATTATGAACATCAACTACTCATGCTTAACCAAGATGGAAAATCTTTTGGGTTGATTCTTTTCCCTGAAACGATTTCCAGCATGATGGCATAGGTGGATTAGTGCCAATATTTTGCTTTGATTTTCACACAGAGATTAAAGGCTGGATGGCTTCTTCAGTTAAAATCCATTTGCTGCTGTGAAGTGCACTACCAGCTGTCTGATTCATTAACAGGAAGAAAAAAATCCAATGACTGACTTAAAAACAAAAACTGCTCTTGATCAGCCATTACACAAATATGGGCAAATCTGCAAGTCTGAATCACAACGAATATCTCAGGCCAGTGTTTCTTTCCCTTTGTAAATTTTAAAATAGGATAGCAGTAAATAGACACTAGAGCTGAGCTGAAAGTTATTTAAAGAACATTTTTTTCACTCATCCTGGAGGGTTGGAAGGTATCCTGAAATTTATTTCTCCTTCCATAGTCCTCTATCACTTTTCTCCAGTGTTGGAGTGATTATGTGCTTGTTGCTGCAAAGCACAATTATTCTTCAAAGTTCTTTTCTACCTAGAAGATGCCAAAGTCAGGGTTTTTTTGCTCCTGCCCTCATTCTGATGGTGTCAGCCTGAAGCCAAATCAAAGTAAGGGCAGGTACAGAAAGTTTTCAGCCTTTACTCTGATGTCTTCTAGGTGGGGAGGAAGCAAAATAGCATCCAGTAACAATGGGGAGCAAGAACCATGCTTGCTGGGTAGTGGGGCAAATTCTTTACTCCTGTTCACATGTTCATTTCAAATATCCACAATGAGTCATGGGGGCACTGAAGTGAAGGAGGGAGTATTTTGGCTCAGCTCTAACAGAAACAGCTGATTTCCAATAGAAAGGCAGTGGTTTACAGAAAAGCCTCTGCAAAATTTAATCTGTAGAGTGAAAAATGCAAAGCAATGGAACAATTATTTCACACCAATTAGACTTAATAAACCTGAAAGGAATGCATAAAATATTAAACTATCTAGACTTCTACACATTTTAAAATATGTAAATAACCAACCTTTTCTTCTAAATCCTTGATCTGTCTCTTCTGGATGTCAGTTTTATCTTCTAAATCTCTGATCCTCTAGAAATAAAATGCATACATAAAAAGAGAAAGAAACTTTAGGTTTGCTGAATTTTGAGAGAGAAAATACCATTTAAGATTTCTAAATTAAGACCTTGTATTGATGGTGAGCAGTTAATGTGCACTCTACTTACAGTGCAATCTGATATGTGTCTACTCAGAAATAAGTCCTATTGAGTTAAATGGAGCTTGCTTCCAAGTAAGTGAATATACGATCACAGACTCAAAATGTCAAAAATAAGTTTGGGTTTCCTTAATTTCTGAAAGTGAGTAAAGCATGTACTTATTTACCACTTGGAGTTCCTCCGGACAACCTGTTTATTGGAGTTTCATCCTAATTTGCTTGTGGGATGTTTATTTTGTAAATCATTGGTTCATTTCCCACTTTTCAATGCATTACTTTCCTAACTGCAAAAAATCCATTTCTTTTTTTAAGTGCATCTGTTGCACTAGGGTGACAGTGTGCTTTTATTCTTTAATTGTGTGAACCTAAATTTCCTGGTATGATTCCATCCTGTGAAATACTGCCAGTATGGAGGTGCCTTATGTGATGCAAAATCCACAGGTCTACCTGATTTGTTGCTGGTGTTTTACAGGGCAAATGCATTGACCATGAAACAGTGGATAACAATGCCAATTTTTGCAAGATAAAACCTAATAGTATTTCTTCTGTCATCTGAATCTCACCTGATGTGCCTGCTGAAGCAACTCCATTCTCTCCTGCAAGATCTGGCAATCATATTCTCTGCTTTTTCTCAGCATCTGCCGTCTTAATTTTTCGACAGCGGTCCTAAGTTCCTCCTGCTGCTTCTCACTGAGCAGTTCTCCAAACTTGATCACTGTTTCTTGCTGCAAAGCGTTGTACAAAGTGGCTTCAAGCTCCTGGATTCTCTAAGCAATGGAAGAGGAAAAGGTGTATAACCTCACACTAAACCACTTGGGTAGGTATAATCCTGAGTTTTCTATTCATGCATATATTTTAAAACTATGATGTAGAAGAACAAGGTGGCTAGACTGCAGGAGTCAAGATGAAAACAGAAAGTTTGTGATAGTTTTTTGTCTCTCTCTCTCTCGGTGTGTGTCTACACATATGTGTATATATAGTGTTTTAATTAGTCGCTAGAATTTGGTAAAGCCACTTCCGAACTCGAGAGGAGGTGGAGTTGCGGGCTTCACGCCCTCTCCACGTGTGCGGGGACTGGCTCTCAGCCTCCACGTGATTGAGGGAATCCCTGGCCGCGTCATCCCTAGGCTAGCCGATTGGCGTGGCTTGTGCTATATTACACTGGCGCGGCTGGGGATCTCCCTCTTTTGCCGCCTCAGCTCTTCTGGTTTCCTACTCTCCAGCCCTTTATGTTTTTCCTTTTGACCTTGCTATGGACCTTGGTTGGTCACCATTAAGGGGCCTGGTAGGAATTTTTTCCACTTGGCAAATTGGCACCAGCCACTTGGTTTTTCGCCTACCTCGTAGCAAATCGTCACAACTTCCTCGGCATTGGCGGTTAGGCATTGGTATGGGTATTGTTATGTAGATGAAGGGGGGAGGAAGCGCCATCACCTCCCCCACATATCGAAGGGTAGTCCGGTAAAGGATTCCAGGGGGCATGGCCCTGTCTGAAGCCTATGGAGGTGAGGGCCTAAGACACGCCCCCGAGCGGTGACCCCAGGGGAGTTCCTAGTTGATGTGCATCAGCAGGTCTCCCCCTACTGGTGGTTAAGCCTTCCCGGACTTCAAGCAAACAGGCTGACGCTGGATAGTCGGTTAGGACCAATGCCTAAGCCAATACCACTCATCACCTGTAACCAATAAAGTTGTGGCCATTTTTAGCCCATTAACCTAAATAATTGTGTCATGTGTCTTTATTTCCACTGGGGGGAGGTGGGAACTCGCCACGCAAATGATGACAATTCTACATGAAGGTTTAAAATCAACTACCTGCCTACCCACTTAGATGTACTGTAGTGAATGCTTACAGTCACATTTAGATTTTCCCATTCACTTCAACAGCAGATGTAACCTTGCACACAGAGAACAATATGCACCCTTTTCTGCCATTATGCCCACGGAAGCTCCATGTAGGCAATGGAGCTTTCGCATATGCAAGATACCCATAGCTCAGGCTGATTTCTTTCCCTCCCACCCCCACAACAGGGAATATGTTCTAGCTTCTAAAAACCCAAAACACAGACACAATTCCAACTGCTGACGTGAGAATGTACCCCCAAATACATTGAGGTGCATGTAATCAGTGTTCTGAGATCTATGTGCTGGTGTTCATTCCAGCTCTTGCTTTCAACTTACCATATAGGCCTGGTCAAGAGCTTGTTTCCTGTAGTCCAGTTCTTCCTCTAGATAACCTTTTATTTTACAGAACTGCTCCTACAATGAATTATGATTTTGGAAAAAAACAAACAAAACCACAAGTTAATTATTCAAGAAGCTGTAGCAACGGACATATTTGATGCTCAGAATCATTCAGGAAATAAATAATAAAATATGTGGGACAAAGATTGCAAGAATTACAAGAAGGTCTAGTTTATGTTTTTCCCCCTACCATGTCACTCTCCAGCTCCATCATCTTCTGGTGCAGAGCTGCCTCAGCCCCTTCAATCTGCTGTATCCACTAGAAAAAGGAGCAAGGCCAAAAAGTTATTTGCATCTTTTTTTCATTACTCTTGTCAAAACAAGAAACAAAGGAAATAGGAGCCTTCTGAACGGCTTTCTCTTTCAGCAGCTGTAAAGGCAGTTAATGGCATTCTAACAGATAACAGCCCTGATTTTACTGACCTGTAATTCTATGCATTTGTTATCTATTAATCTTGACATTTCTATCCTATTTCCTTCCTCCCAAGGAAGCCCAGGGCAGCAAACAACAAAGCAGCAGACCATCACAATGAAATAATAGAATGAAACAGAACATTTAGAATGTTGGGTTTATGTGGTTTTGTATACTGGGTTGTGGCTCAACCTGTAACCCATAAGGATATAAGTTTTCATAACGTGGATAAATAAATATCTTACTTTAGTTGTTTGCCATTAATTTTTATAAAGTGTATGTGTGTGTGCTTAAGGCTCAAACCTTGTTGGACTCAGATCAGATCCATACCTCTTCCTTCCAAGCGTGGTAGGAGGCTGTGGCCGCCCAGTGTTTTTTAAAAAAAAGAAACCCCTAATCACAGACATTTTGTTCACATCTCAAGCACTGAAAACGTGGCCTAGGGTAACAGTGGGGAACCTCTATGGCCCTCCTGAAGTTGCTAGACTACACCTCCCATTAGCCCAGACCATTGGCCACGATGGCTGAAGTTGAAGGGAGCTGGAACCCAGCAATATGTAGAAGTCTACAAGTTACCCAACCCTGTCCAAGAGCCAAGTCCAGGCAAGTTCTATTTCTTAACACTTGTGCAAATCTTTCCAAGTCTGTTCTTGTGGATATTTCCATCTTCCATCTTCCCAAACCTAAGTCTTCTATGTTTGAGATATTTTTTCCTGGGTACCCCATGTTTGATGTTGCTCATCTTTTCCCATTCAAAGGGCTGAGTGGTTCTGCTTCTGCTCAGAGGTCATCAGTTTATCATTTACAGCACAGGCAGAATCAGTGCCAGGAAGCCGTGGCACAGCAGAAGAGCATCTGCTTTGTGTGCAGGTGGTCGCAGGTTCAATCCGTGCCAGGTAGGATTGGGAGAAAACCATGTCTGAAAAATGATGGAGGGCTGCTACCAGTCAAATATAGACAATACTGAGCTAGATGGATCAATGTTCTCAGTATACGGCTACTTCCTATGTATCCAATTGCGGACCTGTTCTCCATTTAAAGGGCAGTCTGTGTTAATGTAAATCATTAGTGTGTGCATCACTCTGGGTAGTAATCTCATCATTTCAAGGACAGACTCTGCTAGCTAAAGTGCACATTGCTCATTAATCTGTTGTTATTCACAGACTAGGAGCTTTCAGGCCAAGCAAATTGTCATTTATCTGAACAATGAAATGCTGGTTTTTACTCTTAACTGTAATGAACTCTTACTGGAACTAGAATGTTAAAGTGAGCAGTGCCTTGGGCAACTGAAAGGTAGTAAACAGTCGCAAAATAAAATGATTTGGCTTATATCCAAGAACCAGGCCAACCTGAACAACAGGATTGATGAATGAAATTATTTTAAAAACAAACAAGCAGGAACAAACTAATGTTTCCTTTTGTGGCGAATGCACCTGAATCATATTTTACTCTTATCTATTCTTTCATATGAGAAGACAACATACTTTTTGACAGACAGATAATATTTCAGTCTCCCCCCCTCATTCTGTGCTACATCGCTTTCCAATTAATAGCTTAAATTCATGTACACTTAAAGACACCAAGTGCCCCAAAAGTACCTTTTCTGCCAGGGACAACACGGTGCTAGCTTGAATTATGGCCACTTGCTCTTCATTTCTTAAATTCTGTAAATTTCAAAAGGCAAAAGATAAAACTGAGAAAAGCAGCAGTCATTTGCTAAATAGGTACTCTCTCTCTCTCTTTGAGGGAGAGAATTCAGTTTCAGTTTCTCCTATAATCCAATACATCTTAGTATCTTAGTATTCCCATGCCCCAATGGACTTTCGCCATTCACTTAAGTGGAGGAAGCAGTCTTGTGTACAGGCAATGCGATGCACTGTGCAAAATCACATTCTCTCTTCGAATGAATGGGGAAACATGCCTGCATGGATATTACAGTCTGCAGTGAGTGCAGAACTCTGTATCAGAGACAAAACCTTTCTTATCCACAAAAGGCCAGTCTTTGTAACTGACAGAAATATCTCCAAAATGCACAATTCGGTGATACCTTTCTTGAAAACCAAACATTTCAAAGTTTTCTTCCCTGTTTATCTATTTTCTTTGTAAAAAAACCAAACCCCTTAATAAAAACTAATTTGAAAAAAAGAGATTACGAACACAGTTCTATTGCTTTCCTCTTTGATATAATCAGGTTGCTACATTACTCTGCAGCCTTACAAGTTTCCCTTGTGGTGCTGTACATAACATGAACTTGTCAGGTATGCATATCACTTACCCCATTGTCGCCCAAGATGTCTAACTGTTTTATAAGATCTGGAATGCTAACATCCTGTTAAAAAAATAAAAAACACTTATTAAGAACAGAAGGATCAAGGCTTTTCACAGTATAAGCAACAAAACTAGAGTGCTTAAAATCATATCCAGCTCTACTGTCTAACAGACTTCGTTCATAAAAGCGAAACTCAAGTGTTCAATTAACTTTGGGAAGAGCTCATCAGGGTTGGGCCACTGAAGTGCCCAACTTCCTTGAACTCAAAGGTCACGTGTCTTTGCATGTACATAGACTAATACACTGGATAATGGAGGGTCATGGATTAAATGTACAGACTCTATGCAAATGAGATCCTTGAATGTGCTTAAATTGGGATCACCATAATCCTAACTGCTTGTATCTTCATGTGTTTGTTTGTACCTTGATGAACAATTTAACAACTGAAATTAGTTCCAAAAGAAAGACAATAGGATCTTTCCTTTTTTATTGAATCCATGCTAACATACCTTGACACCTTCTTTCATGCAGTAGATCTGCAGAGCACTTACACCATCGGAGAATGGGTGGATTTGTAGATTAAACGGTGGAGACCTTCTTTCTCTTTCCTTCAAGTAAAATGTAAGAATTATGTAAGAATTAGAAGAGTTATGTACATTGAACAGATGAAAACTTTGCTTTTTTTACCCTGTTCAAGCAATTTGTTCTTCATCCTTTAAAATGAAGCGACAAATATACAGCTGAGCTATGGTGCATATGTCTGATATATGCTGTAGGTTTGTTTGTTTTAATGTATGTTTGTAAGCTGCTTTGAGTTTTTGTAAGAAAAGCGAACAGTAGGTTCAATAATAAACAACAGATAATTTTTTTTGAGTTAGCAGTATATAAATTTACTAAATAAAAAATAAAAATCACGAGAATGTTAATCTGAAATGAAATATTTGGGTTACCAAACGCCAGTAAGAATGTTCTCAAAAAATATGCACTGACTTTATTTATTTATCTGTTCTTACAATATTTAAATTTATTAAATATTATTCATTAGATATTATACAAAGCAGGGGGAACCGATCTGCTATTAATGGTATTGTCAACATACATCAAAGAAGACTATTCATATGGATGATTGTGACAGATCTGGAGCCTGTTATTTATTCTGGATTAGCTGAATTCATGCTTTGGTGAATTTCTCAGTGAGACACTGTACTGGGGAACTCCTGAAATAGCAACACCGAGCTTGAATGTGGCACACTGTTTGTACCTGAAGATGCTTGGTGGTGAACTCATCTAATTATTTCTGTTGTTCTTTAACATAAGGACATACAAAGAGCTCTGCTTGTATCAGGTCAATACTAGTTCAGCATTCTGTTCTCACAGTGGCTGACCAGATGCCTATGAGATGCCTGCAAGGAGCATATGAGCATAACAGCACTCTCCCCAATTGTGCTTCCCAGCAACTATTGTTCAGAGGGAGGGAAGGAAGGAAGGAAGGAAGGAAGGAAGGAAGGAAGGAAGGAACTGGGCAACTTTTATTCCACACTGCTCTTCCCAGTTCAGTTATCTTTGTTCATCAATGATCATTTATATTTTTGTGTGTATCTGCACTCTGTTTTTCTGTATAAAATATTCAAAGCAGCTAACAGCATCCAAACAGCAAACCACAAACACAAAGTTATAATCAAAAATCATTCTGCAATAAAGGGTCCACGGCGTCTTACTTCAAGCTCCAGATTACGAAACTCCAACAGCTCATTTTGATCTCTGGCATCCTGCAGCTCCTGTTGCAATCGATGGTTATCGATTTCCAGTTTTTCTATCTATAAGGCAAATGTAATTATATAATTAGTGGAGATTCCAGACCATGTTTGTTTAGAAGTTGGTTACCGCCACTCTCTCCCCTGCAATATTCCATCCCCTCCCCAAACTAAAGTTATCCAACTGTTTAAACTTTGTTGTCAGCCTGATAATGGAAAACATAACAAAGCCTATAAAGGTTACAGGTCATGTGCTATAAGCATAAATTGCCTTTAAAAATCGATGGAAATATATCAAAAGCAACCTGGCACATAAAACAAGATCTGCATGTGCTGATTTGGGACTTTTGAGGGATTCATTGTTCCTTGTGGCTAAGAGATACTTTTGAAGATTATTTTTGATGATTCATGCAGTTTTCTTGGATGACTTTTCAGTTTTCATGTTTTATATTATTAAATGCATTGTGTAAGGACTGGCCTTTGAGCAAAATTGGAAGAATTCTTAGTTGCTCTGAAAGTCCAGTTCTGAAGAAGGATGAAAAAAATTGCTGCTAAAAGTTACTTTTACTGTCTGATGTTGTTGGAGAGTCTCTTGTTTTATTTTTGATTACAACTACTGCCCTTTCTTTGTAATTAAGTTTCATCTTAATATCTTTTATTTGTTCTTTATTTCTTGCATTTTGGAATTAATATATTTTACTTTCTTCCTATGCAAACTTCAGCAACGTTTTGATATCTGTGCTTTTTTGCCTACCTGTTGCAAAGACTACTGTTTTCAGAATTTGCAGAGAAATGAAAAGCTTCTTATCATGCATTTGGAATCCTGGACAGAATAAGGTACAGTGGATCTAGTTTTCAGCACCAAATTCTACACACTGATGTACAATCTAGAAATTCAGGTTTTGAACATACCTTATCCAAAAGCTCTTGATTCCTCTTAATAAAAAGTTGCTTGTCTTCTACCCAATGGGAGTCCTGTTTGATGGGAAGAAATATTTTAACATTAAAAGAAGTGTGATATGCAATGAAGTATACACACTATTATGTGTATGGACACAAGTTTTTTGTTAAACGGAACTAATGCAGGTTGAAGAAAATTGTATTGCGTGAATTGGCCCTGAAAGGGCTGACATTTGCGGGAGATAGGAAACCACAGTCATGATAGTAATTAAAGCCACCATGACTAAGAAAATAATGGATGTTATTTTCACCATGCTGACTCAACTCTTATTCAGCTTTATATTGCATTTACTACCAAATTAATCCACAGTTGTGTTGTAGGAAGTGGGACATCGAAAGCAGCTACATTTAATGGGTGGCATATGTATGACCACCCAATTTGGCGTGTTGCTACAGTTTTCTGTGTATCTCTTATGGTCTTCACATGTCACCTTTCACATAGTGGAGACATGTATGCAAAGCATTTATTTCCCATACAACAAGCTATGCTTCTAAAAACTTTTTTATGCAAAAGCAAATCAATATTGCCTATGGGTGAAAACAGCTGCGGAAAACACCAGTTGAAAAGAATATACCTGTCCTCTCTGGGCCAGCGTTTTTTCCAGATCCTCTATTTTAGCTCTGTACCTCTGGACTTCAGCTTGGAGCTGCTCCTGTGCCTGTTACAAAGAATAGCCACAACATTATGTGACACAGCTATGAGTTTCTTACAGCATCTCTCCTCCTCCTCCTCTTCTGTTTTTAAGTTTGGGGTGTATGTTTGAGTTTTAGAGAAATGTCGCCCATGGCAAATGCTAACCTTGGCTTCTCGTTCTGCATCTATGATACCTCCTGTTTGCTCTTGCAGTAATGCATAGGCTCTCTGCAGGGCTTGATACTCCTTTGTCAATTGTCGAAATCGCAACTCTGATTCTTCAGCTGCTAAGCTCTGCCAGAGAAATAAATAAAGGAAGTCTCAGGTGGTTATAAACTGTAGGAATGTATATTGCAGAAACTTGGAAGGATTGTATAGGGTTTTTAACATGCTGAAAGCCACAGAATTTTTTGGTATTTTGTTTAGGAGTTTAATGAACATAAATTTAAAGAGTCACCATATCAAAATGCAACCATCAATAATATTTTTAAAGGGAAAAGGTTTGTTTGTTGCTTCCTGGAATTTTTTTTTTTTTAATTAAGGGAATACAATTTACATGTAACCTAAAGAGAGTATTGTTGTAGCTTATTTTCTCTCTTATATGTGGTTTCCTTTAAAAACCAAACACTCAGTTCTCTTTCAAAAAATGTGATGTAAACATACTTAAAATGTAGTTGTTTGCAGGGGTACACATACCCCTAAACATTTTGTGACTCTAAGTTTGGCCTCATTGAGAGGCAGTATTTCAATATGAGTAGGAACTAAACATTTTTTTAAGAAAAAAAGGACTGGTTATAACACACCAGATACAATATTTCAAAATAAATTTCCCCCACAATTTATACACCATGCTTATTTTGAGAGTTAAGCAATACTAGAACACTTGGTCAAATGGCACATGATGCTAAACAAATTTCTGAATGCCCTGACTGGAATTCTCTATTTAACTCACAGCATTTCCAAGGTGGGGCAAAACTATCAGGACTGCAACTTAGGGCAGGAAATGTGACCCCTTTCCCATGCTGTTTCCCAGCAGAAAAAGTCCCACCTTCAACTGCTATGAGGTTTTGCTGGTTTTGCTATTACTTACTTTGGGAGCAAATAGCAGCGGGAAGGAGGGGAGGATTTTCAGTGGGAAAATGGTACAGGAGAAGAGGTAAGTCTCTTGCCCCCCAGTCCTGATCCTGATCTCCTCCACACACACACTTTCCTGTTAGTCCTCTTTTTAAACAAACAAAAACAAACAAACAAAAACAAACAAACAAACAAAAACCAGAAGTATAATTGTGGAATTCAATGTGTTTTAAACATCACATGTAGTTTGGCCCATGTCAATTCAGCTGAATGGATTATTCAGCTGGAAAGAAGGTATTTTATCACGCTTTCAAAAAGCTGGGAATTTGTTTTCTGAAAACAAAATGACACACAAGGCAAAGAATTAGCAAGAAAAACATTTAAAAATGTGAAGAAATTCACTGAAATTTACAACATTTTTTCTCAACATGGTAGTCTTTGACAAGAAGCTAACCATTCCATGGTTTACCTTTCGTTTAGGAACACAGGAAGCTGCATTAAGCTGATTCACACCATTGGTTCATCAGGTTCAGTATTATCGACACTAACAGCCAAGAGCTTTCCTGGATTTCAGACAGGGAGTCTATTCCAGCCCAACTTGGAGATGCTGGGAATTGAATCTGGGACCTTGCGCCTGCAAAGCAGATGCTCTACCACTGAGCTTTGGCCCTTTCCAATTCAATTTTAAATGCATATTTTAAATAGGTCACAAGAGAGTCCTCTGTTTCACATAGTTTATTCAACCAATACTTATCAAACAACTACATTTTGCGCAGATTTGTGCCATGCCCCAGACTTCCTGTTTTTAAAATTCCGATCAGTCACTTAAAAATAAAAATAAAAATTGTTGCCACTGCAGAAGTCCCCACTGCTAGCCCTTCAGGGTGTATAGTATGAGGCAAAATATCTTACTTCATCCAGGTCTTCATCTGGAGTTGCTGGTGTTCTGTCTGTCCTGAATGAAGCCATGGATGAGGTTTCTGAGTCCATGGAGTCATCATCACCCCCATAAACTGTGTCCAATATATGCCTCTGAAGGGAGGAAAAACCTCACATGAAAAAATACTGCCAGCATTGTTCCATCACCACAGGCAATATTCAGTCATGCTTACAAGTCCAGTCATTACATTCTTGATTCAGGCACATGGGTGCAGCCTGGCTGGCTCTGCACTGACTATTTCATCATGTCCTGCTGAGCCACAAAATCTAGACAGCAAGCTGATGTGATTGCTGTGCTGGGGTCTGCACAACATGGCGTCACTGGTGGGCCCGTTTCTGTTTTAGAAGTATAGTGTACACCAGAATTCCTCCTTTCACTCCCCCCAGTGTCAGAGTAGTGGCAGTCATTGATGTAGACGCAGCTTCACAGTGTGCTGTACAAGTGAGAGAAATCTCACTGAAATCAGTGCATAGGGGCATCAGGATTCCAGTTGCTAGCAATGGGCCCTGCACAGGGAAGGCTGCTTGATCTAGTGCAGGCTTTCATGAATGGAAATGGGAGAGATGTGATTTTCACACACAGCCGCCCTTTCTCTTGCAGCCCCCTGTTGCACCACCTTCCACGCATTTCCAGAGAGTCCCCCCGACCTCCTTTACAGATTTGGGGAGGCAAAGGGGAATACAGAGGGAATCAGTGAAAATCGCTTGCCTCCCGCTTTTCTTCACACAAAATCACAGAACTGTAGCGTTGGAAGGGACCACAAGAGTTTTCTCGCCTAACCCCATGCAATTCAGGAATCACAGATGGATCAAAGAGCCTTCCTTGATCAGGAGGACGCTGCTGTATACAACCCAATGTTGTTGCACCCACTACTGATTTGTTATCAATGTATTTACATAGTTCCATCATTGTGCATGTTGCTTTACAGAGATATAAGAACTGAGGTCCCTGCCCTGAGGAGCCTCCATTCTAAAATCTGACACAGGGAAAACAGAAGAGGAAGGGAAGGGGTGTGGGTGAAACAGGGAAGCAATATATGGTTGCTTCAGTTACATGTCCTTATGCTCGGTTACAGGCTTAGTTGGAGCTAAGGCACAGGAACAATGCTAAAGTAACTGCTACTTTATGAAGTAAGCCATGTTAAATCCAGCCCCACCCCCCCAGCTTAGTGCCTTCAGACTTCCTAATTGAATTAGAAAACATCAAAGGAAAGATGAGTCATGCTGTAAGATGACAGAGCTGCTTAATCTGTGGGTTTGGATAGCAAAGTACTGGCATCAGCACTTAAAACTTGCCAAGTGAAGTGAAATTGTTTTGCAGACAGACTGATCAACGAGAATTTAAGGCACACTTGTATTATAATGTTTCTATTCCCACATAAAGGATAAGACATCACCGGGGTGGAAAGCATATGGGATCTGCATGGTCAACTGGCAGAAGATTTGCAGCTCCTCTCTCTCTAGGGAGATGAGGTCCAGGAGTGTACTGAGCTCAACGTGCAAGTTCACAAATCTCTGCTTTTTTCGCTCCTTTTTCTTCTTGGCTCCACATGCTCCACCCCTGGCAAGCACATCCTGGATTTGCTGCTATTTGTGCAAATTCATTGTCTCTATTGGCAAAACCAAGTCTGCGAGGCCTAGTGCCTTTCTCACCAAAATGCGTGCAACTCACGACATTGGACTCTGCAATAATGAAATACAACACAGCCTGTTTGTCCAAAACATTTCTATGCTTCGCTTACCTTGATTGGCTTGGAACTTCTTTTATGCTTCCTGCGACGAATAAGTTTCTCTCTATCCTATAGAAGAAGAGCAAGGAACAGTGAGTGCCAGGGTAGGGCAGGCTCAGGCTCAGGCAATATATTCCCCGCATTGAGAAGTCTCTGGCCCTCACCCAATGGAAGGTGGGATCTTGAGGAAATGAAGGCCGTGAGTTGAAAAAGGTTAGCCACCCCTGTCATCCCTAACCATTGGCCTTGCTGGCTGGGACTAGTAGAAGATGGAGTCCAGCAAAATCTGGAAAGTTTTCCACATCCCTGAATTAAAAACCAATCCTCACGATTATTCTGCCCGTGGTGGGTTCAGTTTGAAGCAGACTGCACCACCTGCACCACCATCCAGCCAACAGGGCACCCACTCATGAACGGAAGTCAAGGTGAAATCCATACACAACCCGTAACAGTGGGAGACTAATTCATGCCATATAAATGCCAATGTTGTGCTGATCTCTATTTGGACATCTGGCGGGCTTCTATTATAAGTTAATGTTTAACTTTTGATGCAGTAACTGATGGTCATTGTATCTATAAAGTGAACTGATGGTTGTTTCTGCTATTATTCATATTATTCATATATTATTTCTTTTTCTTTTTATTGTCTATAATTTATTTTCTTTGTTAAATTTGCAAATAAAAATATTATTGTTATTATTATTATTAATAAAGGATTGCTATGTCTGATCCTATGTGGTCTGGGAGCCTTGCTCCCGACTTCAGGATATGAGAAATGCTTCCATAATTATAGGCCATCTTGCTTTTTCATAATGATAGCTTTCAGGAGCTACTCCTCTACTTCTAATGTCTTGCAGAAGTGTCAACCTACCCGTGTCAATTCATCAATTATGTTCTGTTGTTCTATAACCTGAAGCTTCAAAAATTCAGTCTCTTGCTCTTCATTAGCTTGATCCAAGTCATTGAGAGATTTTAATTTCTTCAGAGGAGGATGTGATGTCATTTTTTCTTTCTGTGTAACAAACAAAACAAAAGCAACCCCTGACTATTAAAAACAAGTAATTTCTTTTAAATTTCTTTTAAACAACATTTTCTGCTTCAGCAACATTTTCTGCCAGGTGTCTACAATCTGACATCCAAACTGGCATGGCTATTTTTAGTATTTTGTTTTGTTTTGTTGCCTCCCGCCTTAAGTGTGAAATCATTATGGATGTCAGGGAGTTAGGCTGCAGTTTTTCCACTTTGTGCATTTCTAGGTAGACATAAATAGTTCCTGAAAAAACAAGAAGTATTCTCTTGCTATGGTCTTGAGGGTATGGCAGATATACTCCCTTATTTAGAAAACTGAACAAAACCTTGCTAGAGCTGAAAGTCCTGCACTATAGTATGAATGTTAGATTCTGTGATTTGGGCTGAGAACTTGAACACACTTATTTGGGAGTAAGTCCCTAAAATCAGTAGGACTTCTCAATATAAATACTTAGGATTTTATTTGTTGCTTAAAATTAAGGTAAAGGGACCCCTGACCATTAGGTCCAGTCGTGGCTGACTCTGGGGTTGTGGCGCTCATCTCACTTTATTGGCCAAGGGAGCCAGCGTACAGCTTCCGGGTCATGTGGCCAGCATGACTAAGCCACTTCTGGCGAACCAGAGCAGTGCACGGAAACGCCGTTTACCTTCCCGGAGGAGCGGTACCTATTTATCTACTTGTACTTTGACGTGCTTTCGAACTGCTAGGTTGGCAGGAGCAGGGACCGAGCAACTGGAGCTCACCCCATGGCGGGGATTCGAACCGCCAACCTTCTGATCAGCAAGTCCTAGGCTCTGTGGTTTAACCCACAGCGCCACCCTTGCTTAAAATTAATTTATGCTAAAAATAGCTTATGTTTGTAACTTTACTTCGTGGAGAATTAGACATCCAGTTCTGTTGCATAAAATCATTAAAATGAACTCCGACCCATTTACTTGCAGACTAGGAATCACTGAACATATCTTTTGATATATGCTTACAAAGTTTTTGTTTTTTCAAAAGAGAAAAGTGCAACGGAGAGCAGGTTGGGAAATGATTTGAAACAGATCTGTGTAAACTATTCCTTGTTCTTTTTACAATGCTCTTGCTTGTCAATTACTCTTGACACAAAGAAACTTCAGGAGAAGTTTCAAGGGAAGCAAATGGAGGCAGCTTACTTGGGAATGGTTCAAACATCTCTTCTGTGGGGTGTGGTTCAAGGGAAAGAATGCTGCCCCCCCGCCACTTCACAAAGGGATTATTGGTGTGTGTGTGTGTGTGTGTGTGTGCTGGATGTTCATGTGTACAAACGCAAGCATACTTTAAGTGAGAAATGGGAGGCTCACATGTAAATTTGCATGCATGGATGCTGCTATATGCAACCTGCTTAATGAGTATTAATCCTGATTTGCTTGCACAAAGTTTGCATTGGTCTTTATGACCATGTATCTGATGAACTGGACTGTAGTCCATGAAAAGCTTATGCCAGAATAAACTTCTTAGTCTGTGAAATGCAAGAAGTTTAGGCATGCAGGTTGCCGTGCTCAGTTTGTATGCACCAGGATGTTCAATTTGGATGTGTCAAATGTCACAATCTCATAGCTACAACCAGACAAAGGTTAGCATGAAATTGACTGGTTTTTAGCTATTGATAATTTCCCTGTTTCAAGTTTCTGAAATCTTCACACTCAATTTTGAAGAAGGAAAAGCCTTTATCAACTAACGAGATCAAGTGTCAGCTTTGCCTTTTGCGGTTAAATCCCAGAAATTCACTGCAAAGAAAACTTATGGGCAAAAACCTGCCAATATTACGATGCACAAGTAGAAAAAAAATATGTTCTGAACACTCAGTACAAACCATTTCTAAATTCTCCTTAGCGATTGCTTTGAGCTTCTCCTCCATGCGCTGCAGCGACTGCATGAGTTCATCATTTCTCTTGGAGAGGCACTTATTTCTTTCCAGAAGAGGTTTGCATTGTTTTTCAGCTTCCCGAACACGTTTCAACTGCAACAACAAGAATAACTCATAAGAGAAACCCCTTTCTTCATTTCTTCATTTACCGTATTTTTCGCTCTATAACACGCACCAGACCATAACACACACATAGTTTTTAGAGGAGGAAAACAAGAAAAAAAATATTCTAAACAAAATAGTGGATATATGATTTTTGTGGTTCATGCTGTGGCCACAGACATGTGATCTGACAGTGAGTTTGGAGTAGCCCAATGCAAAAATCCTGAGGATCCATGTGGATCCATGCATTGTAACCACGGAGGAGGCAAGGAAGGGGAGCCATGGATCCTGTGCTCACGACTGCAGCAGATCCCCCCCGCCACCCGCAGGCATTCGCTCCATAACACGCACAGACATTTCCCCTTACTTTCTAGGAGGAAAAAAGTGAGTGTTATGGTGCAAAAAATACAGTAGTTTCTCATTGCTGGTGTCTACTGTGCAAGGAAAGGAATGATAACATGGTAGTTCTAACTTTCATTAAAGCTGAAGGCAGAGGGTTTTTTGTGGGGGTGGGGTGGGAGATTAGAGCACTACAGGTGCTTTGAAAGAGGATGGGGAACCTCTGGTCCTCCAGATGTTGTTGGACACTAACTCCCATCAGTCCCCAGCCAGCTTGGCCAATAGTCAGGGATGATGGGAGTTGGAGTCCAACAACATCTGCAGGGAACTGCATTGGCTGCCACTGGAGTAAATCTTGGAGGAGAGATCTTCCCCACCTCTTTAGGGAATGTGCTTGTGTTTGCCCTCTGTTTTTCCTACTCATGTGTTGCTTATTCCTTCCATCTAAAAGTGATGAGGAGCCATGTAAATCATCCATTTGGTTTATGCTGTAACCCGCCCTTTGACCCTGGGATGAAGGGTGGTGTAGAAATTTAATAAACAAAATAATAAGTCATGGCCCCTTTTAGGTCCTTTTGTTCTTTGTGATACAGCTTTCAAGCACCCCCGCTGAAAAAACTGCTAAAAGCACCCACCAGTTCATTCCGCTCATCCACCAGCAGTGTGTTCCTGTCCTCAAGTTTCCGTATGGTAGCATTGAGCTCTGCCATCCTCTTCTGGTTTCTGCGTAGGTCCTGCAAAGGAAATGTTTAAATCATTTAATACAACAGCTGCATATAGGCAAACTGCTGTCAGTGCAGTGCCCAAGGCCAGACAAGTTATTTTGGCATCTGAGGAAGAAAATCCCACAGGCACCTTTCCCCTGAACCCCACATGGCAAATGAAATAAATAACAACTTGCTACCTTTTCATGACACCAAAGTTCAGCTGCCTGAGGCGACCACCTTAGTCTGTCTAATGCTACTGGACCTGGTAAGTCTATTCTACTGCATACCCATGGTTTAGGTTGGGCAACTGTAATGTGCTCTATGTGGGGCTGCCTTTGATGGTTGCTCAGAAACTGAGCTGATCCGAAATGCCAGGTTCTGTACATTTGCTGGATAAATGGACTGCAAGAGCTGCTTGGTTACCAGCTGGACTGTGTAGGGAAGTTTGGATTTGATATCCCGCTTTATCACTACCCGAAGGAGTCTCAAAGCGGCTAACATTCTCCTTTCCCTTCCTCCCCCACAACAAACACTCTGTGAGGTGAGTTGAGAGACTTCAGAGAAGTGTGACTGGCCCAAGGTTCTTTGGCAGAAATGATGGATCCCAAGGTAAGGTTACCAGATCTCCCCGTTTCCCAGGGACAGTCCCCAGATTTACATATCAGCCCCCTGACAAAATCCACCTATTTGGTAGGAAGTTGAAAAGTGTCCCTGGATTCATTGAAAAAAATCTGGTAACCTTAACCCAAAGAAGACAAAACATTTAGCCCCCCCCCCCCCCCCGAAACCATGTCTCTCACCCTCTGGGATTCAATTCATTTATGATTTCACATAAAATAAAGCATTCAAACAATGAAATAATTGTTGCATAGTATGCATGGGTCTCTCCTGAATCGGCCATGAATGCAATGGGCGTAGGTAGGCCACTATCTCTCAGCTTCGACACCCCCACTTTACAGAACTGTTGAACAGATTATTTTAAATTTGAACACTTCCATGTACTACAAAAATGCTAAGCTTTAACTTCCATAACCATTTTTGCAAATTGTGCTAAATTGAGCGTATTGAAGTGCAGTCTTACGCCAGCCACAAGAGGGCACGTTTCATGCACCACAAATGGATGCTTCCTCGTGGAAATGATGCAATAAGTGGGCAAAGTGCATCCAGTCAAAGCCCAAATGTTCCCCTTTCTTACAGGACTGCTGCAGTGTTCAGAGCCATCTCCTGCTCTGCCTGGGATCTCTCTTTTGGGACTGCTCATGTTACATTCGGCCTCCTTTACTAAGAAGAGCTGTTCGTCCAAAGCCTCCTTCTGCAGTTGAAGCTTCTGAACGTATCCAGTCAGGGTCTCCAGCTCTTTCTCCAAGGAGAAGATGGTTCTGTCTTTTGCTTTGATCTCATCCATCTGAATTAAGACAGGGGAGGACAGTGTTATTCCACAAGCCAGAGCAGTGAGCCAACGTACTTTCTACACATTCACGAAGGCAGTTTACAGAATACAGAAGCTCAACTTGTTTACATTCAAACAGGCCTTTCAATCTACTAACAGAAACTTTTCAGTCCATTGTTTCACTCTCTCCACCCCCTACCATTATGGCCGGCAACTTTTTATGGTCAAGGAATAATTATACAGCTGTACAGCAGGCATAAATCCAAAAGGCAAAGAATCCCCATATCTGTGTCTGGATGTTTAGAAAAGATACACCTGTCAGATTTTTGACTGTTATGTCATGGCATGTGAAAAAGCCAAAGGAAAAATAGATTGCAACTCTTCACAAGCCAAGGCTGAAAACAGGATGTTGAAAAGGGACATATAGATGCTACAGAGCTAAGAAAATATTTTATTTGGTGGGCACACAACATTTTGTTATGTAGCAGCTATGTGGTGGAACCAGTGCTGGATTTACGTATAAGCTAAACAAGCTATAGCTTAGGGCCCCAAGAGAGTGGGGCCCCCAAAATTTAAAGGAATTTTTTAAAGTTAGAGCTTAATAATTATTTCACTATTAATATCTTTCTTCTTAATTGTATTTCAGTTCAACAATTACTTTGATAAAATACAAATTTTGTTGTGTGCAAATGGCTTTAGATATTTATTAGGTCCATAAATTACCATATAGCATATATTCAACACAAAAAACAGCGACAATTTGTTGTTGACAAAGGACAGCTGGACATATAAAGGGCCCCATTACCTTCAGTAGCTTAGGGCCTCATCAAACCTAAATCCGGCCCTGGGTGGAACTACCCTAAACTGAATTATTTTGGCCTCATGATTTTTTCTTCTTTATTTCTCTCTGTATCTGAGCTCAATCCACATTCTGACACTTTCCCAAAATGAGACAACTTGCAATGTTTAATTGTGATGGACGGATCAACATGTCCCCAAAAGCCAGCTCATAGCTGCCCTATTTACCATGTGATTGTCAGGTGAAAAACATGCTGAGTTAGTATGGGGTGATTATTATTTATACTCCGCCCATTTGGCTGGGCTTCCCCAGCCACTCTGGGCAGCTTCCAAAAAAATATTAAAATACTGCAATACATCAAACATTAAAAGCTTCCCTAAACAGGGCTGCCTTCAGATGTCTTCTAAAAGTCTGGTAGTTGTTGTTCTCTTTGACATCTGGTGGGAGGGCGTTCGATAGGGAGGGCGCCACTACTGAGAAGGCCCTCTGCCTGGTTCCCTATAACTTGGCTTCTCGCAGTGAGGGAACCGCCAGAAGGCCCTCGGTGCTGGACCTCAGTGTCCGGGTAGAACGATGGGGGTGGAGACGCTCCTTCAGATATACTGGACCGAGGCCGTTTAGGGCTTTAAAGGTCAGCACCAACACTTTGAATTGTGCTCGGAAACGTACTGGAAGCCAATGTAGGTCTTTCAAGACCGGTGTTATATGGTCTCGGCGGCCGCTCCCAGTCACCAGTCTGGTTGCCGCGTTCTGGATTAGTTGTAGTTTCCGGGTCACCTTCAAAGGTAGCCCCACGTAGAGCGCATTGCAGTAGACCAAGCGGGAGATAACCAGAGCATGCACCACTCTGGTGAGGCAGTCCGCAGGCAGATAGGGTCTCAGCCTGCGTACCAGATGGAGCTGGTAAACAGCTGCCCTGGACACAGATTTGACCTGTGCCTCCATGGACAGCTGTGAGTCCAAAATGACTCCCAGGTTGCGCACCTGGTCCTTCAGGGGCACAGTTACCCCATTTAGGACCAGGGAATCCTCCACACCTGCCCGCCTCCTGTTCCCCAAAAACAGTACTTCTGTCTTGTCAGGATTCAACCTCAATCTGTTAGCCGCCATCCAACCTCCAACCGCCTCCAGGCACTCACACAGGACCTTCACCGCCTTCACTGGTTCTGATTTGAAAGAGAGGTAGAGCTCGGTATCATCTGCATAATGATGAACACCCAGCTCAAACCCCCTGATGATCTCTCCCAGCGGCTGCATGTAGATATTGAAAAGCATGGGGGAGAGGACAGAACCCTGAGGCACCCCACAAGTGAGAGCCCAGGGGTCTGAACACTCATCCCCCACCACCAGTTTCTGAACACGGCCCAGGAGGAAGAAGCGAAGCCACTGTATGACTGTGCCCCCAGCTCCCAGCCCCTCTAGGTCCAGAAGGATGTTATGGTCAATGGTATCAAACGCCGCTGAGAGATCCAGCAGAACTAGGAAACAGCTCTCACCTTTGTCCCTAGCCCGCCGGAGATCATCGACCAAGGCAGTTTCAGTCCCATGATGAGGCCTGAATCCCGGTTCAAAGAGCTGGTTCAAACTGTCTACATCTAAAGGGCTGGTTCAAAGAGCCTACATCTAAAGTTTTCCAGGTGGAAAGGTCCATGGAGGCAGCTGTATAGTGGAAGTAGTGTCTGACCCAATCTGACCACATTGGGAGGTGGTGCTTCCCAGTAGGCAGTCATAAAGGGAGGTGGTGGTTATTATTGCACTACACCAATCACTACTAGGAAGCAACACCAATCAGGGTTGTTGCACATGATCTTATGCTACTTTCTGGGAGGTTTTGCACTGAGGGTTTTAGAGCATCTAAACCAGCCTGCAGTTAGGATCGAGAAGTTTTCGCTCAATCTGTATTGGCTGGCACTACTCTGTGGAAAGGTTGTTGTGTCCTTTAGATATTCTTCTGTAGGGAGTTCTTGTATGGTGGGGAGACTGCTTAAATGACCTTATAAAGTAGATATTTCCTACAAAATCAAGAAAGGGTGTGTTTGCTGTGCCAAATCTGTAATAAACATATGATTGGTTCTTTTAAGCATTCTCACAGCCATGTGCAAACTACTCGCAGCTGTCACAGGGCAGGGAAGAACACCTAGAGGGCACCTGTAAGATCGTTTAATGTGAGGTGCACCCCATTCACTCTCTCCATTTAAGATTGTGTGCTAAAGGCATACCTTTGACTTGGACATAGCACATTTTGCTAACTTCTACATATGTTACTCTGGACGATGTAGGCTAATTAGAGCAGATCTACACCATACCTTTAAAGCACACCCAACACACATTTAAAGCACATGACTTTCCCCAAAGAATCTTGGGAACTGTAGTTAAACCATGCTGGGAATTGTAGGTTTTTTTGCGGGGGACGGGGGACAGGATGACGACTGCAGCTTCTAGGATTCTTTGGGGAGATTCATGTACTTTAAATGTGTGTTGGATGTGGTTTAAATGCATGGCATAGGCCTGCCCACAGTTTTATGGCAAAGGCTCTGTGTCTTTAATATAAGCTTGATATCCAGAAGTCAGTCAGCTCTTTTGCCTGTTTGGGAATGCAGTCACAGGGAAACCTGATTTTCTGCATGCAACTCTATAAAAATGAAGCAGCTGTCCATAAAAAATGTCAGTACAGTGGTACCTCAGGTTAAGTACTTAATTCATTCCGGAGGTCCGTACTTAACCTGAAACTGTTCTTAACCTGAAGCACCACTTTAGCCTATGGGGCCTCCTGCTGCCGCTGCGCCGCTGGAGCACGATTTCTGTTCTCATCCTGAAGCAAAGTTCTTAACCTGAAGCACTATTTCTGGGTTAGCGGAGTCTGTAACCTGAAGCATATGTAACCTGAAGCGTATGTAACCCGAGGTACCACTGTAGTCCTAACTGCAGTACTGGTTGTTGAACTATACGTAAAACGTTTAGCTTTTGCAGTCGATAAGATCAGTAGATGCTGAGCAGCTTTTCGTTTTGCAAAGTCATACAAATGTTTGCTTATGTAAGATGAGTATAGAACAATTTTAGAACAAGAAGGTGACTCAGATTAATGTCTGGCTAGCATTTATCAACTAAAGTCAGTTTCCCCAGCTAAGTGTGGGACTGTATACTGTACTGCAAAACAACAACACAGTGCTATCCAGTAAACTAAACAAAGGAAAAAAGCCACAAACAAATGATAGACCCTCAACACTCAGATCTCCCATTCCTCTCTGCAATGTCATGTTCAATTTACTCTGTGTCATCATCATCATCATTTATTATTTATACTCCACCCATCTGGCTGGGTTTCCCTAGCCACTCTGGGCGGCTCCCAACAGAATACTAAAAACACGATAAAATATCAAACATTAAAAACTTCCCTAAACAGGGCTGCTTTCAGATGTCTTCTAAAAGTAATTTACTGTAGTTGTTTATTTCCTTAACATCTGGTGGGAGGACATTCCACAGGGCAGGTGCCACTACCAAGAAGGCCTGGTCATTACAATGTGAAGTTATTGGACTATAATTCCCATCCTCCCTGCCTGACCATCAGCCATGCTGGCTAAAGCGGATGGGAGTTGATATCGAGCAACATCTGGAAGGCATCATGTTGGCTACTTTTGGTACTAGCTTTTCCCTAGCAGTGAAACTGTTAACCAGAATTTAGACCATGATGTTGGGAGTTGTAGTGCAAAATACCAGGGAGAAACCACACTGGGGAAGACTGATTTTGACTGAGACCTCTCAATGTGAGACTTGAAAATGTCACAATTTGGTATGAACTAGATAACAGAAATAAGAATAATAAATGCTCAGAAAATGATTAATTTGGGGTGTCTATGTGCAAGCATTCACACAAAATAGACTCTGGAGAATTTTCCACACATAACTCAAAGCCACTTCCAGAGCCTGCAATATCTTGTGATATCCTTAACAGGAGTTGCTTTCCTAAAAGCAAAGCAAAGTCTGTGAGGCAGGGTCTGATCTTGTTTACAGAGCTGCCAGTCTGGTGAAATGTGCTTTTAAGCCAATATGCATGACACAAGGGTCTGGCTTTGTATGTGGCTCCCAAAAAGTTTGTATTCTGGGCTAGTCATCCAGACAAATTCAGTGCTGTGGACTGAATCCAACACTCCCTCTCTGTATACACTCAGCAGTGTTTGTACACACACACACACACACACACACACACACAGAGAGAGAGAGAGAGAGAGAGAGAGAGAGAGATTGGCTTTGTTATTTCTCTCTAGACTTCTGCTTGCCACTAGATGTCTTCCTGCTTTACTGAATATATATATGATTTTGAAAGGTATACTCATGTTCCTTTATATGTATTGTTCTGTGTAGGACTCTGTGCATACTTTACAAGACTAGCAGTGAGAAGCAAGTTGATCCTCTTTAAGCCTGGAGGCCAGAGAAATAGGAAAATACTTTCTTAAACAGCAACAATCAATTAAAGGCACATCTGCAGTTGATCCTTTACCTTCCACTCTTTAACACAGTTTTCAACATTTGTTTGTAGTCATTGTTTCCCATTTGCTGCTGCTTTGGAGTCTATTATTACTATTATTATTATTTGAAGGGCTTTCCCCCAGTGATTAATTAATCTAATCAGGGATCACATACTGAATTTGGTGATGTCACAGTGGCACGTATCCAGTCAAATTTGTTATATGATGACATCACTGAGGACAGAAAGCATCCCTGTTGTCCACCTGGTTGTGTCATACTGTACTATCAGTTCCACTGCTCACTGGCAGTGCATTTTTGCTACAATCCAACTCTAATCATGGACGCCTCCTTTATGCATGCATGTTGTATCAGAATATCAATTCAAATGCACATCTCAGTTAAGTGACGCAGTGTGAATGTCACATGCGACGGAAGGTGTCATTTGCCTGCCATGAAACACCTTCACTGGGATTCACATCTCCTTTTTAACCCCCAACCTGCTATCCTATTGAGCAAAGTGTTAGACCCTTTCACAAAGTAGTGCAAAAGAACCTCCCAATGACGTATAAAGGAATAATGCATTCACCAAGGGTGGAAATGTACACGAAACACTTCACCCCCATTTCACCTCAGCCCTAGAACATTGTGCTCCTTGGGATCGCAGTAGTGGCAAGCTGTGCCCCCCACCTGTGGGCAAACAAACACAATTGCAAATCGAGTTCCTGTGCTTCCATTTCAAATAGCAGGCTGGTGTGCCTACTTGCATGGGTAAATCTACTTCACTGCTTGTCTGCTGACCTTTGCAAGCAGGCAAAGACAATTACAGGAACAATGTGAAAATGAGGGATACATCAAGAGAAAGAGAAAGAGAAAGAGAAAGAGAAAGAGAAAGAGAAAGAGAGATTATGTATAGTGGCACAATTTGGCTTGTTTGCTGAAAACTGGCAGGGAACCATGTGCAGGTCCATATGGATGGCACCTAATGGCATCTTTTAAATCAGGAGTAAGGAACAATCTCCCAGGGGCCACATACCAGTTGTAAGTGACGAGGACACAGGGAAAAGTGGATAGGATGAAGGATTGAACTTTTAACTTTGTACGGAAGTCTACATTCCAGCCATGCAAAAGCCAGCATTTTCTGTACACACCCACCCCCCCACTCCATCCGCCATACAGGCAAGCAAGTGGCTTTATTACAGTTCAAGGACGCATCCCAGCAAGGCAAAAACCACCCAAAGAAAGCATGGAGGAGGGCTGTGGCCTGGGGAGAAGGGGTGAGGCCTGGGGAGTGTCTGATGGGCTAGATAGAGAGGTGAACAGTCTTCGTATCATGGGATGGATATTTCCTACCCCTGCTTTAAATGTATTCCCCCCAAGAAATGGATTTTCAAAGCAAAAAAGTCATACAGAGTTTCCTATAAGGAGAGGCGGCTTGCCTAGGGGAGAGATACATGGAATACATTGCCATTTGTACAGTTTTGGCTTATTCCCCCCCCCACCCCACCCTAGGGGCTGTGCTGAAAGAAACGGCTGTGGGCCTCCACCCCAAGTTCACAGAATTTTTTTTTCTTGGCAGCTGTGTACCCGTGCACACAATCATGCAGAGTCAAAGCGGGCTGCTTGCATGCATTGTTCACATGCCCTAATAACAACGAGGGAGACTAACTACTATTATGTAAGTTATGCTCACTGATTTTATATGTCAGTCTCGATAACACTCAGAAGGGGATGCAATGTTCCCACAGTGAATTTGATCCGTGTGGTGTGCGTGGGGGAGAGGATGGGGGCATCTCGAGCTACACTGCCCTGTTTCAGCAGCCAATTCATTCCTGCCCCTGTAACCTTTCTTTTGTCATTGCAGGTGTCACATAAGAGTTGTGACAACTGCACAAAACTAGTACAGTGGTACCTTGGTTCTCAAACGCCTTGGTACAACTTGGAACCCAAACACTGCAAACCTAGAAGTAAGGGTTCCGGTTTGTGAACTTTTTTGGGAAGCCGAATGTGCTCTGTTTTGAGTGTTGCCACACTTCCATTTTGAGTGTTACGCTGAGGTCTGTCTGTTTTTGCTATTTATTTTGCGTTTTTGTTTTTGTGGCTCTTTTTGTTTTGTTTTTTTTGTGACTGTGTGGAACCCAGTTCAGCTACTGACTGACTGATTGTGTGACTGCAGTACATTGTTTATTGCTTTCATTTTATGGATCAATCGTCTCATTAGATAGTAAAATTCATGTTAAATTGCTGTTTTAGGGGTTGTTTTTAAAAGTCTGGGATGGATTAATCCATTTTGCATTACTTTCTATGGGAAAGCACGCCTTGGTTTTGAGGGTGGCGCTTTGGGGGGAATTGTCATCCCGCCACTCCTTGGTGTGTGGAGTACCTCAGGGTGCGATACTCTCCCCGATGCTTTTTAACATCTTTATGCGCCCCCTCGCCCAGCTTGTCCGGAGTTTTGGGCTGGGCTGCCATCAGTATGCTGATGACACCCAACTCTATCTGTTGATGGATGGCCATCCTGACTCGGCCCCAGACACACTGATCAGATGCTTGGAAGCTGTGGCTGGATGGTTACGTGGGAGCCGGTTGAAGTTAAATCCTTCGAAGACAGAGGTCCTCTGGCTGGGATGGGACGATATGGGATTGAGGGGGCAACTCCCATCTCTTGCGGGGGTGCAATTAGTGCCAGCACCGTCCGTTAAGAGTTTGGGTGTAATCTTCGATACCTCCCTCTCCATGGAGGCGCAGATTGCAGCTACAACAAAGGTGGCATTTTTCCATCTCCGCCAAGCTAAGCAGTTGGCTCCTTACCTCTCTCGCCCTGACCTAGCCACTGTGATCCACGCGACGGTCACCTCCAGACTGGATTATTGTAACTCGCTCTACGTGGGGCTGCCCTTGAGACTGACCCAGAAACTCCAGCGGGTGCAGAATGCCGCAGCGAGACTCCTTACGGGGTCTTCGCTGCGAGATCACATTCATCCGGTGCTATACCAGCTGCACTGGCTCCCGGTGGAGTACAGGATCAGGTTTAAGGTGCTGGTTTTAACCTTCAAAGCCCTATACGGCCTAGGACCCTCGTACCTACGGGACCGCCTCTCCTGGTATGCCCCACAGAGGAACTTACGGTCTTCAAATAAAAACATCTTGAAGGTCCCAGGCCACAGAGAGGTTAGGCTGGCCTCAACTAGAGCCAGGGCTTTCGGCTGCGGCTCCAACCTGGTGGAATGCTCTGTCACAAGAGACAAGGGCCCTGCAGGACTTGACATCTTTCCGCAGGGCCTGCAAGACAGAGCTGTTCCACCAGGCCTTTGGTCAGGGCGCAGCCTGACTCCCTCCTCTGGCAATCTTTACAAACTTTAGTTTATGGTTGCCATCAATTTTGATTTTAATTAATTTTTATAATGTTTTTATAATGTTGCACTATTTTAGTGTTGTTAGCCGCCCTGAGACCGGCTTCGGCTGGGGAGGGCGGGATATAAATAAAATTTATTATTTATTATTATTATTATTGGTTTTGAAACACTTTGGTTTGGGAACAGACTTCCGGAACGAATTAAGTTTGAGAACCAAGCTACCACTTTATGTACTTCTGAGCCCTGTTAAGCGGCTTCCCATCCATATAAGGTTACTAACCAGTCTGCGGATATCCCTCTCGCTCTCCCATTTGATCTTTGAGATTGCTTCCTGGTGGGATTGGTGCTCACTCCGAAGATCCCCCGCTTTGATCTTATCCGCCTGGATCATGTTGTTCAGGGCTTCGTCCACCTGCTTTTTGGCAGACTTGAGTTCGGTAATTTCCTGCAAAAGCTTAAGGCGCTCAGAGTCAAATTGTTTCCTGGCCTCTTCGCGAGCCTCAATGGTCAGTGCTGTCCGTACTTTGTCGCTGCTCCCTTCCCGCAATGCGTACAGGGCTGACTTGAGCCTCTGGATTTCACTGTCTCTGATTTTCATTGTCCGAGCCATTTCTTGCTCGTGCTGCTTGATGAGATTCTCCCGCACGGCCTGCAGCTCCTTCATCTTCTCCTCGTGGAGCTTCGCTTTCAGTTCAGTGATCTGCACTGTCTGCTTGCGCTGCTCCAGCTCCCGGATCCGCTTCGTTTCTTGGGTTTTCTCCCTTTCGAGTCTGCTTACCTACAGGAAGACAATAAAGGAAGGGAGAGAGAAAAATAGATGTAATGAAACAATTAATAATGACGACAAAGACTATCCATTACATTTGTCGCTACATAAAATGTTTCAAAGCAGATGGCAATTATAAAAAAGTATACCAACACAGAAGTTTAAAGCAACAGCAAAAGAATTAAACAACCTTCCTTAGTACAAATACTCCTCCTGCAATTTGATTAAAAGGCTGAATCCTAGCCTTCCTTACTAAAAGGGTGGACACAGCAGTAGGCTCAAGTATGATCATACCATATGATCTTAGTTAAAAATCAAATGCTGGGGTAAACAGATCTGTCTTTGCTTGTGGCCTAAAAGTTGATAATGGTGATATAAGTCTTTAAAATGTTCACAGAATTTGCAGTTGTCACACAATTCCAAATGGCTTCTTTTTCTTCCAAGAGTGAGACCAAAAGCTTGTTTACTAATATAGCTAAAGTCCTGAGCAGCAAGTTTCCAACCAAACCTTAACCGAAGTGTGAACCCTGAGTCCCAAGCAATTCACACCTGAGTTAATCTGATCTCCACCTTTGGGTAATTGCACACTGATTCAGATGCTTGTCTTGCATTTATTCTGAATTATAGAGATAAATTTCTAAGACTTTTTGTTGTTGTTGCTGTTCCTATCATAGAATTCTAGAGTTGGAAGGGACCCCAAGGGTCAACTAGTCCAAACCCCTGCAATTCGGGAAATCTAACACATTTCCTTTGTATGTGTTCCAATACACTGTATTTCAGGCTTAAAAAACTACCATAGCTCATGAGAGTGAAGATACAGAGGCGGAGGACAAGGACATGGTGTGCCTTACCTGCAAGCAAATTTGCAAAGCTATCTGGGAGTTGTAATTCATCCAATGTTTGGTATTTTTCAATGCCACCAGAAAATGGTTAACAATAGATCACTAAGGTGATCTGTGGCTGGTAGTTAGGTTTTGGGCCAGCCTACAGTTCTGTGTTCCATTCATCGTTGTTGATGCAGGCCACTTTACTAGATTTGTAGATGGAAGAAGGTGGTATCGCATATCAGCAGTGCCAGATTTATGTATAAGCTAAACAAGCTATAGCTTAGGGCCCCACAAAAAAATTAAAGGGAAAAAAACTGGATGCACATTTACAAAATATAATATTATACACACACACACACACACACACACACACACACTTCTTTGTAATTGTATTTCAGTTCAACAATTACTTTGAAAAATACATATTTTGTTATGTGCAAATGGCTTTAGATACCTATTAGGTCCATAAATTACCAGATAGAATATATTCAACATAAAGAACAGTGACAATTTGTTGTTGACAAAAGACAGCTGGACATAGAAAGGGCCCCATTACCTTCAGTAGCTTAGGGCCTCATCAAATCTAAATCCGGCCCTGCATATCAGTCTTACTCTGAATATGCAGCTTATTCTGAAAAGGAAAGTATGGCTTTTGAGCCAAGGTGACGATTAAACCTTTGCTCCTCTGTGTCTCAATTTCACAAAATACTATCTAAGGGTACGCAAGGGAAGATTCTGCTCGTGTCAGGCCTGACTCCAGAAAGCAAATCTAAAGATTGTAACTTCACAAAAGAAGGCTTACATTACGCAGGTTATTTCTGATGAATATCCCCCCTCTCTGCACTATCCTCTGACACTTCAACATGAACTCTCTTTATTGTGTGTATGTGATTTGTTTTACTGCTGCTGAATTATTCTGTCATCTGGAGAATTTAGTTTTGTTTCTTCTATCTACGATTTGAAAGATGCATAAATCAAGCTGAAGAGATCATTTACAAAATTTGCTGTAAATATATATATGCCAGTCAGCATTCCTGCATATAGATATAGCCAGTCAGAAATCCCACAAAAGAATAAAAATAGTGGGAAACAAACAACAAGACAACAACACAGAAGAGGGTAAAAATCAGAACTCACAAATTCTTGAAAATAGTGTAAAAGTTAGCAATCTTTAAAAGGCTGTGTAAATAAAAAAAAATATTTGCCTGGTTCTAAAACAATAACAAGGTAAGGGCCAGGTGACTCTCACCTGGGATGGCATTCCACATGCATGACATTGCCACCAAACAGCTGGTCTCCAAGGGAACTTTTCTGCCATTGCAAATAGAAGGCAAGAGGATGAGAGATTTTAAGCCTTCCTTCATGGTCTCAATATGGCCCACCCTCACCTTATGCACCAGCTCAGTGCCGGATTCACATATAAGCTAAACAAGCTAAAGCTTAGGGCCCCACTCTCTTGGGCCCCCCAAAAAAATTGAAAGGAAAAAACACCTGGATTTACATTTCCAAAATATAAGATAAAAAACAAATAAAATAAAACCTACATATAGCAACAGTGTTTTATGTTGTGTAGGCTACTATGATGTAAATAATGGGTCCCACCTGCTAGCCTGCTCCCTAAAATGTCACTGGTTTGCTCATTTCTATATATAGGGTGCATACATTCTGCATGTGCAAATGGCCTTAGATACCTATTGGGTCCATAAATTACCATATAGCATATATTCAACACAAAAAACAGCGACAATTTGTTGTTGACAAAGGACAGCTGGACATATAAAGGGCCCCATAACCTTCAATAGCTTAGGGCCTCATCAAACCTAAATTCAGTCCTGCACCAGCTATTTATTTTTAAAAATAAGCAAGCATGCCTGGGTTAACTATGTGACAAGCCTCACATCTAGCTTGGCCCTTCCGCAACACTGATTATTTCCTTGAGCCCATCTGAAATCTGCTGACAGAGCTTTTGAAGTCTGTGCATCGCAACCTGAATGGGTGGCTTAAATCCGCACTTCATCTTTATTACTTCAGAAACAATATTCAATAGGAATTTTGCTTAAAGAAGGGCTCATGTATGGATCTCAGCACTCGCCCCTATAAATATTTCACGGTTCTTGACAGAAAACAACAACAATAATGTCTTTTCTGCACTGTAAGCTGCTTTCAACATCATCATGAGGGCAGACTTCAAGTGCAGCCTGATAGTGACAAAAGCAATTTAGTGAGGGAAAAACACTTGGATAGAGAAACAATTTTGGTTTAATACTAAAGTTTGCAGGGGGAGGGGTGTTCAATAAATAAGGCTTTCCTTTGAGTATTTCTTTTTCAACAAATATAGTGAAATACAATTTAAGGGAAAGCAAAGAAATATTTAAAACCAACAGGGAGGCCCACTCAGTGATAACACCAAGGAAAAATCAATATAATATTGTAATAGGCTTGCAGCGATGAAGCCTTGTCAGAAACTGCACGTGTGGACTTTTTCTGTGGAGGGAAAAAAGGGACTATCTGTGCTCAGCCAGCAACTCTGTGAGGCAAGTAAGGCTGAGATGAGGTGACTATCCCAAGTCATGAGTTTTGTGGCTCAGTTGGGAACTGAACTCAGGTCTCCTTGGGTGAAGTCCAAAACTCAACCCACCTCACCAGGCGTGGAGACTCTTTTTTCATTCCGAGGGCCTCGTTGCATCCAACCTCCTCGGACCACATACTGGCAGTGGGCGGAGACAAACACAAGTGGGTGTGGCCAGAACAGGTGAGGCCAGAAGTTACACATAAACAGCACCCACCATACATAGATTCAGCACACACATGTTCACATACACATGCACATGCATACACATGGCACACACACATGTACAATTTGGAATAATTGCATATGCATAAGCAGACTTTCACTCACATGCTCCCTCCACTGCACCTCAATGGATATGGCATATGCTTAGACCATTGAAAAGTACCATACATGCCACCCCAAGCCCCAGTGGCTATGCAGCTTCCAGTTTGCACATGCCAGGATGAACAACTTTTCATGTTCACCGTATGCATGTAAGGATGATCAGGGTTCCTTATTGGTTAGAAAGTCTCCACACACACCTGTACCCACGCAGGGCTGGTAGGTACATGGGGGAAGTCACTGGGGTCCTGCTCTGTATTCCGAGTGCATATGCATAGAGGTCACCATGTGAATTTTCCCCATGACATTGAAAGAAGACTTCAGTTTGGAATAATTGCTGTAGGGTGATTCTGGGGACATGTTTTAGTTTGCTGTCTCCAAAAGCGATATGAAAATAGCTCTTGCCTTAGGAAGAGCACTGATCAGTTTTAGTTCTGATGTGAAGACTTTGGTGACCTATGCTGAACCCAAATTGCTCTTTGGAAACTTTTCCTCCCCTTAGCATTTATCTGGTTTAAAATATATTCCATACCCATGGACGAAGGAATAAAATAAAGAAGGGGGGAATGCTTTTGTTGCCTCAATACATCTTGGGATAGTCACCTCACCTCAGCCTTACTTGCCTCACAGAGTTGTTAGAATAAAATGAAGAAACTCCTTTGAATGCCATCTTGAACTCCTTGGAGAGTTAGATAAAAATGTGCCAAAAATAATAGCTTAATTTGCTTCTCTTGAAGCTATCCAAAACTTATTGGATTTATTTTTATGCACCTTTTTTCATCTGTCCCACCTAGACCTCTAGAATTCACCTCTATTCAAACTGTGTTTCTAAAATTGTGGTGATGATACCGCCAGTAATGTACAGTAGATGACACTTTTCCGCTGTTGGGACAATCTTGCTGATCCTTCAGGTATTTGCTATGGGACCCCTTTGTAGAACACAAGAGTACCATTTAAGGAAGGGGCCTCTTACCCATCCTCTGTTTATAATAGGATTATTTATAATAGGATTATTACTCAGGAATATCTCTCATTATTACAAGAAGGAAAAATTACAAGAAAAACTGCAACGAACACCATGAATCTTCTTTCCGCTCTTAAAATCTGGTTGCCCCACCCATTCTCGATATATGACGTGGGTCCCTTTGTCTCTTTCTTGTTAACAGCACATTCCAAAAAGCTGCAACCAACCAAGAGATGCAGATGACTGTAGGGTTGGAATGAAGTGGCAATTGTCAGGACAACCTCCTCCTCACGCTACATCTTCCAGGCCTCTGGCAACTAGCCTACAGTTCTTAAGTGAACTGAGCAGCTAATTTTTTCCTGAGTGCTACAGGATCTGTGCCAAGGAAAGGGGGGAGGGGACCCAACACAAGCTGTCTTTCAAGATTGTAAAAATAGAGTGCAGCACATGATGAATTGGAAACAAAAGCTCAATTTCCACTCACTTACACATAGGTAAGTCCCACTGACATGACTGGAGCTTCTGCACATATTTTTTGGGGCATAGGTTTACAGCTCTCCTCTCATTCAAAATTATTATTTTGTTGCTAAAATGGGCTGCAAATTAATGACTGACTCTCACTGGAGGGCCAAAGGAGAAATACTCTGGAGTACACTATCTTGTCTGATATTAATGCAGTACTGAGTCTTTCTTTCATCCCAATCATTCCACAATGAAATAAACTGGATTTCGACAGACACAGTTGATTGTCCTCTGAGGTCAATGGTAGCCTTGATATATGGACAGCCCAGAAAGGTCTTCATGATGAAAGACTTCATGGAAGTTAAAATGGTACTGCTTAATTATGGAATCCAGTGGCAGCCTAGATTTGTTTTGCCTGAGGCGATGCTTATTGGCAAAAGAATCAAAGAGTCTGGGTCACTGATGTCGATTACAGTTCTCTGGGCAGAAAGAGAAAGGGAGAGGAAATTTTCCTCAAGAACCTTATAAAATTGCTAGTGTGGCTGGACTGCGAATTCAAAGTCGCAAGACAGCGTTAGATCGGCAAGTAAAACTCATAGAGAATCTGGATGTCATTTCACAGCACAGGTGGAAGAATGCCATTTTTTTTAATGCTTCTGAAAAGGGAAAGAAAGGTCCAGCCATCTTCCCATTGTGCTAGTTTTTTGACACAAGAGCATCCATAATGTAACTCTCCTCTGCAATCTGAAATAGTACAGTCGGAATTCTACAGTCCCTTTTCCACCTCACTTTGCAGCCCAGGAACGCATGAAGCTGTCAGAGCACTGATCTATCTACATCAGTGCTGTGGACACTTCCTGACAGCAGCTCCCCAGGGTTTCAAGGCAGTTCGATTGAGCCTGGGAACTTTTGCATGTTTCTACCACTGAGCCATGGTTCTTTTCCATAAAGCCAGTTTTGAACGATGTCAGTACTAAAAGCAGACCGACCATTTATTTGTCTAGTATCCTAAAAGGACTTGGGTAAATACAGAGAACCAACTCACCAAATGGTATATATGGGGAAGTTTGCCTGCTTCTTAAATATATGCTAAAGAGCAGCACAGATGGCTGTGGCTGGCTTTGTAGAACATACTACACAGGCTGGTTGCTGCAGCTCCACCCTTAGTTACTGCTTTTACCCTGCTGTTCCGTTGCTATAGAGTAAAAGCCCATCCTGGCATGTATTACTGAAGTGTGTTTTGTCTTTACTTCCCGTTTAGGGAAGTCAGAAGCAAACCTCACAAATAAGCATTGCAAGCTTGATTCATTCCCTCTTCTGGGATGGCGGGAAGGCATATTTAATTAACTCCTTGCAATGTCATGTTCTTTTTAATCACCTGCTGCCTCTGACTACCATTTTTTCACTCACCTTAGACTTCTCCTGATGAAGCTCAATTTGAATGTCTGTTAGCTTGGTCCTGAGATCTTCATTGGCAGCTTGTAAGGACATAATCAGTGCCTCAGGCTTTTCAGCCTTGCTGCGTCCTTTTTTTGACATGGCTGTTGGCTGTTGTGAGTCTGTGCGTGAGAATCCTTTTTCAAATGGGAACAGCCATTTTTTCTTTCTTTCCATTAAAGTTGTCTCAGAACCTACTGTGTGACATTCGTAAAGATAGCCCCATCAGCTCCTTGGGCAGTCCTGGGAGAAATAAGATGACACAGCATTAGCAAGTTCAGTGAAAGCTGGAGTCTGCTTAGCAACACTCAATATAAAGACAATGTTTTGTTTTGTTTTAAGGATTTAAAAAACTGCCCCAGGTCATATATGCCACCCATGAACCATAGAGTTCTTGGGAGGTATATATGACAATTTAAAATCCACAATGCAATATTAAAACAGCATAGAACAGTTAAACACAATACTGAGAGGAATAAAAACATTCAACCAGATAAAAATTAAATAATTTAAAATGCCAGGCAAATAACAATGTTTTAAACTTCAATAGGGAATAATAGAGAATTGGCTGAAGGCGTAACTTCCTCATTCCAAAGTCAGCCCACCATCACAGAGAAGCCCCTGTTATATGTACATGGACACTATAATTCTCCTATTGATAGAACATGGAGAAGGGCTTCTGTGGCCACGTTTCAGAAGCTGATAGGAATAACCATAAGACAGATTTCAGATGTCAAATGTATTTTTGGGTACTCTGGGTCAGATTCAACTAACCTGGTGCTCTAGTAGAAACCAGCGCAAAGACTCTGCTAACACATCCTGGGTGTCCATTTCTGTTGCACAGTGCTCCCTTAATTTTTCTCTCTCTACCCCCCACCCCACACACAACGCTAATGCTTGCAGCAAGCAGAACCCCAGGGGAAGGAGGAGGGCAAAGTAGTGAAGGAGACTACTCTGGAATAAGCTCTGATTTGGAAATGGCACAGTGTATGGGGACAGTCCACTCACTGTTACACACCGTATGTTGCAATTCATCTAGGAAGGATTTAGATTACATTACCAAGCATGGGGGTTGGAATATTAGGTCTGTAATAAAGTGTTCGGAGAGGTGGGAAATCTGTGCTCTAAGAAGCAATTTCCCATTGGCCTGGGGACTCTTGTTCAAACAGGAATCTTAATTATATATACTGTATATATATTAAATGGGTTGTAGCACTTGTCAGTTGTAGTGGGGGAAAACCTGGAAAAATACTGGCAATGAATCCTGAAAGCTCAGAAACCAGAAGGCAAATCAAAGGACCCTTACATCAGTCCTATTTTTGAACATTTGGGCTTGGCAATATCAGAGCTTTTTTTGTTTGTTTCAAAGACTGTTGGAAGACTCAGCTGGAGAGATAGGACTTGTCACAACTCCCATACTGTCAACCACCAACATTTCCAATTATGTTAATTAAATGTGCAAATTAGCAGTGGCCCATCCGTTCAGAATAAACTCCAGTGTTGATTCCGTGGCTAGAACATCCATGGTGTCTGAGGCATGAATACCAATACCAGCTGCTTGTACAGAAGTCTCACACTGGCCAGTCCAGTTATTTGCCAGCATTGTGCTTTATGTGATTAGACCAGTGGCAATTTATCACAAAGAAACGCAATGCAAGCCAAGTCTGAAATTTCTGTAAGTCTGCATATGCAGTGTATGTGTAATGTACATCCAGCTTAAAGAGGTGGGGTGGGAGAGAGATAATTTCTTTCTGGGTGTGCTTGTTTAAAGTAAGGAATTATAGCTAACAGCTTTAGCTATAGCACATTCTATAGCATATATAGCATATAACTCCATTATAGCAGCAGGAAGAAACTGCTCTGGAGATGCCTTTCCTTATTGGCTGCAGGTTACCCCACAATTTGAACTCTCTCATAATGCTGCAGATGGCACACATCACCAACTGCAGTCCTGCAGCATGAGCATTGCTCAGTGTGCTGGATGTGCTGTTTTAAGGTCAATCTACAATGAGAGACCATTGGCCCATAAAAGATGGATGCTTTCGCTTCCGAAATAGGATATCTTTGGCTGTGTATGCCTAAAAGCATAAAGAACGACGGTTAAAAATATCATTACCACACAGATGGAATGTTTCAATTCTACCCACATAGCAGGGAGGGTGTGATGCGACCATGTTTAGCAGCTGCAGAAAGGCTTAGTCGTGTCGGTACACAGGAAAATATGAAAGAGAGGGAGAAGGGATCCATAATGAGGAAATGAGTTTTGGAGATGCCTTCAAAAAGGCTTGCTTATTCACTCTTGATTTATCAGATATCAAGTGCTGATTTCCCTCTCCTCTGCAGACAGTCATATGTTACGCTTGGCATTTGTATTTGCTTACAGATGTATCCAGGCAGCTGTGACACACTGAACTAGTGAGATAACAAGCTTTAGCATAAATGCAGCGGGTAAGTTTGCTTACAATCCTTAGAATGCTGACTTGGCACTCTCAGCAGCTATCGGGACGTGCTGCTCAGTGCTCTAGAATTAATCATTCTAATCGGATTATGAATTAGATATACAAGAATCAAGCCTAGGACCAAAGACACACACACCAAAATTCCACTGCACAGTATGGAACACAACAATAAAGAATCTGAACAGTTTATACAAACACTAAAGTGGCTGGAGTGGTTGGCCTGTTGTTGTTTTCAGAACAGGTACACGCAAGCATATCAAATATCTAGATAACTGCTACAGACAGTAGCCACTGTTCTGAAGCAAGAGTTCACAAGAATCCACTGGTAACAAGACCATAATGTTCATGGATAATTAGGATGCAACCCCTCTGTGGCTTCAGGGGTATTTCACAGGGATGGTCATCAGCAGGAGTAAGTTCCATAGCTTAACAATGTTCTGCATAAATAAGTACTTGTTCCCTATACAGTCCCAGTCTCTAAAACCCATGCCCTACAATATGTGGAAAACTAGGATGTGCATCTTCTGGTATGCACTCACATGCACGTTAAATGACTTGTGCAAGATTGTGCCTCAGACAATTTTGGGGCCATAGCACCCCAAAATTGGATGTCCTGATGCAGTCCATGCAGCCCTCTAGCCATCTCTTATCCACACATACCTTTCCTCTGCTCTCTCTAGGTATGGTCCATGCTTTAAAGCTCCAAGTCTGACCACCATTGCTTTTTTTCTTTGTTTTGTCTGTGGAAACCTGCTCTTTAGCACTCACTCAGAGCAAATGTCAATCTGCTGAAAACCTGAACTGATGTTTGCTCCGACTGAGCGCTAAAGAGCAGGTTTTTGTGAGGACAGCTCAAGGAGGGAGGGGAAAGGTGCTCAGACAAGGAGCTTTCAAGTGTGAACCTGTGCCTGGAAATAGTATAGCAAAATATAAATGTGGCTAAGGCCTCAATGCAGCAGGCACCAAGACTGCTGGTGGTATATATCCCCCCTCCCCCGCCTCTAATTGCTTAAGAATTCTTGATTAAGTCCCTGGTAGGAGCCATGTAAAAAATGCTGTTACAGCGCAATTCTCTTCTAGCACTTGTAGAAGCAGGAGCAGCAATATGTTTGCCACAACAGTTCGGCATAGATAAAGATTTATCGGAGATTAAATTCTGCTCCCATCCAATCTTGGAAAGCAGTTAAAACTATGAAGTGAGCACACATTGCCGAAGATCCTGTGGCTAGACTGTCTGTCTGCAGCAGCACTTAAAAATGTACACCACAAAATATGAATCTGGTTAAAATTGACCTTGTCAGATCAAAGGCATCCCTTAAGAGAGGGCATGTGCTCTCCTACTGTTCAGCGTTTTACTGAATGATCATTGTTGTCACTGCCTTGTCACTCTTCTGTGAAACGAGAATGACATCAAACCCCTTCTTCGGAAAGGCGTTTGGGGCTGTTAATGCTGTGGTGTGCACACACAGTCCTATCCTGCACATGTTTACTCAGGAGGAAGTCCCACTGTGCTAAATGCTGTGCATTCAGGATTGCAGTTTCAGTGGCACAGTCCCATGTCGGAAATGCCCCTGAATTAAGTAAGCAACCTTCACTGACAGGGGGCAGCTAGCTTGAAATATCCCCGACTCTCCCTGCTGCAGACATAGGCAGACAGAATCCTTTTAGGGACTAGGTCAGGCATCACATTTGGAATCAATAAGGGGAATGTTCTTCCCAGCTCCATTCTTTCTTATCCTCTTTATACGCTCCTATTTGGTTCTCATGCATGCAGGGAAGCTTTCCCACCAATGCAAATAGCAGGTGTTCTTGTGTGTGTGTGTAAGTGTGTAGATGCCTTTCTGGACTGGGGACAGAGCCAGTCAAAGAATTATATCCCTCTTCCAGCTCTTATCTGGAATAGTTCCCCTTTTCCTAAAATTTACTTAAAAAGGAAGTCATTTGTGCAACTGCTAATTGCATGAATGGCGTTGTATATAGTTTGACCCTAAGTTGCAATTTATCAAAGGTCCGCTCCAGAATCTGTGAGCTTAGAGTTCTTCTGAGCATGTACAGAGCGCATTTTGGTTTATCAGAGAGCATAAATACAGAGCCTGTATTGAAGATGGATAGGGGGGCAGCACTCCCATATTAGTTACTGTATATACTCGAGTATAAGTCGACCCGAATATAAGCCGAGGCACCTAATTTTAGCACAAAAAACTGGGAAAACTTATTAACTCGAGTATAAGCCGGTTCACCACACCACAAACCTGGTGGTGGCAGCAGCGGCAGAGGAAGATCAAGCAGCCCGAAAGGGCTGCTTTTGGGCTGCTCGTTCCTCCTCTGCCATCAGGGGCAGAAGCGGAGGAGGAAGGGGCAGCCCAAAAGGGCTCCTTTTGGGCCACTCATCCCTCCGCCGCCTCTGCCGCTCGCAAGAGCAGGCATAGGAGCCACGGTTGGGAGAGGTACAGCGCAGCGCCTCTCCCAACCATGGCTCCTGTGCCTATCCTTGCGAGAGGCGGGTGGCCCAGCGGTGAGAAAGGGCTCCTTTCGGGCCGCTCGCCCCTCCGCCGCCACCGCCCGCCTCACTCAAGTATAAGCTGAGGGGGGCTTTTTCAGCATAAAAAATACTCAAGTATATAGGGTATTCATTTATTTCATAAAATTTACACACTGCTTGACTGTCAAAAAAAACTTAAAGCGGTTTATAAGGAGGTTAGACACATTTGAGGTCACTATGAATTGAGGTCACTATGGCTGGTGACATGATCCCTATACCAAGTTGATGCTTTTTCAGCATTTTTGTGACCTTAGGAGACAGGGAAGAGATGAAAGGAAAGCTTTGTAGGCTCTTGTCAATAAAGACAAGAGCAGATTCTGTAGCCTGGAAAAAAACCAAACAAAAACAGAGAGGCCTGTGAATATTTTGTTCGTATATGTGCTTGCTTTTCAGCTCAACTTATAAACACTGTTCAGAATTAAGAGGAAATGTTGAAAAGGCATGAGGCAACGGTATCAACAGGATCTCACCCTCATGAGTTTGCAGGCTTGTGGGAGTTTCTCCTCAACTGTTTTTTGTCCTCTCACATCTCCTGTATTAAAGATTTTAATTTGAATCTTGATAAACTTATACAAACAAGTGGTGAGATGTACAACCTCAGCTGTCCACTTCAAAGAAATGCCAAACATAACTGATACCCTGACATCTCCATCACCAGTGGTCATAAAATCCATAATCCATGTACCATAATCTTTTATAAATCAGATTTTCGTCCAGGTGTTAAAGTGCAGAAGAGGGCTCATATTTAGAACCCTTCCACAAGCCATTGATAAATATCCACCATTCAGTCAGCCCCTGAACTCAAAGGACTTCATCAGAGCCTCAGTGTGGTGACCTTTGCATAGAAACCAGCTCAGACAGCACGTATCCATTTCTCCCTGACCACCCATGCAGTAGGATGCAATTTACAGCCTCGGCTACAAATACTTCTCTTCTGTGATGAAAAGCCACAAAGCATGACACTCAACTGACTGTTATCATCTCTCACACCTGAATGCCTCTCGTTAAAGGTCTCCACGTATTCCCATTACAAAACTATTTCTCGGGGGCACACAATACTTACGGCACCATTTCAATCAGGTCAGTTGACTACATCCCAGATAACCATTAAATCCTGGATGAACCGATCCAGCTGAAGAGTTTCTAAAATGCAGGCTAAAGGTAGAGAAAGGAAACACTTCTATCAAGCCCTCTTTCACTTGAAAGACCCACCATTCATTTTTAAACTGACATCTTATGTACATAACTAGGGATGTTGTGACATAAGCTTCCCCTGTCCAGAGTACTGAAACCGGTTTCAAGCCTTTTTTGACATGCCAGTTGAGTATAATAGAATTGTAGAGTTGGAAGGGGTTACAAGGGTCATCTAGTCCAACCCCCTGCAATGCAGGAATCTTTCACCCAATCTGGGGCTAGAACCCACAAACCTGAGATTAAAGAGTCTCATGCTCAATAAAAGCTTCTTTTGCCAAAACTTTTTTTAGTCTAAGAAGCCTGGTGACCTACCATCTCCTCACAATGACAAGGTTCTCTGACCATGGTTGATAACTTTTGGGTGTGTTTTGAACTTGCACGTAAACCTCACATTCCAGTTTGAACCTGATATAACCACAGAATAGACAACAAGTCCTTTAAGTGATTCCATTTTGCATTTTATTTCATATTTCAGCAATGGACGCCTTCAGACTATCAGTATTTTGTAGGGGTGTTGACTGTGGATTCAAACGCATAGTGGGACAATAAATCCAATGAAAAACACACAAATCCAATCCAATGAAACCCCCCCCCCAGCTTTTTGCAGTTAGGAAAGTGATGAGGAAAAAGTGTGGGATGGGCAAATGATTAAAAGAATGATACAGAACAACCACACAAGAATATCAGGATCGGTGCAAGATAAATGCTGTTTGTCATATAAAATCCCCACAAACTAATGAGAAAAAATGCTCAGTAAAGACCAAACATAGACTAATCTCCATGTAAGCTTTGTGCAAGCAAATCGGGATGAATGCTTAATAAGCAGGCCATCTGGAGGGGCTCTATACCACCCTACTCATATGCAGAAGTATTAAATGTATATGGGAAATGGGAAATATCATCTATAACCATCTATAATACAGCTGCCTTGAAACATTTGTATACTATTGGGTATATATTGGTGGGAGGAAAGGTAGAGCTCATGCTCAATTTTCAGATGTGATTACTGGGGCATGCTTCAGATTTGTGCAACAAAGCTCATGTCTCCAGGGCTAAGTGATTTATTGAAAATCACAACTTTCTTTTAAAAATATTTTGTCATTCAGTGGTTGTGCTGAAGCAGGCAGAATTTGATTTCTCACTAGTTTGACTTTCATTTCTCTCTCTGAAGCAGTGCTAGAGGTGACGGCACACCATCATATACCTTAGGCAATAGAAACAAGAATAAGAATTTCAAGGCCTGATTTCTTCAGAGATCCTATATATGAAGGTAAATAGCTTTGGTTAGGACAAGCCAGTGTTTGGCTTCTTTCTCGTGACCTTGTTGCAGAAGGCACACAAATACAAAAGCATCTGATTTTGCTCTAACAAATAACAATTAGCTAAATAGATAGGATTTCTCTTTTCCACATAAAATTGTCTGAAAACGCCTCCTGGCTGGATTGCAAAAATATGTTTGAAGCATGAAATAGTAGCCTATCTAACTATCCTTTGTGGTGTCCCTTTCTCTTGTCAGGCAAACCATGGTGATCATTTAACCCATTGTTATAAGCAGTTTGCCATCAGTGGGAAGCTAGTAATCTATCAATAAGAAGGAAAGATGAATCTCTTTCAGAGAACAATTTGGAACACAGAAGCTGCAATTTACTGTGAAATGGCTTCCAAATGAAGAACTCCTCACACAATTCTCTGTGATCCCTGACAAGCTTACAATACAACAGGAAGGGCAGCTGTGTCACTTAAAACAATAATATGTTCACAGATTAACTTCTGTTACAAGTCACCCTGTGGAAATTCATATGGTATTTTGCTGCTTTTCCCAAGTCTGTTCATCGCTATCCCACCAATGGACAAATTGGTTCAGTTTTAGACTGATAAAAGCCTGAACCAAGCTAGAAAACAAGCTGCCTACTCCTCCTAACTCTGACTACAGGATTTGGCCAGCAAAGATAGGAAAACCCTATTTTTCCTGGATCACCAACAAAACCAGAGCTCAGTCTATTTGCCCCTCTGTCCCCTATGAGAGAAGCTAATACTCAGAGACAGAAAGGCCCACCCATTCAGCTCCCTCAGAAAATGGGAGTTCAGCCTTTTTAATATGTGACATTTTAGTGTATTTTTCATCTTTGTTGGAAGCCGCCCAGAGTGGCTGGGAAAACCCAGCCAGATGGGCGGGGTACAAATAATAAATTATTATTATTATTATTATTATTATTATTATTCCCAGTCCCTTCTGCAGAAATACAATGAACAAGATAGTACAAAGGACTCTGGCAGGATTTGCCTAGCTTTTATTGGTTTGTGTCAAGCTTCATCTTCTTGGAGTGTATGAACAACCTGGTACCTTACCAAAGACTCCTGAATAAGCTCAGCAGTCATGGGATAAGAGGAGAGGTGCTCTTGTGACTCAGGAACTGGCTAAGTTGTAGGAATAAAATGGAGGATGAGGCTTCCAGTGGCTAAGACCCCTGAAATAATAATAATAATAATAATAATAATAATAATAATAATAATAATAATAAAAAATTTATACCCTGCCCGTCTGGCTGAGTTTCCCCAGCCACTCTGGGCAGCTCCCAATCGAGTGCTTCCAAATACCTCTCTGGGTGTGTTCCAGTAAAAACTGAAACTGTCTTGCAGTTTTCCTTCTGGTTTATCAAGAAAACACCCCCATTGTGCAAGAAATATTAGAGAATTAGTTCCTCTAAGTTTGGGTCACTTGGAAATATTAGCTCTTGTTGGTCAGAGCTTAAAATAATTAAATAAAACAGTAAAAAATTAAAGCTTGCCTTTTTTGTCTGGTTCCCCATCTTTGATCTCAACACATATAAGCACAGGTTATAGAATCACAGAATAGTAGAGTTCTTCCTGATGTTTAGTCAGAATCTCCCTTTATGTGACTTGAAGTTATTGGTTTGGGTTCTACCCTCTGGAGCAGGAGAAAACAAGCTTGCTCCATCTTCCATGTGGCAGCCCTTTAGGTATTTGAAGATGGCTCTCATATCTCCTCTCAGTCTCCTCTTTTTCAGACTAAACATACCCAACTCCCCTAACCATTCCAGATCCTTGATAATCTTGGTTGCCACCCTCTGCACACGTTCCAAGTTTCAGATCCACCTTGAGATCACAGGAGTGTCATTTGAGTGTTCTGTCTATCTAAGCAACTAACTACGCCAGTGTGGTGTAGTGGTTAAGAGCGGTAGACTCGTAATCTGGTGAAGCGGGTCCGTGTCTCCGCTCCTCCACATGCAGCTGCTGGGTGACCTTGGGCTAGTCACACTTCTTTGAAGTCTCTCAGCCCCACTCACCTCACAGAGTGTTTGTTGTGGGGGAGGAAGGGAAAGGAGAATGTTAGCCGCTTTGAGACTCCTTCGGGTAGTGATAAAGCGGGATATCAAATCCAAACTCTTCTTCTTCTTCTTCTACTTGGTTGCACTTGGAGCTGTCCAGCCTAGCAGGTTACTGGCAGGCAGTGCAATTGGGCCAGGTTGAGGAAAAGTCTCAAGCTCCAAATTACAGAGCAGTATCACAGTTCCTTAGGCAGCAGAGCTGTTAAGTAGAACACATTAGTCTTCCATGGTTCAATTTTCTTTTAGGTTACCTCTATAAACAAATACCTTAGGATTACCTCTATAAACTGTGTAAACACATTCCTAGATTTTTAGACCTCTGGAGATTCGAGTGTGGATGTTTTATTGGCTCATAAACCTTAAGCTGGCTTCATGTTACTAAGAGGTTTTTTAAAAATGTATTTTATTTATTTTATTTAACAAAACCTGTGCACCACATAACTATAAATATAACCTCTAAGTAGTTTGCTGAAAACATAAAATATACATTACAATTATCAATAAAAGTCAGAGTTAAAAGCAAGTTTTAAAATATTAAAAATACAATTTAAACCAGCGGTTGAAATTACAGATTAAAACACATGTCACCTTTTACATGTCTGGGTAGGCTTGCCTGAGTTGCCCATCCTAGAGTCTGAGCACAATCCAAACTTTGGCAGCCAACTGGAGAGTCTGCACGGAGGGGCAGCGTGCTCACATCTGCAGCCCTGCCATGCATGGCAGCTAGGGCAGAATGTGTGTGTTTGGGGGGGAAAGCAGACAGGTAGATCACTGCAGGAAGACCTGAAACTGGCATAACGATAGGGCCTAGAATGGATCCAATGCCATTGCACGAGACCAGTGAAACTGTCTCAGGATCTAATGGATTCTGGACTGGCTTAGCTCTCCTTGCTCCCTGCCCCTAGATTGCCCCAGTCTGCTCTTATGCTGGCTGTCCCTTATGGGCATCCTGCCAATGGCACTCATGCTCAGCAGGCAGAAGAAGAAGAGCTGCACTGATGGAGTGGCACACCATTCTGTTGGTGGCAACCAACGAGAGACTGGCTTAGATGGCAAAGCTAGCCTCCCCCCAGTGCAAGCTAGGGGCTCTGGACTGCTCTGACCAACTGATATATTCCTAGTGCTTGGTGGATGTCATTTGTAGCAGCTGCCTTTGCCTCATTTCTTGCAGCACTTTATGCAGGGGAGAAGGGGCAGCCACGTCCATTTAAAAACACAGTGCAATAATCATGCAACAGGGGCTCCATTCCTCACTCTGCCTTTTGAATTTAAATGGCAGTGAGGTATTTTAATCATTTTTACTGCAAAATGGTTCGGGAATTGAAATGCACAGAATAAACAGTATCTTCCAAGCGGTGACAGTGAAGAATTAATGCAAATTTCCCTATGCTAATGCTTTTGTTTAAGTTGAGCATCTCACAGCGTGGCTGCTAATGAATGGCCTCCACTTTTTGTGTGAAGCCAATTGCAGGGTGTTGTTAAATGCAAACCCTCCTTATTTATCAAAACATATATGTTTGTGTGTTTCGTTAAAACAAAAGGTTTGTTTTCGTGTCTTACTTCGTGTACATTTATGTCATAGCCCTGTGCTTGGAACTTGAATGCAAATGAAGCTAATATGCAATTATTATAATTTCTGACATGCAGCTGGACGGTCCTGCCCTTGCTGCATATATCAACATATTCAGAACAATCAGAAAACTGAATATTCCACTTGGCTCTCCTGTCATTCTTGTGATTTCTACCCACAAACAAATGGATGTGAGTGTCACTTTTCATGAGCTGTTGAAGAATGGATCAGGCAAAGACTCTGGAGGCAACAGGAAGGAACATGCCATTTTTAGCTTGCTAAACAACACACACTTTCCCTTCTCCTTGAACTGCCTACAGTGGAAGGCCAAACAAACATAACTCCAAGGGACCAAGGTGCCAGAACGGGTTCTGCTAAGCAACCAAAAATTCACATCTTGCTACTTCATCAGCTGACAAAAAAATTCTGTTTGCTAATGTCAGGGACGCGGGTGGCGCTGTGGGTAAAACCTCAGTGCCTAGGACTTGCTGATCGTATGGTCGGCGGTTCGAATCCCCGCAGCAGGGTGAGCTCCCATCGTTCGGTCCCAGCTCCTGCCTACCTAGCAGTTCGAAAGCACTCCTAAGTGCAAGTAGATAAATAGGGACCGCTTTATAGCGGGAAGGTAAATGGCATTTCCGTGTGCTGCGCTGGTGCTGGCTCGCCAGATGCAGCTTCGTCACGCTGGCCACGTGACCCGGAAGTGTCTCTGGGCATCGCTGGCTCCCGGCCTCTTAAGTGAGATGAGCACGCAACCCTAGAGTCGGACACGACTGGCCCGTACGGGCAGGGGTAATGTCAGGGACTGGGCAGACGAGGAGGAGTGTGGAGACTGCCTCCCCATCCTGACCCTTCCAGGGAGGAAGAAGAGGAAAACAGTATAGATTTACAACAGTGGTTTGTGGGAGATCACAGCTCAGAGGCAGGTGAGCGGAAAAGTTGGGAAATAATGGGAGAGGAGCAGCAGGCAGAGCTGGAGCAGAAACTGGCTGACATGTTGTCACTAGAAAGCATTCCAGACTCACCATCTCCCAGAACCTGGTGAGCCTTAAAAGCAGGAGGGCAAAGAGCTCGAAGACAGAGGCACTTAGCGGCACCCATAGAGGATGATGATAATGAATGGGAAAGTGGGAGATAAGGGGGGGTCGGATGGAAATTCACTTGGGACAATACCATTATCCAAGAGACTGGGTTCTATAGTAGCTTCTCTCTGTGAGGTTTGAAATAAAAAAGGACTGTAAGAAAAAAGAACTGTAAGAAACTTTTCCTTGTCTTTATACTTCCCTGGGCAACCATCCGGGAGCTGCAGACAGCACCCTGACAGCTAAAGGGATTTTGCCAGACCTGACAGAATCTAAACATAGACCCCTGTCCACTAAAATGCAGATGAGGAACTTCTAGTTCCCTCAGCTGTTGATGGACTGCAACTCCCATCACCAATGACCATTAGGCATGCTGGCTGGCCTTAATGGGAGTTGGGAGTCCAACAACATCACATTGGGTACCACTGCTCTAGCAGCACCATCCTGCCATTTTGGTCAGTCTTCAAGGGAAGCCCCATGTAGAGTGCCTGGCAGTAATCAATAAATTAGTGTAGCTTGTAGTATGGTGACAAGGCTGCCCTGATCCAGCTAGTTGTAGATGGAAATAAGCACTTCTTCCCACAGAGGCCACTTGGGCTTCTATCAGGCACACCAAGTTGGGCCCCACATTGGGGGGCTGTCACATGTGCATGATGTCACATGCACAACGCCCTGCCTCCCTGTCAGGCCACGCCTGCTGGGACACTCTGGAAATTGCCCTCCATCCTGGCATTTGGGTGTCGTGTCAGTGCTCACCCAGAAGCGGCCAGTGATGGCAGTTCCCTCAATATTGGGAGGCAGCGCCTCCTGCCTCAAAATATTGAGGGAGCTAAAGCCTCTTGCACTCCATATATCCGGCGCCACTGGCTTCTAGTGACAGGATTATAGAATCATAGAATTGTAGACATGGAAGGGACCACGAGGGTCTAACCGCCTGCAACGCAGGAATCTTTTCTCCAGCATAGGGCTTGAACCCACTGCCTTGAGATTAACAGTTTCATGCTCTGCCAACTGAGCTATCCCAGTCCATGAACCTTCAGGGTGTGTGTGACCATGTAGGACAGGTCGCCACCCAATTCCTGAATTTAGGGACTACATACCAAGAGCATCTCTGTTTTGCCAGGATTCACCAGTCACTGGTGCCGCACAGCTAATATGATTTTAAAAACCGTGCTGTTTTTATGCACATGTGCTTCATCCTAAGAGCCAATCAGAGGGATGCATAAGCTGCATAAATCAGATTATTATTAGAATAAATACACAAGTAAATTTCACCCAAGTGCAAATTTATCAAGTGTGACCTTTGGACTGTATTTTGGATGTTTGAGAAGGTCACCATGTTGGGCTGCAGGAGGGAAGCCTATTTTGAGTTTAGTCATATTGATGGAATTTCTCTCTGTTTTTAAAGGCCTTTCATATAATTTGGCTTAAGACAAGCCGCATAAGAAAAGGCAATGCACAAAGCCCAAGAACAACCTTGACAGCATTTCTAAAAATAGAGAGGTTGCAGTTAGAGCACTAAACCTGGACATAAATCAAAAGAAATTATTTATTCAGCATGTGTGTATGCACGCACAATGCACTCATGCAAACACACACGCAAGCACATGCCCCATAAGCAGCCACGAGTCTTTAAAATACCCGAGCACCAAATATTTTACCTATCAGTCCCTTTCATTGATCAACCTAACAGTACTATTTTTCCCTACAGCCTCCTCCCAACACATTGTGATTGCACTTATCACTCAGTAAAAACAATAAAGGATATCAATAGGCTTGGAAGGATAGCCACTAACCAAATAAGAAAGGATGAGTTAGGAGCTTATGGGAACAGATGGGAATTGTTAAATTGACAGTAATATGAAAGAAACGTGGAATTATAAAGAAAGATTAGACAGTTGGAAGCTGGTTGCGCATAATATAAAAAGAAAAACTGGGATAGCAGAGATTGGAATAGATTTAATTTTAAATAACTAACTGAAAGAAAGGATAAACATGACCTCTTTTATTACCTATTTATTACTAATGCAGTTTTTGGTACTCTTTGTGATGTAGTTGAATAGAAACATTTTAAGTGTTGAGACTGCAGGAGTGCACAGTTTGAAAGTACTGTATTTTCTGTATATAAGATGCCCCTGTGTATAAGATGCCCCCTACAAATGGGGGGGATTGCCCAGAGTTGTTGAGCTTTTTTTGGGGGGGGGTTGCTGACCACCACTGACAATAGCAAGAGCTGCCAAAGCTTCCAATCAACTGCCCGATCGCCGCCAGCAGCCACCAATCTCCCGCACAATTGCCGCGGTGACAGCCTATCAACAGCAGCCCTTGCTGCAGCCACCAATCACCTGCCCTATCACTGCTGACAATCTCCTGCTCACAGCAGCAACCAGTCGCCAGTCCACCCTCTGCACTATCCATGTATAAGACAACCCCAAATTTCTAACATAATTTTTTTAATCAAAAAAACCTCGTTTCATACACTGAAAAAATACGGTATGTTTGCATGTGGAAACTATTTACAATTATTCATATATTTCAAGTAATTATCCATAGGCTTACAGATAAGAGGGAGAGAGATAGGGGAAAAAAGGGGAATCATATTGCAAAACAAGCCCCATTTGATGTTTGTCAAGATATCTCAGTTGAAATTCATGAGAGATTTGATCATTAATTTTGCATTTTGTTGTTTGTGTGGCAGTAAATATTGTACATCTAGCCTTGCAGCTGGGGACTGAATGGAAATCTGTGCAGGCAGATGTTGTGCTCACTATGATCTGAATTGACAGGATCTAAGAAACCTCCCAGTGCTGGTATTAATGAGCAAATTATATATATTTTTAGTCAAGGGTGAACCATCCAGAAAAGAAGAAAAATCCTGGGTAAGAAGTCTCCAGACAAATCTCCTATTACATGTAGTCCAGAGGAGGCCCAGATTTTTTACAGTAATGAAGGCCATTCCATGGAAGGACAACAGAAGCATCACTGGAATACAGTGGTACCTCGGGTTAAGTACTTAATTTGTTCCGGAGGTCCGTTCTTAACCTGAAACTCTTCTTAACCTGAAGCACCACTTTAGCTAATGGGGCGTCCAGCTGCTGCCGGAGCACAATTTCTGTTCTCATCCTGAAGCAAAGTTCTTAACCCGAGGTACTATTTCTGGGTTAGCGGAGTCTGTAACCTGAAGCGTCTGTAACCCGAGATACCACTGTACTGATTCCTCTGCAAGGCAGAGTATATTCTCAGAATGATTTCTAGTGGCAAAAAGAAACAAAACATACGGCTATGCATTCATTAGGGTAAATATTTGTTACGGGGGGATATAATTGTATGAATTCTCCACTCTAAATGTATTAGTGCTGCACGGGAATGACTGTATTGATATAAATTTATTTGTAGCAGCAAGAAATGAAGAAAAGGCGGTTTTGTATACAAGAGGTGGGGAATGTAGGCACATACAGCGTCTTCCCCACCTCCTGCAATTGTAAAAGCATTGTGCAGTGAATTGAATTCAAAAGCAGGGATGCTTTATTTCTGCAATTATACTTGACCTAAATGGTTATAAAAGGTTGTGCTATCGGAGTTATTGACATGGCAGGAGGTCACCCAGGCAACTCCAGTTATTGGGCAGCTGATAAATGGAGTGGATAAGTATGCAAGTGCACAATATTTGTTGAGAAGGGAGTAACCACTACAGAGCTGAGTAGATACCTAGCCAAGAGGTGATGATATCAGGGATTCGTTCCATACATTTTGAAAGCACTTGACACTGTGGCTTTCATTATCGAATTTGAAACACACTTAAATGGAATAACGGGGGAGAAAACTGATGAAAGCCAGAGAAAATATCCAGAACATTTCCTCCGCCCTGATTGCAGCCTCTGATCTCTATCTCCATCTGTCCTTTAACGCTGTCAAGCTATGGAGGTTGTATCCAATTGGGAAATACAGGAACATATGGTGCCCTTCAGATTCACTAACTCTTGTATATTTCAACACACGGAATGTCCTTCTGGCCTTTTGAGTTAGTGTCCCTCTTTTTCTTAAAGATGCCATTGTTTTCTGACCCTCCTTTAAAGAGAAGCATGTATAAATTAAAACAGCACTCAGAGATGCAGAAATTAAATAGGCAAAGCTTTTCCAGACAGTGTCTTGCACCACTTCCATGTGCATAAATAAAGGGACACCAGTGTTCTTGTACCTGTAGCAAAGCCTCACCAGGAGAACTTCTTATGCTTCTTCCTTGCACACCGGCCTTGCAGAGTAGGCCTGCTTCTCTAATGGTTACCACCACCAGCTCTGTGGGAGTCTGCAGGCTACCTTCACCCCAGACAAGGATGAATTAGTAAACTATTAGACCATGAAATTGTGGGCCAGTGGGCCTTGCTCTTCCAGCCAATCCCTTGCAGTTTATCCAGAGTGTAAAGCCAGCTCTCTAGCTCTGTTTCTTCCCAAGAACAGATCAACAGTTCCCCAACAACACAATATTTCTAGCCTGTTTATGAGTTTTAAGGAAGACCAACTTCTCTGAGCAGTGCATAGTAAAATCTGGCATGGATGCCCGATGGAAAGGAGGAGACAAAGCAGCAAGGGCAGCCCAGCTTTGACAGACTCTCTCCTCTCTCATTGGCCTCTTGAGAACCACAGTCACGTCTGTCAGGTATATGAGCCCGTTTCATGTTTTCCAGGTAGCCATCTTAACCACCCTTGTGTATTTGAATAAAACTGGTGGAGATAGCTGATTGCCTGACTTAAATGGTGAGGGCCTGTAGAACAGTGCTCCTCTGTCACAATACCCACATTCCCGAGAGGGTGAAGCAGACACAAAGATGGCTAAACTGAAACGTGAACGGGTGCAGTGCTGATGGAGACACAGCCTGCAAGAAAGAGGACAGTCTTTGGGTTGTATCCAACAAAGTTGTAACCTTTTGTGGCATCTGTACATTCCCTGTATCTGCTCCAGGGGATAGGAGGTACCCCCAGAAAAGATTTGGGAGAGGACAAGCAGAGGAACAAGTCCCTTGGTTACCCCCACCCCTTTTATATAATACATATTGTAGTAGGTTGTCTAGAGAACATTAGTTACTGGGCGACTAAGCAACGCAGTAAAAACAAAAAAACAAAAAATATCCCTTGATTTTCAACGAAAATTGGTTCTCAAAAAAACTTATAATTAAATTCCATACAAAGGCACAATATTGCTGGTGGTGATGGGGAGGCAGTAATTGCTGATGATAATGATTTCAGGACCTTTTCTCCAGAGGTTGGGGCAGGGAATATACAAAAAGAGTCAGAGGTGGGCTGCCTTATGGTGACGATGTCAATTCATACAAGCAGCCGTAAGTAGCAGCGTAAGGTATGATACTATTATTACACAAGTGTAATCAAAGGAAATATTGCTACTGTTTCAGAAATGACAGATGGTTATTGACTCTGGTCTCAATGGGGAAAAATTAGGACCTTTGACATATACTGTTTGCCTTGATTGATGAAAAACAGCTGTGTATACTCAGGAATCAGCATGGCGCGCTTGGTACCTGCCACTTCCCTGTGTTTTATTATTTTTGTCTCCCGACTGGAAGCCTGCACAGATCTTCCACTCTAGTGCAGTACAGCGGTACCTCGGGTTACAGACGCTTCAGATTACAGACTCCGCTAACCCAGAAACAGTACCCCGGGTTAAGAACTTTGCTTCAGGATGAGAACAGAAATTGCACAGCGGCAGCGCAGCGGCAGTGGGAGGCCCCATTAGCTAAAGTGGTACCCCAGGTTAAGAACAGTGTCAGGTTAAGAACGGACCTCCAGAACGAATTAAGTTCTTAACCCGAGGTGCCACTGTACTATTATAATACCGGTTGACTGTTAAGGTGGCTTGTGTGAGTTGACACTGTTAGCATAATATCATACACTGACGGTTAAAGGCTCACCAAATAGAATCTGAAGACTGGGGCCCACTTCAGACATCACAATCGCCAGGGTGAGGGGATTGGAAGATTTCAAAACCACAGTTGTTTAATCACAGCTAGTCATGTCATCCAACCCAAACCCAACAAAGTTAAGACCAGCTTAAAACAATTGGTTGTGAAATTGGGCTTGTTTCAAGCAAACCATCGTCAATGGTGTACAGTGGTACCTCGGGTTAAGTACAATTCGTTCCGGAGGTCTGTTCTTAACCTGAAATTGTTCTTAACCTGAAGCACCACTTTAGCTAATGGGGCCTCCCACTGCACCCGCGCCGCCGGAGCACGATTTCTGTTCTCATCCTGAAGCAAAGTTCTTAACCCGAGGTAATATTTCTGGGTTAGCGGAGTCTGTAACCTGAAGCGTCTGTAACCTGAAGTGTATGTAACCCGAGGTACCACTGTATATCATGGTGGGAATGAGTCCTGAGATCCTATCTCCCCTCTTTGACTGTGAGGAAATTGGGAGCTTTCACTTCCATTTTTAATTAAACACAGCCTTGTCATGTCATCCAAACCTGACAAACTTTGGCTAATTCTAACAAATGTTTGTTCAACACCTGCCAACTTCAAACCATGGCTTATGAAGCTGGTTTGTCTCAACAAACTATGTTAGGACTAGCCACAGTTTAGGGAAATGCTATTCTGCCCGTCATCAAAAAGGAGCAGGAAGCTGCTGATCCAGCTGAACTGGAGGAGGAGAGTGGAGCTGGAACAAACTTTCCCCCATCATGATAAGCCATGGCTTGTCATGACCTCAAAGCCAGTTCTGTCTTCTTAGGGAAATCTAGTAAATTTAGTAAACAGAGGCCAGACACAGGCAAGGTATTTTACACATTTAGGTGCTTGGTGCTTTGAGTACAATTTTGGAAAAGCTGAAAAGCAAGACCATAAAGTAAACTGAAGACTTTGCCATCCATAACCAGTTGTTCTGAAAAACTGCAGAACCAGGTATTTCAAGATTCTGTATTGTATCAAGAGATTCGTCTCATTCACTCCAGAGAAGCTTCCATTGTTCAATTGTTCATTGTTCAATTGAAGCTTCAGTTGTTACTGATGCTGTAAACAAAGCCATAAACGAAGCTATGGTTGCATGTGTGATTCTTTCTCCTTTGCAAATGTTGCCTGTTTGTATTATGACTGTGAAGTATTGCCAAGTCCTTTGAAAAAATGTAGTAAAAGATGCATTTATTTAACAAATTGTATACTGCTTAACTGTAAATAAAATCTCTAAGCAGTTGGCAAAGAACATGAAATATACATTAAAACTGTCAATAAAAATCAAAATTTAAAAAACAAGTTTACTAAAAAGGAAAATTAATAAATACCTTAAAGTATACATTCCAAGCAAAAATTATGGATCACGTCAACTTTACGTGTTTGGGTAGGTTTTCATAAACAGAAAAGGTTTTAAGAATACAGTAAAGGCGCCTTCCTAATTCCAGGAAATTCCAGGGTGTAGATGCTGCCACATTAACAGATAGGTTCCTTACAAGTGTGGGACAGACATTATGTGGCACTTGTCAGTGGTTGTGTGGACAAAGAGATGAAGCAAAAGGAGTTCGTGTGTTTGTATGTATGTGTGTGTGTATATGGAGAGTTGGAAGAAAGTGGATATCAGATTTTGATGACATTTTCGGCCAGGCATGGCCAAACTTGGCCCTCCAGATGTTTGGGACTAAAATTCCCATCATCCCTGACCACTGGTCCTGTTAGCTAGGGATGATGGGAATTGTAGTCCCAACCATCTAGCGGGCCAGAGTTTGCCTATGCCTGTAAATTTAGGTAGTATGGAAACTCCTTGACACTCATTAGAAGTATTGCAACCTCCCTAGCCAACTTCCCCCACACCTCTTACAAATACACATATGCAACTAGATCTGAAACAGTGTGACTAGTAAAAACAAGTGTCTTCTTGGGAATAGAGGAATATGCGTTTAATTTAAAACACACAACTGAGCGAAACCAAATAGCACTGTTGATTTCCACAAAGTATTGGGCACCTTTATTCTTGATGCCCCTGTGAATATAATTTCAATAAGCAGGTTTTTGATGTACTTTTTCATAAATAGAGCTGGCCCTACCAATAGATAAGAGTTACATGATCACTCCAGGCAGCTGATTTGAGGCAGCAACTGCTCAATTTATTAACATTATATTTTTACTCCCAGAGTGTAGTGCTTATGAGGCATTTTGGGGTGGACAGGACACCAGTTGTTGTTCCACCTCAGACAAAGCAGTAGGTGTTGAGCTGGTCCTGTTTATGGAATGCCTAATGAAAGGTCATTTACTGAACAATATGAAATTGCTAGAAGGGTGTAGGAGTATCCTTGTGGGGTTTTTTTTTATTAAAAATAATAATACCAGAAACAAAACAGTAGCAAGCAGGCTTTCATCCCAAATTGCATTTTCTTTAGACCATTGCATGAAAGGCTGTTTTATTTCCATTATCTTCTACCCCTTCAGATTTCAACTGCAGGTACATTACATCTGGTGGTCCTCAACTCCTGTATAAACTCGTAGCTGTTCTAGTTCATCTTTTTAATAAAGCTTAAATGTTTTGTTATTTGTAGCATCATTTCTTTCACTGGCATCTCTCAGCAGTGCAGTTGGTGGGCACTAAGGGACAACAAGCAATATGTCGCTGCAAATAAAGAGCAGGACAATTAATTTTCATCTTAGGAGGTTATTAATAGCGAACAAAAAGTGCCATGTTGTTCTTGTTGTTCTGTAGCGAACAAATTATATGTTTCATTCAGCCAAACTTTTTTTTTTAAGACAAGCTAATAAGGCTATAATTTTTTTATGACTTACAGAGGGTGATAAAGAGACATTAGTTGGAAGTGAAATGTTCATCACAGTTTATATGAATCCTGCAATTTTAGGAAAAGACATCTTAAAGGCGACGAGAGCAAATCTGCAAGAAAATATTTCAGGGTCTGCTTTTGCTGCAAACAAAGCCTTAAACAAGGCTATGGTCACCACTTTTTCCTTTGCAGATGTTTCCTTCACTGTCACCTCAGGTGTCCCAGCACCTCACTAGTAATAGTAATAATAATAATAATAATAATAATAATAATAATAATAAATCCAGCCAGATGGGTGGGGTATAAATAATAAATTATTATTATTATCATAAAAACAGAATCCTTCCAGACCCCAAGGACCAGCAGATTTTCTCTACACAGGTGCAAACCTCCCTTCTCACCCATGTACACATTTGAGAGCTATGGGCTCCTGTGTGGTGGTTGGTAGCCCCCTAGCACTAGGCAGGACAGCCAAGTAAAGCCTCAGGATAATTAAATGGGCAGCAGGGCAGATGCCAAGACCATACAGCTTCCTCTCTCTGCCTCCAATACCCACACATTAAGCGTAGACTTCTGCAGGAGAAAGCCTATATGTGGAAAGTCTATGGGTGCAAAGGCTTTCCAGAGTTGATGTAGGGCAGTTTTCCAACAAAGTTAGTGTACACACATGGGGTGGAATTCAGTGTTGTGCAAAGGAGAGTGCACTGTGTCTGTTGCGCACTGCGTTCATGTTGCATGCAAAAGTATCTACGGAAACCCAACCACATTTTTCATTCTTATAAAACATGGGAGGGGGGGCAGGGGAGAACCTGAAACTCTCCAGATGTTGGTGGACTTCAGCTTCCACAGTCCCTGCCAATTGGCCATGCTGCCTGGGGCTGATGGAGAGCCAGAAGTCCCCCACCTATTCTATAATATGGAGTGGGAGGTTGGTTGCTTAACCCTTTCCCAGCCTATGTGATTTGCACCATAAGCAAATAATTTGCAAATTCTGCCACCTGGATTTGGCAGACTAGAATATGGCAACCCTACCTGGAGAGCGGATTAGGGTTGAGGGATGGGTGCCATCTCTCCACTCTTGCTAAAAGGAATATTTTGAAAGGGAAGGGATGGGAAGGGAAGGGAAGGGAAGGGAAGCGCCCAATTCCAGTGCTTTAGAACTGTATGCTCCACCTGATCTAGAGATATTAGAATTAATTATTATGTCATTTTAAATAGAAACAGCATCTTTTGATCTTTCTGTTTTTAAAAGGTGGAATTCAGTCCAATAGGAATGTGTTTCCTCGGTTTAATTGTGCAGTCTACTTGCCTGAGCAGCTATAAGCAAGGGAATTGTTCATGTGTAAAGCTCCAGAGACAGGAAACCACTTGGCTGAGAAGCTAGGAAATCCCCATGAGCAGCAAACTAAGCCCTGCCTTCCCCTGCAGTGTCACTTAAATTCTACTAGACTGACCTATGCTCAGCTCCATAGACGATTTTCAATATAAAGGTTTATATTTCCCTAATTATGTATTAGTTGAGACTTTTTTTTTGCAGACTGCAGAGAATGCTTCTGAGCATGTGCAGTGTGTCTTTCAATTACAGCCAATTTACACATCAAATGCTGATTATTCCCAGGCAGATTTGAGTCCCAGTGCCTTGCATTATTTGCAAGCAAAACTCCCTCTCTCTTATACCCCAAAAAATCTCCATATGTAATGTCACAGGAGATATCCTATATGACCATTTTGAAAATGAATATTTTTTATTGCAATATTTTTTCTTTTTTCTTATTTGTTCTTGTATTTATTGAAACCTTTCCCCTGAAATGTCTTTCAAAGAAACACAAAGAGGGAGCATCGTGGGGGTAGAGTACTGGAAAAGATAAGGACAATAAAAGGGGTGAGAGTTCAGTTCATTGTGTGAGACAATGAGTGTGCATCTTTGAACACTTATCTTTGACCAGTAGGTCAAGAATAACCGCTCACCCATCCGAGGTGGGCGCCATTTGCAGACCGGCACGCGGTACCCCCGATCTTGTTGGAGACACGCCAGGTTGCCCAAGCTTGCCCGCTTTCCCGGCGCCGCGGAGTTTTGTGGGTTCCTGGAAAAACCCCGGTTTAAACGAGCCAATCCGCGATGCGACTGGGGCGGGACCCAGGAGCGGACCGCGAGTGAGCAGGCTTCACTCTGGTCCGCTCCCGTGGCTTAAAAGGGGGCGGAGCCAGCGCTCGGTGAGCAGTCGGCTCCAGAGTTCACCCATCTCATGAGGTGGGTTGTGACAGCATAATGGCAAAAATGATGAAGTGGGTCCCTAAATCCATTATCAGGTTAAATGGGTCCCAAATAGGGGTATCTATAGGAATGTTTCAAAGAAGCAGGCAAAGTAAAACAATGAAAGGAGGAAGAAGCCTTGCTTATTTTTTTTTAAAAAAAGATTAAAAGCGGTGTCTGTACATATTGCCTCATCTCAGGTTCTACAAATGCTATACACCTATTCTTTATTATGAAAGCTGGAAATCTGGATATTATGATTCACCAGGGTAATGGGCAACAGCCCCCTTGCCCCCCCAATGGAAGCCCACAGTCCCAAGTCTGAAAAGACGGAAAAGTACTGACAAAATGGGAGTGGATTGAATGACTAGTTCTAGCCCAGCTCAGACAAAATATTTCTCTTTCTGTCATAGGAATTTGTAGCAAGCCTGTTGTTTTTAAAAATAATAATTGATTTGGGTAATGTTTCTGATGGCAGGATTCCCCCCTCCAGTAATAATTTTTTTGTTTAATTGAAATATTTTCTATAAAATATAATAATAATAATAATAATAATAATAATAATTCAATTGGCAGCATCACTCAGATTCAAAACAAGACAGGCAAGGAATTTGACTCTAGTGTTGAGGAATCAGCCTCCTGAGGGGATTCTCCACGCTCCTTAGGAGAAGCGTTTAATACGCAGCTTCAGAGTACAGAGAATTTTACCACAGCACGGGGTTATGACTACACTTAATTAGAATTGCATGTATTAAAAGACACATTTGCATTCCCAGACTCCTCCTGGAGCAGCTCAGACGCAGCTGTGCAATTCTAACAGGCAGAGGAAATTTATTTTTATTCCCCTTCTCAGCGGTCCGAGGCAAACATTAGTTCCACAGCACAACAAGCACTGAATGTGAAGATAACATGGTGCTCAGGCAGAGTGAACTATAGAAGGAAGTGCCTGAAGCAATGTTCATTGCAATCTTCAGTATCAAATGTTAAAAGATAAGTACAAATGGCTGAGCTAGTCCATGAAACTCCCATCTGTAAGCTTCTAGGCTTTTCCCTTTCTTTCCCTTTTGCCAATGACTTTTCTTTTAATTTTATTCCTGTAAATCGACTGCTCAGTCATTTACTCTATTCCAGGAATGGGAAACCTTGGGCCCAGGGGGCAAATGTGGTTCTTCAGATCTGTCTGGCTTTCAGGACTCCAGTTCAAAGCTTGCCTTGTTTTCTAGCTACTTTTGCCTTGTGCCTTTGTAGCTTGGTTTTATGCCCGGGATGAACCATGGTTAAGAAAGGGTGCTGGCTTCACTAATAATGCCAAGCCACAGTAAATGCAAGCCAAGGTTCTTAAACCAACAAGAAATCATGGGATTCACACTGTGGTTTGTTGGCAGAAAACAAACCATAGCTAAACTTCTTAGCAGGATTCAGAGAGTGTGAAACCATGGTTTATAAACAATAGTTTCGTATTATGTGTGAACCAGGTCTATGTGCCTCACAGTGTGCTCTCTTATCCTATTCAAATCTCTCTCCTGAATTCAACCATAGTCATTCTGTTGACCTCCCCTTCTCAGCTTCTTAAGGGCTGTCTTCCCTTAACCCCAGTCCCATTTGCTCCTGTTTCTATTGAGTTCTTTTAAAAAACAACAAGACACACTGCATCTTCATAACATCCTCTGTTACCCCAGAGACACCCCTCCCGGCACTGTGACATGGATCCTGCTCTGTAACATTAGGCTACTACACCCAGCCACTATCTATGCAACTCTTTGGGCCAGGTTGGTAGAAAAGGGTGTTTTCTGAGAGATGGGCTGGACCTGGTGTTTGCCCTCTTGTAACCACTGTAGCTCTATTGTTGAAACGCTGCTTAGGGTGCACACAGCAAACATGCTCTCTGCAACCTTGAGAGAGTGAAACAGACCTGCATTCCCACAGGTGATATTAGTTGCATGGGAGCAACCAGAAACAACTGCCTTTTTTTATAAGGCTGCAATGATAGCAACTGTTTACTTTGGGGGAAAGGTAATGGTTTTGTTGCCGCCACATTTTGTTCATTCTTTATTCCCTTTTGAATATTTAACTCTGCTTTTCTACTAGAAGTCTACAAAAAGCCACACTAAAATATGACAACTATGAGGAAATGTAGCAGCAATCATGATTAAAGCCATGAAACAGAAGCCCGTGGGGAGGGGGATAATTAATAAATAAAACAGAGCCAGAAAAACCATAAAATCAGGAAAAAACATTTTAAAAAATCAAGTACAACTATTCTAAGCTACAATAACAGTCAACTGATTTTGACAAACAAAGAAGCCCTCCTCTCAAATGCAGTCTAGTTTAGGTACCATATGTCCATTAAAAACGTGTCCGCACCTGTCAGGGCAGCAATATACCTCTCTGTTCAATTACATCAAAATGCATCCTCATGCAATCTGTAGTTTTAAGCCCCAAGACAAAAAGCCTGGGAAATGTGACCACCATCAGCAGGTTTGCAAGGCAGAATACTAATAACTGCATTGAAGTGCTTGAAGGAGAAGGCAAGGTTCATATTTCATTCTTAGTTAATAAAGCATGGCCGGCCCTGTCATTAGGCAGATGGAGGTGAGTACAAAACGTGCTGTGCAGGTCATGGTAACAAGCAATCTCTCTCTCTTTCTGTAAAGTTGTTTCTTATTATTTCATTTTATAATGTATATAAAACAGAAAGAGCAATTACAGCAACAAATAAATATTAAAAGATGGAAAACAAAGCTTTAAAATAGGCATGCAGAGTGAGTTAAAATAGCAAAGTCCAAGGAAAGATTATCAATGTTATCAGATCATCAGTATAGTTACAGATTTGCCAGTCTTGTGACAAGGATTGTCTTGAAAATGATGGTTCCGCTGTACATGTCATAAAGGAATGCCAAATCGTATCAAAAGTGCCTGGAGATTCTAGTCCTTGTCGAAATCTCAAATTATATGTGATTCCACCCCCACCCCCCATTATAGCTCTATTCCACAGTGAGCGTTACTAAGCATCCAGGGTAAGATTTCCACTGACTTGCAATTACTATTCATGCTTCCAATATCATATACGAGACCAATTCTTTTGACGATATAGTAACTAGCTAGATATTGTGCCTTGTTTTTTATTTATCTGCACTTGATTCGGAAAAGCTCTCCACCCCAAAATATGCAACCCTAAAGCAGAGCTCTGCTTCAAGAGGAACTTTTTACAGAGAACAGAGACTGAGATCAAACCACTGCCTGCTCTTTTCCGCTTTGCCCTGTCTGGGTTTCATATGTTTTTCTTCTTATGCCTTGACCAGACTTAAATTATTCATGGCTTCCCTTACATTTTATGGGAAGCTGGATTAATAAATCATTAAGAGAATAAAGATGGATGAGCACCCGTTATATGGGCAAAGACTACTGGAAGCTGCATCATCGAGATGTCAGATTTCAATTCTGCAAACGTTCAAAACTGTGCTCCGGGTTAGGCTTTGAGCTCCATTTTCTGTCTTTTGGAGCAACTAATCTATGTTACATCAGACATGGAAGTTTTGTACCAGTGTCCCTTTCTCTAAGTAATGCTGGCAATTGCATGTTGGGGAAGGAAGAGATGATGAGGGGAGAGACCATGGCTCATGGTAGAGAACATGCTTTGCATATGGAAAGTTCCATGGCACCGCCAGTCAAAAAACAGATCAGGTGGAAGATGATAGGAAAGACACCTGCTTGGAATTCTGAAAATCTGGTTCTGGTCCTAGTAGACAATATGGGGCTAGACACACAATAACCCATCCTGGTACAAGGCAGTTTCCTATATGTCTTCAGCAGCCAGCATTCTCTGGTTAAAAGGAAGGCCTGCAGTGTAGAGTGTCTGTGTGCCATATTTTATTGAGGCCGTATTCTACTTGAAGGCCTGTCTGCTCCAAGTTTGATTTAAAAATAAAGAAGGGTGTGGAAAAATCATACGATTGCTTTGAAAAACGGTGCAGGAAGCAACCACACACTGCTTCCCATGTAATTCTATGCACAAAGGCCCACTGGGAGCATATCAGAATGGCTGCCTCTCAAACTGTCCTGTCTCATGGTGTATAACTTACCTCAAGTGCTGGGGGATACTGTGTCGTCTAAGGTGGATGGCATAGTTGGTTTGGAAAGGCCTATCAATTCATGAGGAATTCCTAATTTCTAACAATCAGTAGCAAATGAAATGAAAACAATGGATACAAAGTTTTAATGTGCCATAGCAGTTGGTAAAAGCTCCTGTCCGAGCAACATTAATCCTTTAAGTAGCTTCATTTAAAATAAAAAATAAAAATGCTAATATTGGTGAGGGAGGAATGGAATATTAAATTACATTTTTTAAGTTAACATCTGAGAAAACATTTTTTGTAATGGCAAGCATATTTTGTGCTTGACGACCTACTTGCCATTATAAAAACTGGAGGCTAAAGTAAGCATAGCATGTCACACTATATAAACTGATTTTTTTAATGCCATAATGAAGTGCCCAATACACCAAATCTGACATGCCTTTGTGGGCTGCGCAATTGGGGTGTCTTTTGTGAAGAGGTTGGTTTATTTTGGACTCGGTAGCAAATCAATAAGCATTAGGCCAGGAATAGCACTGGTGGAATTGCTGAATAAGTGAAACAAAAGAAAATGTAAGTCCCATTTTCTCTTTCATCTCTTAGACTGCAATCTTAACCCCACCTACCTGGGCTTAAGCCCTTCAGTGTCTTCAGTGGGACATACATCTGAGAAAACATGGTTAGAATTTCAAAGATGAATTTCACCCAAAGACATAAATTATAGAGGCCACCAGTTTCATTTCAAACAAAACTTAGGAAGCGCCCATGATTTTTTTGCTTTGTTTAAATATTTTAATTTCAAATAAAACCATCACACGAAGGTGAACCACATGTATAAATCATGGCTACAGTATCTGTAGGGACGCGGGTGGCGCTGTGTGTTAAACCACAGAGCCTAGGACTTGCCGATCAGAAGGTCGGCGGTTCGAATCCCCGCAACAGGGTGAGCTCCTGTTGCTTGGTCCCTGTTCCTGCCAACCTAGCAGTTTGAAAGCATGTCAAAGTGCAAGTAGATAAATAGGTACCACTCCGGCGGGAAGGTAAACGGCGTTTCCATGCGCTGCTCTGGTTCTCCAGAAACAGCTTAGTCATGTTGGCCACATGACTGTACGCCGGCTCCCTTGGACAATAAAGCGAGATGAGCACCACAGCCCCAGAGTCAGTCACGACTGGACCTAATGGTCAGGGGTCCCTTTACCTTTACAGTATCTGTAACAAGCAAGCAAGCATCTCAATAGTATCTAGAGCAGGGGTTGGTAATGTGGTGAGCACAATGGCACCTAGAGGTTTTCCCCTGACACCTACAAAGCCTCTCTCCTGCACTGACCCCTTATTCATGAAGCAGTTATGCTGCTTACCTTTCTCTCTCGTGAAAAGAACATAGAGCTGAAGGAGGAAGTTGGAAGAGAGGCACTCTTTCTCACTTCCACCTCTATGTGCTTTTCAACACTCAGATTAATTCTACTATATCTGATTTTTACCCAGATCTCCTATCTTTCTTTCTTGGCTGGGTGGTGGAGGAAAGCTGATTTAGGGGAGTGAATAAAGAAGTTACCAGCAGGGGTGTCAGTCAAACACAGGGACGCGAGTGGCGCTGTGGTCTAAACCATAGAGCCTCTTGGGTTTGCCAATCAGAAGGTCGGCGGTTGAGATCCGTGTGATGGGATGAGCTATGTCCCAGTGTCTGCCAACTTAGCAGTTCGAAAGCACATCACTGCAAGTAGATAAATAGGTACCGCTGTGGCAGGAAGGTAAATAGCATTTCTGTGCGCTCTGGCACTTGTCATGGTGTCATGCTGTTTAGTCATGCTGGCCACATGACCCAGAAAGCTGCCTGTGGACAAATGCCGCCTACTTCGGCCTGAAAGCGAGATGAGAGCAGCAACCCCATAGTCGCCTTTGACTGGACTTAACCATCCAGGGCTCCTTTACCTTTTACACTCAAACATCCAAATGTGCTCACAGGCTTAACTCCTGATCTACAGCAACCCTGGGACTATATTAAAAGTGATTACTGAGAAGAAAAACTTCTCAGTACTCCCTCTTATTCTCCTGAAGCTGGTCCTAAAATTGAATATATTGAGTCTGATCCAATGCTGTCGCTCTGCTGACTGAAGGGTCTTTGATTGGTCCTGTGGAGTCTCCCATTATCAGAATGGGGAGGAAGGCTATTTCACCTATTTGCCTTCTCAGTTTGCAGCTCCTCTTGCCCCCTACCATGTTGTTTTGAACAGAGTGGCCTGTTTCCAGTGTTTCTCCAGATGACAGTGTGTGTTTGTGTGCATGTGTAGCTATTTTCTACAATATACAAGGTAGTCTGCAGCAATCTGCATCCTGACCAGTGGCTTGGTGTAGGCAGGTGTTCTCCCAGCTCCCAATACCAAAGGTGGAAATAAACACAGAAATTTGCAATTTATTTATTTTGGGTTCCTTTTGTCAAACCTGCACAGTTTAAATGGTCTGTTTACACAAAGATTTACAAAAAGACAGACTTCATTTAACTAAATGATTTAAAGAAACTAATTCAATTAATCATCATTAAACAAACACTTGAAACCAATTAAAGTTGAGCCATAATGAAGACATTGATTTTGACTTTGTTAAGCAAGGCAGTCAAGCAAATTAAACACACCTTCTAGAGACACAGTTTTCACTCTTGATTGTGAATCCTAGAGTGACCACTAAATAGTGATAATGTTTATCAGCCTCTTTGCCAGAAAATCAGAACACAGCCAACGTAACTGTTTTTAAGAAAGAGATTCAGGAAATTATAGTCAAGGCAGCCAGTGAATAGAGCTGGTCTACTAGGGCAAATGGTGCCCTGCCCCAGCAACCCCAGTTTGCCCTTAGCCAGCCCCCATTTGCCTGCCTTCTTACTACTCAAAGAGATAGCTGTCAGTCTCTCAGTTTCTTGGGCCTTAGTCACAGTGTTAACCCTGGTAGAACTCAGCAGGGATGAGAATGGGGACAAAATTAGTTGGCTTTTCCTATCATTGGCTCTGGTCCACTTACTGTTGATTTCTCTGCCTTCTTCCCTACCAGTTCCAACAGACACATTCCATCTCAGATAAACTGGTCCCATAATGTTGGCAGAATGGAAAAACTTTTGGAAAACAACTATGAATTTTACGGCATGTTACATGCTAAAGAACATGCTAAAGATGCAGTATAGATGCTATCTTACCCCATCAGGGCTTTCCAGGAGGTATAAAAATATCGTGAGTAACTGTTGGTGTGGGGAAAGTAATGGAGACATGTACCACATGTGATGGATGTGTAGGAAAATAAGAGAATTCTGGGGCCTTGTCTATGATGAGCTGAAAAAAATCTTTGGAACAACATTTTTTAAAAAGCCAGAAGCGCTTTTGTTAAGCATTGTTGGTAAAGATATCCCGAAAAACTTAAGAGAAATATTTCTATACGCTGCGGCGGTGGCCCGAACACTAGTAGCAAAGAACTGGAAAGGGGGAAATGTTCCGACTATAATGGATTGGCAGAATAAGTTACAAGAATATTTGGAAATGGCACAATTGACCAACAGCCTAAGGTGCAGTTCAAGACAGGAATTTGCACAAGAATGGGATAAATACAAGAGATATGTACAAAAATATACCAGTGGTTTTTCGTTTATGGCAGCATTTGAATGAACTTGGATAAAGAAATCTAGGCAAAATAAGATTAATGGTACAAATTGTTGTAAGAATGTATTAGAGAATATATAAAGAATAGATTAATAATGGTAGGTACATTCACTATTAGAATAAAAGCATACAATGGGAATTGACAGGAAGTCCAACGTTTTTATGATATTTTTTGTTAATAACTTTTTTGTTAATAATCTTTGTTAATAACAGCACAAAAAGTAGCATAAACACAGCTGAAGCTTAAGGTTTATAACTATGTAAAAAAAGACAAGTATATGGTGTGTGTTTTTTGAGTGTATATGATTGAAATCTCAATTTACGAGATGTACTATATATCTCTAATGTATTGTAAGACTATTAATAAAGCTTGTTACATTGCAAAAAAATAAAATAATAATAATAATAAAATAAACTGGTCATAATGACTTTGGCTAAGATTGTTAATCATGTAAAAGATTGTGGAATATGGATAGAAAATTTACAGCATGTTATGGTTTAAGAGAAAATTATATGAAAATAATATATTGTTGGTATCTAACACTGAGTAAACTGGCACAAATGTATAAATCTAAATCAAACAAGTTTTGGAAATGTAAAGAGAAAGAAGGTTCTTTTTATCATATGTGGTAGTCTTGTAGTAAGGTTAAAGTTTACTGGGAAATTATATATAATAAATTGAAAAGGATGTTCAAAATAACTTTTGTTCTGTCCCTATACAGTAATTCCCAAAAGAAAAGCTTCTGGGTTTTTTATACAAAAGTTATTTTGTACAATTTAAATTGTATAGAAATTTATTTATGTATGCTACTACAGCAGCAAGAATACTACTTGCCCCAAAATGGAAAGAAGCAGAAGTCCCAGCAAAGGAAGAATGGATACAAAAACTTATGGAATATGCAGAAATGGCAGAAGAATAAGAAACCAAGATAACAAACTTCTAATGGAAATGGTTTATTGAATATTTACAGATGCAAAGAGATAAAAACATTGGCAGGATTATTGTAATAACCTGCAGTTTCATAAGAGTATATATCTAAAGTAGATTAATTAAATGAGCAAATTAAATGACATTTGGTTATGCAGAAGAAATTAAAAAATAAATTTAAGGAACCGCCGAAAGAGGGGGAAGGAAGTCAAACTTTGAAATGTTAATTTGATTGTAAAACTCATGAAATGTATAATCCTGAAAAGTATAAATAAAACTTTTTAAAAAAATAACAATGTAAAAGAATAGGCCTCGTCAAGGGAAGGCATGGCTTCTCTAGAGGGATAAGCTTGTCTCACCAACATTTTTAAAGTTATTTAAGAGGATCAACAGATAGGTAGTTGAATCTATTCAGTAGACACTCTATATACTTAGAATTCCCAAAAGCTCTTTGCAACACATCACAGACTCCTTTAAAAAAGGCTTAACATCTATAGCATAAGAGCACAGATCTTCCCATAGGCATCTGGTTTGCCACTGTGAGAAAAGGATGCCAGACTAAATGGGCCACTAGCGTGATCCAGCAAGCTCTTATTATGTTCTTTTTATGGACTGGTAACTGATAACAAAACAGAAAGACTGTCGGAATACATGAGCAATTTTTACAATGGGGGGAAGTGAATCATAGCTGCATCCCTAAGGATTTGTTTGGGAACAGTGTTATTTAACCTATTTATAAAGGCTCTGGGTGGGGGGATATGTGAATAGGGATTTGGTGAGACAGCAGGCCACTTTAAAATCGCCCACAGTGGTGCTGTTTTCCTCTTGGAAATGGCTTCAACCATTTCCATATCTCAGTTTAAGACTGCAGTGAAGCATGATTTTTATTACTGATTTTCCCTCACATGCCTGCTTGTGAACCTGGAAGGGAGCACATTCTACCACTGAACAATCTGTTGGATGTGGAATTTAACAGACTCTTTGCCAGAGAATTAGAAGGAAGCCAATGCAGCTGCTTTTAAGAACAGTATTGAAGAAATTACAGTCGTGGTAGCCTAACTTTCACCTCAGATATATTGGTACTTGGTGCTCTTTTTTTGGTAAAAAAATGAGGTGTCAGTACTCATATATTGATTTTTTTTTTTTAAAGCCATGGGTGAACACTGCTGGTGTACAAACAAAGCCCTGCAGGTACTAATGATTAAGGCATGGTTTTTCTTTCTTTTGCTGGTCTTATAGGTTTCTTTAAACTAGTATTTTAGCTGCTTTAAACAGTAGGAGAAGGGGAATACGCCCTCTTTCTCTCTTCCACCTCTCTGTGCTTTTCAACCAACATTTTCAACACAAACTCAACCAACAGTAACATCTGACCAAATTGAGTTGCTACCTGTGTACATTCACTACATCTATGGAAATACAAAGGCAGAACAGACAATATCTTTTTTCAGTATGAGAGCTGATAAACTGTAACTCCATTAAAACTAATACAGTTGTACCTCGGAAGTCGAACAGAATCCGTTCCAGAAATCCGTTCGACTTCCAAAATGTTTGACTTCCAAAGCGCAGCTACTGCAGCCAATTGGAAGCTGCAGAAGCCCCGTCGGACATTTGGCTTCTGAAAGAATGTTTGAAAACTGGAACAATCACTTCTGGGTTTCGATCGTTCAGGAGCTGGAATGTTCAACTCCCAAGGCGTTCGGGAGCCAAGGTATGACTGTATGGTTTTGAGCTTTGGAAATCAGCTTGGGGCGGGGGAGGGAGTACTTTAATCTCTGGATTGTCTTTGCTTTCTAGTATCTTGTTCAAAATGCCAGCCAGAAATGCCTCCTTAACAACATCTTCCTTCTTTAAGTTGCCTGTTTGAAGGATGCTGCCTTGATGTCCCTATTGGTTACAATTGGCTCCAGCTGGAGTTGTGGAATTCTTGAACCTATTCTGTTTCAAATCCATAAATGCAAAATACTTCACCATTGTCCCCAAGGTGAATCACAGCTTCCAGACGAGGGTAGGATATGCTTTTGGGTGCATGCCCATAGTAAGAGTTTTCTTAATCTAGTAAAACATAAGCCAATAAGAACCAAATCAAATGCACCAGCAACTGCGGTTGTTGTTGTTGAGATAGGGACCAGAATGTGAAGTCTTGGCATATGTTTACATGAGCTGCTAAAGATCATTTGAATCTCAGTTTTGCATATTTATATCTCCTATATCAAGTTTAAGAGACTGTGGGTGAGTGAAACCATGTTTATTGGTGACTATGCTTAGCCCGGCACTTTGCACAGGTGATGTTCCAGTGGTCCTTCCTTTAGTGGACATAGCTATGCGATCATACAAATGTGGATTTATATATCTATGCTGTGCCTGTGGAAAGCATGTGCATTAGCTTATTCATTTATGGGTTCTCTGCATCAAGGCTTCTCTCCTGGGACCCATCTGAGCTGCTATTCCCTTTGCCAACACAAAAGAAACAAATCAATGTTTGCCATTACTTCCCCTTTTCACATCTCTATGTCTTTACAGTACAGACAACATATGGGTCTTTTGGAAGTTAATGCCCCCCATGTCACGAAGTGTTTTTAAAACATATTTGTGTTGGCAATAAAAAACACTTGCTGGCCTTCAACTGCTCTTTCCTTGGCGTTTTCCCCCTAAATAGATCAACATGCCACTGACATGCACAAAGCAGGGCAATCAACTGATGGCAAATATATCTCCTTCCATTGAAGTCTCCTTGGAGAGCCAATTGTTTCCCACTCCTGTAGAGATCCTGGGCATTCTACCTCACCCCCCCGCTTTGGATGAGAGAAGACTGAAGACTCAATATCTACCTCTCTGCAATTCAGAAACAACACTGTTTCTCTGCTGAAGGGTGTCGCTTTCCAGAGGCAGAAGAGATTTCCAGTTATTGGCTGCCATTAGGGGAACATTCATTGATCCCCACAGACTACAGGCAAAATAACTAGTTTAAGAATGAGCTGTCACCCTGCAGCTGTAGAACCATAGCCTTTCCCAAGGCAGGTCTGGTTCCTAGGCAAGTTCTAGAACTCAGGGGTTGTGAACCTCCAGCCTACAGGCCTAATTAGGCCCACCGGTCCTCTTCATCTGGCCCACAGGGTCATTTTGCCCAGACCAGGCCCACCTACACTACAGCCAACATTATCTATGGGGTCAGGTGTGGGGCAGGTAGAGACAAGGCTCAGCCAAAAGGTCTTTGAAATATCTGACTATCAGCTGGTTGTTTGTTCTTGCAAAGCATCCCACAAGGGCCCTGCAATGGGCTCTTGTGCTAGGGGTTCCAAAGACACAACAGTCCACTGTTTGCCAGGTCTTGAGAATCCCCTTGTAAGGATGTCTGCAAGAGCTCTGCAATGGGGTTTTTGCCCCAGCCACCTCTGGACTACACCAGTTATAGGGGCTTGGTCCTCCCCACTAAGGCAGGAGCAGGGAAATTTTTCAGCCTGAGGTGGAATTCTCTCAGGGGTCACATTCTGGAAGTGGCCTTCTTGCATTACCACACCACATACTCCTAATACTCTAATCAGACACACATTCCCACCATACACCCTTCCCACCATTCACACTCACACAGAATCAGGCAACATTAGTGACTGAGATTTTCACGGGGTTCAAGTGGGATAAAGTAAGTATTTACGGTCCCGTTCCCCCACTTCGCGTTTCCATCTGAATTTTCATTGCATGGATGCACAGGGGATACTAAACACACACACACACACACACACACACACACACACAGCGTGTCTATAAACAGTTTTTCCTCACTCGTGCCTGCAGACTTCAGCTGACTGACTTCTGTCCCAAATGCTTTTCTAGTTCCCATGACTCTTTATTCCTAACACTGCTTGGCAGGCTCTCAGCCACAGAGCAGCTGCTTTGCAGAAGGTGCCAGGTCCAATGCCCGTCATTGGAAAATATTCATCTGAAATCCTAGAGAATCACTGCGCCAAGCTAGAACCCTGAGCTAGGCAGACCAATGGCTTGACTTGGTATAAGGCAGCTCCCTATATTCCTACAAAGTCTATGGGTGCCCAGTATTTACCGCAGCACTCCACAGCACAAGCTTGCCAGCTGCTTCCAGATTCTCCTTCATGGTTGCTTGAATTTCCTCTAAAAACTGCTGCTGTGGTACTCTGCTTTCAGGAGAGCCCTTATTCGCTCATTTGGCAGTGCACAGTTTCTCTCCAAGGGTACAATAGATCCTACTCCTGGCATCAGTAGGAAAGGCTCTCCACCTCCCTGAGGACATGAGCCACCCGGGAGAAAGGGCTGCAGTTCAGCAGTAGAGCATGTCCTTTGCACACAGAAGGTCCCAGGCTCCACCCCAGCACCTCCACCTGAAATCCTGGAATGCTGCTGCCAGGCTTGTGAGCTAGATGGATCCTTAGGCAGTTTCCTCTGTGTTCCACCCATGCTGTAGGGCTGAGTATTCTTTGAATGGGAGACCACAGGATACAGTGGTACCTCGGGTTACATACACTTCAGGTTACACACTCCACTAACCCAGAAATAGTACCTCAGGTTAAGAACTTTGCTTCAGGATGAGAACAGAAATCGTGCTCCGGCGGCACGGCAGCAGCAGGAGGCCCCATTAGCTACAGTGCTGCTTCAGGTTAAGAACGGCTTCAGGTTAAGAACGGACCTCCGGAACAAATTAAGTACTTAACCTGAGGTACCACTGAACTTATGACATTCTTGTGTTCTCTGTCTGAGTTACAAATAGATAAGAAGTGCAGGGTGGAAACAAGCAAAAGCGGGAAGCAAAGCCGCCAAAAGAACCCAGCACCTTGGTTCAATCAGAAGATTAATCAATTAATCAATAGATTCTACGGAACAGTACTTAAAAGCAATTCACCGATAACATGTTGCCCCTTAGACCCCTTGGCAAATTTCATTACGAAATTTGAGTGAATTTGAGGAGTTGATAAGGAATTGAATAGTTGCAGCTCGTATGCTGCTGGAACAAAAAGAGAGTAAAAGAATGGTTATCAACATTTTGGAAGGTAGCTGTGGTGCATAAGCTTACAGAGTCAGCGAGATTGAGAGATGGAAAACAAGAGAGAAAAAACGTAAAAAATTAATGGGTTCCTTGAACTGAATTCCCGAACAATAGATACAATACAAACATTGATAGGTATAATAGTTTTTCTATGTGATAGTTTTTAAATTTATAATTTTGGAATTTATCATATCATTTGTATTTATAGTTGTTTGACATAGATAGATGTATTTGTATATATGCTTACATGCATTTGCATGTATTTTATTTCCCAAATCAAATAAAATCATACACACACACACACACAAACGGATTGGATCCCCAAAACAAGACGGACTCCTGCAGACCCCTCCAACCTGCTTCCAAGTCAGATCAGCCACCTCTAGCTCAAAACCTCCCCCTCTCTACCTGACACCCTCTGTCTCACAATTTAAACTTCAAAAATGCAACACTGTTTACCTTCCCTTCCCTTAGCTGAAGGTGAGGGAAATCCCTATGCATAGTCTCACGTTACACTGAACACATGTGCAAGCTGTCTCTACACATGTACAAGTGTTGGTGTGAGTGTACACCTTAACTGTTGTGTACACAGACTGTACAATCATTGGACACTATGTGTAAATGATAGTATGAGTGTGCAGTTCATTTGTTTGTGTACACTGGTACACAGATTGTGCATGCGTGGAATGTGAACCAGTGAATATCCCTACAGTCTCCAATGATGATAAGAAAGTGATCTAAGTGGCACATAAGCAGAATGAAAGGGATACTCAATCCCCCTTCCATTAGAGCTTCTTGTGAAATCCTGAGCATCCTGAAGCACTTTACAAATCACTCCGTATCATGTGGTAATGCAGTGGTTGCAGAAACAGAGGGCATTCTCTGCTCTCCTGTTACTCATAGTTTGAAATGTGGACATGGACACATTTCCAACAGTATTTTTTTTAATCACAAAAATTCCTACAGTATTATTATTTATTGAATCACAGTGCTCTGCACTAAACTGGGCGTCCAGATGGTCGGTTTTTGGAGACAATGTAAAACACCTTTTAGTCTTTTTTTAGTGTGAGAGAAAACCCAGCAAGAATCAGAATAGGCTTGAATGCCTTCTCATCTCTGACAGTTGATTGCTGGGTGACCTTGTTCAGTGACTCAGTGTCACAATTCTCTGTGGTGAAAAGTGGAGAACACAGGATTTGTTTGCCTTTTAAGTACACACATAGCCACTCTCTGTAGATTTCAGGAGCACTCCTATCTATCCCAGATGTAAGAAATACATACATTACCTCATTAAGCTTGTGCTAATGAGCGAGGAAAACCAAATTCCCTTTTGTTTCAATCCCACATGCTAATGCTGCTGGTATTTGCTCAGAATGGCCAAGATTTATCCCAGACCTGACTCTCAAATCCACAGATCCTTTATCTATATCTTGTTGCCAACCTGTTCAGTAACTATGAGCAGAAGCCTGTGGAATACTTTTAATGCACACAACTTTGATTTCATAATGTGTTGAACAATGCAGCCTGGTTAACTACACCAATTTTAAGACCTGGAATGCCCTACTAAACTATCCTTACTCAGAATTCTTGAACTTTTGCACACTCTATATTCTGTTAGTATAAGCCTTCACAATATTTTTTGGTTCAAACAACCATCATTTAAATAGTTCTTTTAAACCGCTTAGAGGTTTTACTACAATCAAACAGTATGTAAATTTTGTCAGGCACATCACGTAAATAAATGTAACATGTAAGATGTGGTCTGTTGGATCAAAACTCATGATTTCTTGCCATGTTTACAGCTCTATGAAAGGCTGGTCATTTCAACACCAGTTGCTTACCAAACCACACATTATCACTGGGTCCCTTTCTAAAATGTGAACAACATCCCCCTGCTGCTACAAAGCTTCAAAGCAGTGCTTTGGGTTTTTTTTGGTGGGGGGGGGGGATGCACGGGTATGCATACCCCTAAACATTTTGTGAATCCTTGTACTTTTGTCCATTTACTGTGTTTATTTTCCCCAATCTGAACTATAAAATGATGATTTTATTGAGTCAAAATGAGAGTACCCCTAAACATTTTTTTTAAGGAAAAAAGCACTGCCTGTGTGTAAATTGATTGTCAGCTAATTCTATAAAGACAAGAGGGGAAAGGATAAACTATGGGCAGCCCCTTCTGAATCTGGAGTTATAGCACTTGAATATATTAGATAATAATTAAATTTTGAATGACTGATCATTCTGTTAAATTACAGTGTGTTATAAAATCTACATGTAGTGCAGTCTTGTGCATGTTTACTCAGTCGCACTTAATCCAATGGGGTTTACTCCATTTTAAATATATTTAAAATGAGAGGCTTAGGCTGATCCAGGATAAGATCTGCTATGTGAAATTTTCTTGCAATGGCTAGAGTGATCCTTTGATAAACAAGTAGCACCAAATCATATTTTCGATATTCTGCTATTCTTTACTTTTGAAATTGTTTTTGCGGGTCTTTGGACGGCAATAAAAAGAATGTGTGTGTGTGTGTGTGTTCTCCTTTTATGGAGTTTGGAGAGTTTTATGATCCCAACCAGGCTGTTCTGATTATGCCAGCACACCCTGGCAGAGTTTGGCCATTGGTTGATTGTTCTAAGCAAACAAGTCCTACCTGAAGAATCCCTTTAAAAAGTCTAACCAAGGCCTGTAAGGCAAATCTAGCTAAGGATAATATTCCAAATGTGTCTAAGATGTTGAAAATGTGTGGAAAACAAGCGAGGTCCCAACCAAAGAAGAATGGCAACTTAAGTTGACAGAATATGTGCAGCTTGCAGACTTAACAATTAGAGTGAGAGAACAAGAAGAACATACATTTAGAGAAGATTGGAAAACGTTCATTGAATATATGGGAAATAGCTGTGTACAGCGAAAATGCTGGCAGCATTAAGAAAAATTCAACAGTGTAAATAAGTTTGGATGGATGTAATAATGGAATATTGAATGGTATAGCTTTTGTTAAATATGCAGGGATTTATGATATGTAAAATGAACCATGGAAAGAGAAGGGAAGTCACTGATGTCTTAAGGGTATAAAAACGAGTACTTTAAATTGTAAAACAGAAAATTTAATAAAATTCTCTATATCTCTCTCTCTATATATGATGTTGAAAATGTGAATGCCTTCAAATCTGCTATTTGTACTTGTCTACACAAGAGAAAGCTGATGTGATGTCCTCCAGATTACACCTTCCACCATCCTTGTCCTTGGACATGCTTGCTCGGTGTGATGGGCGCTGGAGGGCTACAGGTTCCCCACCAACACCCTGACTTCTTTGAGCTACCCAAGGAAGAGGAACTTGTCAGTAAACCCCAAATGATATTGCTGGTAAAACATTTCATCAATTTTTTTTAAAATTTGTATTGTATCTATCATACTGGCCATAAGTGGAAGGAAGCTTGTTTGTATTGTTGTGGGGCTTTCAGCCTACAGGCTAATGCACTGACCACAGACAGCAGTGGCTTAAACAAAGGAAGAGAAATCATATAGGTCAGTCTGTGACCTACAAAATATATGAAGTAGTTCAAAAGCTCAGCCTTTGTACTGTGTGCACAGATTATCCTTGGCTCAGTAGCACCACTAAGAAGCCTTCCGCAGTTATTGGTTATTTTCTACACAGGCATACCACTAAAATGCCTGTTAAATAAACACTTCACTTACAAAGGAGATTTGAAAACACATATTTTTCAGCTATGGATTCCGAAGAAGCTCATTCTATGTCCATTACCCTAATATTTTTAGACCTATCTTAGCTGGCAGTTAATTGTACTTAGTGCATGAAGCTTCCCAGGGAAAGTGGCTTTGCTTTGAGATTATAAAATAAAGAAATCACAAGGAGTCTGACAATTTATCTGGGCAGTCATGCAAGATCAGCTGCTGATTTCAGAATGGGAGTGAGGGGGCTGGGGGCTGGCTAGTGGTATTCAGTATTTAAAAAGAGAGACCAGGAGGCTGGTTTGGGGGAGAAGCAATCTACCAGGACAAATTTCTCTGGCTAATTATTGCCACAATTACTGCAACACATCACCATCTCATCACTTTCTTCAATGCACAATGCAGTAAACAAATCAATAAAAGCAGCACAACAATCAATTCCTTGAATATTAATTAAAAATAATAAACACAGACAGAAAATAAATCAGTTATGGCAGACTAGAAAAAGTCTGCAGCGACACCACTAGTGAAATTCTGGCCCAAACTGAAGGGTAGAAATGAAACTGTAAGCATACTGGTGACTTGGAATGCCTACCAACTAACCTGTGTTGTTTATTGCATCAATATATCACAGGAGTAGCTAAGTGCAGATCTCAGATAAATACGTGTATAGTAATACTTATGAAATCTATAACCATGCATAAAATTATTCCTAAGGAAATCTGCAGAAAATAATTAAGGCTTACATGTAGTAAACATTATTATGTCCACTTTAAAGAAATAGGTTATCTTAGACATGCCTACTGAAAATTAAGTTCCACTGAACATAAGCATAAGTAAGTGGGCCTCTTGCCTTCCATTTTGCTCAACTATGTAATAATTATTATTATTATTTATTTATTTATTACTGTGTTTATTACTTATACCCCACCCATCTGATCGGATCTCCCCATCCACTCTGTGTGAATCCCAACAGAATATTAAAAACATGATAAAACATCAAACATTAAAAACTTCCCTAAACAGAGCTGCCTTCAGATGTCTTCTCAAAGTCAGGTAGTTGTTTATTTCCTTGACATCTGATGGGAGGGCGTTCCACATGGTGGGTGCCACTACCAAGAAGGCCCTCTGCCTGGTTCCCTGCAACCTCACTTCTCACAGTGAGGGAACCACCAGAAGGTGCTCAGAGCTGGACCTCAGTGTCCAGGCAGAACAATGGGGGTGGAGATGCTCCTTCAGGTATAGTTGCAACACCCTGTGGTGCCCCCTAGGCTCAGCGCCTATTATGGTGGAACCAGTTGCACTGCCCCAAATCCACCTCTACCCATAGGAAAGAAGTCCCCAAAGTTACAATACCAGTTCTGTGCTTTAGTGAAGATGATTGGTGGTGCTGTGTCATCTTCAGAATCTGACGGTCACATAAATGTCAACTTGATATAGTAATCTGTTCCTCTTTTTTAAAAAAATTGCATGCTCCTTAGAGAGGTCACTTGCACATTGCAAACAGGAAAACACAAGAGGATCAAGAAGTACACATATTAGCGGACTTCCGGGTCAGCGCCATCGGTGAATGGCGGAGTTCCTCCGATCGGAGGAACGGTCTCCGTGGAAGCAGGGGCTTCCCGCCGCGGCGATGCGGGGGCTCCATTAGAAATCCCATAGCCTGGGAACGTGGCCTGGGCAGAGCACCAAAAGCTCTCCCTACTAACAGGAAACCTCGGGGCTCCGAAGTGAAGCGGGTGGAGCAGCCGCGTGCTGGGCAATGATTGCTACTCCATGGAGGGAAGTCACGCAGCCACCGCCGGAGAGCGGGGCTGACTTTTTCCTGATGGACATTTGGACTCTAAATCAAGTACCCGTGAGTAAAAACGGAGGATTGACTAAGAAATTTTTAAAATTAAATTAGGTAATGTTGTGGAATAAACAGGAAGTCCATCCTGCCTTTTGCATACAGCTAAAGCAAAAAGATCTGTACCAACAGCCCAAAAGTTCTTTTAAAGTTGGAAATTCTGCACCCATAATCCAACAAACCCCTTGAAGCAGGGGAGAGAGGGGGGATTTGACAGCTAATCCTGCAGGAAGCAAGAAAAGGAACGGAGTGCTTCCACCGCCCCAAACCTGGGGACGGGGTGTCGGGACAGAAATTGTTTGAGACGTCCATTGATTGAAAGTGAGCACTTTGACAGATAGTTAAAGGAAAAAAGAAACAAATTAATCATAACGCTCTTCCAATATATTTGCTGAGCAGCTGCACGAGAAAGTGAGTCTGATGAATGAAAACTGATTTTATGAGTGTTGAGAGTGCCAATCAAATATGATTCAAATAGGAATAAGAATGAACTTGGTTTGATAAGGCAAGTCCAAGGCAGATGGAGGAGGAAGAGGCAGAAGCTATTTCTTATACAATACAAATGGAAAGACCCAAAGTTTTGCAGGAAAGAGCTACTGCTGTTGGAAGATTGATTTGGAGAGTGCTGGGAAGGCATTTGGAAGTTACAGTCTTTAACTCTAGTGTACTGGGAAACAGGTGAATAACCATCTTCTGATACATATTTTTGATTATAAAGAAGAAGATTGGGAGTGGGACTGGGGAAGGGGACAATATAATGAAGGAAAGTGGGAAATGTTACTGGATGAACCCTCCGTGGAGACCCACTCCTCACACAAACAAGAATAAAAAATTGCAGGAAGGGGCCTAGAAGAGATTTAAGGCCCTGATATTAGAACAATTGTATTGATGGACTATGTAACGATGCTGACTGTGACATGACTGAAACCAGGAAGATGGACGCTGGATGAAAATTATAGAAATTTATGTTAATTTGGGAATTCAGATTATTATTAATGAAATTTGTCTAATATTAATGAATTTGAGGAATATGCTGGAAAGGAACTGTTAAATTGGCTTTAGTAGAAATGATTTTATGAGAAATGTGGTGGAATGTGATGTGATTTTGAAATTTTAAGATTTTTAAGATAAGATAAGGTTAAAGAATACAAAAATTGAATAACAGATTATATTAAATGAGGGAAAGGCCATGTTGATTAACAAATAAGATAGATTGTGAAGATTAATTAGTTAAATTAAAATTGAGAAATATGGGAAGAATTTGCTGAAATAACAAATTAAATTAGAATACAAAGAGAGAGGCGCGAGGAGGTTCAAGAACCAAGTAAAATGAAAGTTGAAATTTGAGATTTATAATTTTTTTCCTTTTCTTTCTTATTCTATTATCTATTCTTTTTCTTTTTAAATAAAGGACTTTATGTAATAGATGAAACTTTGAATAAATATCATTAAAAAAAAAAGTAAATAATCCCCAAAAAAAAAAAAGCAAAAGAAGTACATATTAGCATAACATTTGCAAATGCCAATTTCTGTGTATAGGTACAAGTTTAGGAATAACTGCAATAATTCAAATCGAAATACAATAGGTCTCATTACTGTAGGTAAGACTGCAACCAGACGGGCCAGGATCCGTAAAGTAGGACACAGGACCACCTATCCTCCTGCACAACACGGCGGATATTAAGTGAAAACAATAATGCTGCTGTTGGATTTTCTCAGGCAAGAACCACAGAGAGAGTAAGCAAAACCCACACATTTTTGATAAGGTATTTTTAGTGCTAATTGACAAAATAGCTGAACAGTCCCTCTTTCTCCACAGGGAACATGGAAAATTATAGCTTGCATTTGTAAGCCACATAGTTTTGTTTCAAAGAAATTAAACATTCAGAGAAGCACTCTCTCCCCCCAACCCGTCTCTATATATAGTTATGAAGGTTGCACGCCACCATCAATTTCTGCAGAGCAGTAGCAAGATTCCAGGGGGGTTCTAGATGCACACCCAGGTTTGTGTTTCTGTTGGGGAAATCTAGGCACAGTGGAGGCCAGTGTCTTTAAGAAATACGGTTTATTTTACACATATTTACACCCAAAGTAAATGGAGAGGGTGCAGAATGTTATGCCCTATGAAACGATGGAAACGATGCCTTATGAGGAACAGCTACAGGAGCTGGGCATGTTTAGCCTGGAGAAGAGGAGGTTAAGGGGTGATATGATAGCCATGTTCAAATATATAAAAGGATGTCACATAGAGGAGGGAGAAAGGTTGTTTTCTGCTGCTCCAGAGAAGCGGACACGGAGCAATGGATCCAAACTACAAGAAAGAATATTCCACCTAAACATTAGGAAGAACTTCCTGACAGTAAGAGCTGTTCAACAGTGGAATTTGCTGCCAAGGAGTGTGGTGGAGTCTCCTTCTTTGGAGGTCTTTAAGCAGAGGCTTGACAACCATATGTCAGGAGTGCTCTGATGGTGTTTCCTGCTTGGCAGGGGGTTGGACTCGATGGCCCTTGTGGTCTCTTCCAACTCTATGATTCTATGATTCTATGCCCTAAGAGTGTCTCATTGCTGCACTCATAGCTTCCTCAAGCAACGGTCAGTCATGGCTCCTGGTTTTTGGGCACCTCCAGCAGGTGCCAATATGGTTCTGCCTACATCCTCCTCCTTTTTCCCAGAACACCTTTACACTTCAAAAAGGACATCTTTTCCTGTGACATCATGCCCTCCACCACCTTAGCAACTTGCCAATTCTCCTGTCTCTGGCTTGCTTAAGATAACTCTGGCACAGTTATACAGTGTTTCATGATCGTGTCCAATGCAGGGCAAGAACCACATCTTAGCAGCAGGGCCACAGGAGTTCAGTCACTGGCATCACTTGCTGGGATCAAGGTCTCATTTGCACTATGCATTTAAAATTGTAAATGATTGGCTTTTTAATAAATAAAGGGTGGGTTCAATCTATGATAGAATTTTTACTGCAGCCAACGGATGCAATCTGGTATTTTCTCCTTAAGTTGCAAGAAGTTCTAAGAAGTGTAAATGATCCTGTATCCTATAAGGGGACAGTTGTCAGATGGCTTGTTGTGCTCCAGTGGGAGCTTTGTGCAGCGATCAGAAATAGTTGCTGTCATGGTGTCCACTAGTGAATGCAAAGTAGAGATATAAGCACCTCCATTTGCGCTGCATGTGACTTGGGTAGACTTGTTGGTGTCACTGCTGAAGAACGTCTTGTTTTGTATATGCAGTACCATAATAATCACTTTCATGCTAAGAACTCTGCAAGCCACAAGTAAATCACGGACACCATTTGCATACAAGTGGTTTAATGATGACATAACAAGAAGGATTTAGTTCTGTCCACATGGGGAGAGGTGGTTGGCAGGTAAAGCAGAGGAAACACTGAGTGACTTACCAAGAAGAAACCAGTGGTATGCTAAGTGATAGATGGTCGTTATCCACATCTGTTAAGATTTCCCTCCACAACCACCAGTGCTATATACACTGTGATTCATCAGCGGCAGCATGTGTGTCAACAGTAGCATTAGACTGCTCATCAATATTCCCTGTTCCACTGAAATGAGAGTGAAATTCATAGCAGCCTCTGGGAATTGGTGTGTGTGTGTGTGTGTGTGTGTGTGTGTGGCTAGTCCTGTTTTTATTAACTACCAGCTTTAATGTGTTGAGATAGGATGCGTTCTAAAAGCCATGTTCATAGCCAATCAGCTCCACCTTATCAGGTAAAGCAAGTAGGTCAGGCCAGCACAAGTTGACCCACCAAGCTAAATGCAGACCAGCACCCATGTTATGTGGCCTGTCATGATTGTGACAGTGCCTTCTGACTACAGTTCTCAGCAGCAAAAACTAGAGGCTCACTGAGTCCCTGGTGGGCTGGCATTTTGGGCTGGTGGGTCATAATTTGTGCAGCCATGGATGATATGTGCACCTGGCAGGAAGCATCTCTGAGCATTCCTTTACAAAAGATCTCTCTCCACCCCATGATCCCTGTGTTTGATAGTCAGACATAGGTAAGAGCACTTTTTACAAGAGATGTACATGCCATGGGTGCAGTGTCCATAGCAAGTACCACAAAAAAGACCCTGATGTACTTGGGGTGCATTTATTGGCACAGGCTGCCATCTGTAAGCCCTGCTTAATTCAATGAGGCTTCCTTCTAATTGAGCTGCCAGTCATTATTTATCTTCTGCTTTACAGGAGACAAAGGGTGGAAATCAACATAGCACCAAGTGGGAGGTGTATATGAAGAAAGAGGTCCACTCAGGCATCAACATTTGCCCAAATTACAAACTTAAAAACTGGTACCAAAATGGTTCTTCTTAACATGCTAGCAAAGCATGCAGCTAGGAAGTGGTTAATACATTGCCAGTGAACTACACTCCTATGAAAATGTATGGAATATATTTGGAGCCCTGTTCAGGCACCTGAGAGAAAAGGCATGTAGGGATAGATACAGGCAGGTTTAAGTCCTGCCTCCAACATTTTTGGCATGTCATCTCCACTCCCAAACTTTGTGTGTGTTTGGTGTGAAGTTGTGAAGGGAGCTTGTAAGCCTTTTAGCCTTCAGGGTTCCTGCTAACAAGCCCCTTACAGACCTTTGCTCTAAACATGCAAAGGTCAGGGGTAGAGTGGGCATGTCCAGTGCTCAGAGACATTGGCAGCAAAGTCAACCCATGTTTCCCCCACCCGCTTAACACACTTTTGGCCTCACATATCACGGCTGAACACCTGAAGACAGCTTTAATGTAAGGGGGAATTTGATCCACTAATTTTGTTCCAGTTATTTGGCATTTATACCAATTTCAGTGGTAGAAATATGAGGCCCACATATGCATTTATAAACCGATTTGTGAAATTGTAATGTTATCCAGAATACATTACCATGAAATACAGTAAAGTGATGGGTTGTGGAAGCATAAATTTGACCATTGCTCTGGGCTTGAATTTGTTAGTAATATTACATATATTTTCCTGACATGAGTACCATAAGCTTAGTCATCTCTTGTAGCAATGAAAGAAAAAAACCATCCTCTTCCCTGCTGGATTACAGTCTTAATAATAATTAAATTGTTGAGACACCCTCTCATGCATTTAATGAAGGACCTAGCTGCTTTCAGCTGCTGTTTTCCTTTCCTACCAAACAGAGACATACAGACTGTATTTAGCCATTGGCTGGGTTGTAAGCCAGTTTGACTAGGCCAGGGTTGGGGACCTCTTTCAGCCTGAGGACCATATCCTCTTGTGGGCAATGTTCCAGGGGCTGCATGCCAACAGCGGGTGGAGTCAGTGGCAAAGGTGGATGGGATTCTAACCTTTGCACAACAGACCATGCAATGTCAGACATTTTTGCACACACACCTCAACATTCCCTTTCCTTGCAAGCCAGGGGGATTAGGTAAAGGTAAAGGACCTCTGGACGGTTAAGTCCAGTCAAAGGCAACTATGGGGTTGCGACACTCATCTCGCTTCAGGCCGAGGGAGCCGGTGCCAGAGCGCATGGAAATGCCATTTACCTTCAAGGACACATTCCAGTAAGGCAAAACTACTGGAGGAGCAGAATGGCACACTCTTCAATACTCCCCTGATGAAAACTGGGATGTGAGAGCGCAGTACCAAAAAACGTGCATCTTCGGGTGCTGTGCTTTCATCAAACTCAGTTGGCCATAAGCACCGGCTCATTCCCAGGACATTCCAAGTGTCATGAACTGGAAGGATAACAGGGACTGGGACACACTGGGGCAAGGAGGTGATGGGGAAGGAAGTACTCACAGGGTGATGGAGGATGGCGAGGGGATGGAGGTCATTGTATAGAAACCAGAGCAGCAGGATCCATCACCTGTCTCCATGAACAAGGTGGGCTCTGAAGCAGCGTAGGGAGCAGCAGGAGTGCTTCTCTAGGAGGCTGAGGGAAGCAAGGGCTCACTAGCTCTGGGAGGTGTGTGATTCCTGGAGTAGGCTTGGAGCAGGTGAAGGTCACCTGCCTCATCAAGCCCAGATGCTGCAATCAGCATGCAAAGTATACAAGGGAAGCAGAGCTGAGGTGTTGTGTCTGCTCAACTGCCCATGTTGATGGAGTTTGGCTTGGATGTTTCTCAATCTCTATGGGACTGTGCTCCGGTTGCTGGGCTTCAGTACAGGGGCATTGACCTTGGGGCAATGGGCAGCCAACCGAATTGATCTCACCAGCAGGCCTGCAGGGAGGATCTCCTAATCTGATCTTAGCATGTCACCAGAAAAAGGCAAGAGGTGAGCCAGATTTGCATAAATTTTGCATGTGCAAATGTGCAGTTGAAAACTTTAAAAAGTATTACTGCAATTAAAAAATAAATGAAATGCATCTCACCAGTTTGAAACAGTGTTTCCTAAACTTGCATCTCCAGATGTTTGGGGGTTACAATTTCCATCACTGGTCCTGCTAGCTAGGGATGATGGGAGTTGTAGTCTAACAGCAGCTGGAGACCAAAGTTTGGGAAACCCTGGCTTGATAGATTGTGACTGATCACATGTCTGATATGACTGCTTAGTCTGCAGTCCACTGATGGGCAATTCCTAGGCCCTTGCTCTTCCTCCTTGGTGTTCTTTGAATGGAATTCAGACTGGACAGCCCTCCAAATAGAGGATTCCTCCAAATAGTCCTCGGAGAGCTCTTCAAACAGAGGGCTGCCCTCTGTGAAGAACAATACATAGACATCCTCACTGATCTCAAAGAGTGGGTAGGTTGATAAGAGTGAACAGATCCAAAAACTCTTTTCTTTTTTTAAAAAATATGGTGAACAGTAATATGGTTACCTGCACAAGACAGCAAGGCTATCCTATTATCCCCACTCCTCCAGTTCTTTCCTGCCATCTCCCTTTTGTATCAACACCTCCATCTGGTGATCTAGGAAAGTGGGGGGGGGGCACCTTTGCCTAGAGATATTCTGACTGCTAAAAGTTTTGAGACAAAGTTCCTTTCACCCCATCCTTCTGCCTCTCCAAAGACATACCTAGGCTCTCTTGCCAAATTGTTCTGCTCATCCATGGTGGCAGAAAGCACACTTTGCTGCACAGCTCTTCCATGACTTGCTGACACAAACAATGGTTACTAGTTACATGCATTGCATCATTTCGCACACAACTAACCTAGTAGCAGTATACACAGCAGATAGGAGAAGTCTAGTTCTTTACTAGTGATAAAATTTAGTGATTCCTCGAGGGAGATCATATGTATAGGGATTATGACTCAAATGGTCTTCCCACAGTGGAGAAAGCTTTTGTTCCCACCCCCAAAGATAATAAATAAGGAATGAAAGTAGAAGTGACAAGGTTAAATAAATTTATTTGATTGGTTAGTATTTTTATTTTTTTGTATAATACCAAGCCTGTCCTGTTCATACGTTCTTTTCCTGTTCAGCATATTCAACTGTATGGTTAAATTTAACTTTGGTTTTATGGTTGGGTCCCTATGGTCTGTAACAACCCCTCTCCCCAGGTCAGAATTCTGTTAAAAGCAGTCTGACAACCGAAAGAGGTTTTTTCCATCAACTATACCCAATCAGCAGCAGATTCTTATTCTCCATTGAGTATGGCGTGTTTTCAAACCCCTGTCTGTTTCATTCACACTTCCCATTCTTAAGTGTCCTCCTAAAAAGGACAATGCATTTGTGGGAGAATGCAGTATCTTGAGGGGAGCTAGAGAGACGGTGTGCTATGAATGAGAAAGAAGTGTGCATGTATTGTACAGTAAATTGGCTGGAAACGTCTTTTCATTGTGAGCCCAGCGAGCAAGAACTGTCATTTCTGTGTCCTCTACCACATTTGCCACATTACTGGTGCAAAAGAAACATAAGATTTAAGAAATGATCATCTCAAATAACTTGGGTTCTTTTATTGAACCCTCTCCTACTCAGACCAAACATATTGACTATGGGACTGTTATTTCTTCTGAGGAAAAAAAAGTGATATGGATTGTGATTTTCTCATTTTCTAAAAACTCACTTGTAGCCTCGATTTACTTAAGCAGTTGTCCCAAATAAAGATGAATCAAGGTGTCTTTTAAACCTCAGGATCAGTGATCACCTCAGCAAACCCTACAATTTACCATGGATACAGAGAGCACATACTGCTTGCTATGAACTGGGGGTTCACAACCAGTGTTGACTTATATGGTGCCATGCTTTGTCAGGATCTATAGTAGCCCACACAGTACATCAAATCTATGAAGTGTAAAGTAATGCTTTGAATCTGCCTCTTTAAGTCACTGCTATGTGGATTTATTACTGTTGTAAGACTAAAAATATAAATTGACCTGGAACATATATCATGACTGTTCTGCCCTGAATGTATACAATAGTAGATGTGCTCATTTAAAAAACTATGACCAAAATAATCATTGCAGGGTTAAACCAGTGATTCTCTCATAACAAAAACCTACTTTCTATGATTCAAGATGATACATACATCCAGGAAGCCTGAATGGAGATGGGAGTGTGGAGAAATAGTGATTTGGTTTTTCAGGTTCTGAAGTATCAAAATGGAGGTTTGCTCAATATGGGTTGCCACTATTCTTCCCCCACTCTCCAAAAACCAATTCAGTTAAAATTTGATAAATATTTATCTTATTGTCATAAAAAAAATGTAATAAGAGCAATTCTTCTGGATCAGATCTAAGGCCTGCCTAGTTCAGTCTTCTGTGGACAACCAGATCTTTATTGGAAGCCCCCAAGTAGGACATGAGGGTAGTGACCAAGAGAGGCCAATATAGCACACCAAATGAAGGACATAGATCCGTCCCGAGTGGCTGAAATGAAACCAAGAGGCCGTAGATAGCTCACACCAGCCTGAGTGGAAGACATTGTCAATCAATCACTGGCAAGGAAAACAGCACATGTGCTGTAGGTAGAAACCTACAAAGAAACCCAGATGTGTGTGGCATGCATGCATACATGTGTGTGTGCACACACACACACCTACACACCAACTGCATCCGACCTGAATCTTTCAGCAATGCCTCCAAATGATACACACACACACCTCTAGCAGTAAACATTATCCATCGATCAGCCATTGACAGGATCCGACATTGCTTATTTCTGGCTTTACTGCAGCTGGCTGAGGCCCAGCCCAATATTTGGGCAATTACAAGGAGGGATTAAAACATCCCAGAAATAACAACTGCATTTTCAAGCTGATAGACATCCACAGGGCATCCCATATTTCAATGGAAAAGGACAGACAAAAGCATCTTTCTTTGCTAAATCTACGGGCAAGAAGGCAGTTGCAATTAATCTTTGAGCCGCATTTCCTAAGACGGCGCCTAATCAGCCTTCATCCCTCTCCATCTTCCTTTCCCCTCTCTCCCACAACACCCCTCCCATCCTTCCTCCTCCACCCTTTCCAGAGGCTCCGATGAAAGTCATTGTTACATGGTTAGGATGCTCGTACAGAGCACACCTCAAATATCGATTGCCATCGGATTTAGAGATGATTAAGGAAAGCAGCGATGAAGCCGATGCTTCTCTGTTGCTTATGCTCACCATGCTGAGACCAAGGGAAGGCGTTGAAAGGCGAGGGATGTGCAAGCTGGATCCATTTTCCCTTCTACTGAGGTTGCTTCAGAGCACAACATCAGCAACTGCTCTCTCTCTCTCTCTCTCTCTCTCTATCCCCCCCCCCTCCTTTGGTTGGTGATGCTGAGGATGGAAACCACCCACCCACCAGCAATAGACAGAGCCTCAGCCACCTCCCTCCTTGGAGGAGGAGGTTGATGAGCTCACTGAGGAGAGAGCCTGGAAATTGCAGCATGGACCGCCTCCTTCCCCCCTCCCCTGCTGCGGTGCTTTGCTCTCCCTGGGCGCCATGGCAACGGCCATGAAAGATGGAAGGGAAGCAAGGAGATGGGGGGGGGGAACGAGGAAAAAAGGAGAGAGATTCAGTATCTTTAGCAATGAAAAGCTGCTTTTGACAGGCAAGCAAATCACTTCAGAGGGTACTATTATTGGTGGAGGGGGGAAGAGGGTGAATTTCTCACCCAAGGAGGTCAGAGCAGGGGGTTGAACACAATCCACATTCCTATTAACAGGAAATTCCCTCAACACACACACACACACACAGAGAGAGAGAGAGAGAGAGAGAGAGAGAGAGAGAGTCCTTATATTAGATAAGCAGCTCCCACCATCTCAATGATAAATAGGGGTTAAATTCTACTCTGGGAAAGTCAAACTGAAGGACATAATAATTATGGATCTTTAAGGACTTGTTAAGAGATGGCAACCCAGCCTGACTCTGCTTGCTGCTTTAAATGTGAGATAAACAATATGTAAATGTGGGTGTGAGAAAAAGGCTGACTGTGAAATCGCTAAGCTTATTGCTGGTAGCTTAAGACTACAAACTGCCCTCCCTCGATGCAGACGATAAATCTGACATATATATTCAGCTTTGGTCTGGATAGCACAGCAGTTATAGCATGGGTGTCCTTTCTGTGGCCTCTTTCATTTATGATTTAGCATTCCATTCTGTTTTTCCACACGGTGCCCAAGGCAGGTAACAACAGTAAAAACAAATGGCATCAAGATAACTAACCATATACCCAATTAATGATGCATTAATTGCTAAAATATTTGGAGTAGTTTTCAGAGTCTAAATTACCAGTGCATTGTTAAGAGTCCACATTACTTATACAGCAACTATATCTAACTTTTTTTAAACCCCCCCCCCCAAAAGCAAACAACTTTATAACACATTATGGCCATGGGGCTGCCAGCACAGCCTATGCACACCCCCATAGTGTGGACCTTAATATTGTAGAGCCTCAGGTGTGGGGGGAATGGCGGCCCAAGAGAGAGCTTTTCTGTGGCAGCCCCGGTTCCAACAGTGGAGGTAAAACATAACCATTGTGGCTAGTAGGCATTGACAACCTTATCCTTCATGAATTTGTCTACTTCTCTCTTTTAAAGCCATTGTGTGTGTGTGTGTGTGTGTGTGTGTGTGTTTGTGTGTGTTCGCGCAAACATACTCCCACTAATATATGATTTCACAAGATATGTATTATTCTACTTGGGTACAATTGCTGAAAATGGCAAGAACAAACTTGTTTGAAGTCGTCCTTAGAGCAGGGTAGGGGTGCCATTGGACTATAGCTCCCATCATCCCTGACCATTGGCCATGCTGGGTGTGGTTGATAGGAGATGGAAGGCCATACATTCTCCAGACTTGCTTTAGAGCAGTGTTCCTCAAACTTGAGTTTCCAGCTGTTTTTGGACTACAACTCCCATCATCCATAGCTAGGAAAACCAGTGGTCAGGGATGATGGGAATTGTAGTTTGAATACAGATGGAGACCCAAGTTTGGGAAACACTGCCTTAGAGGGATGTGTATTGGTAAAGTTTGCAGTAATCAGGGACTGCTGGGCTATTTAGCAAGTACCAAAGAAATGAACCTATGCTGCCAATTCTCGTAGTAGACCAATATAAAATAAGCAGCGCATAAGCGACACACAAAACACTACCAAGCCATTCTACGTTCTAAATCTTTTATTAATAATCCAAGGGTTAGATATCAACGAGGATAAGACAGGGTGCCGGCTTAGTAAATGAATAAATGCTTAAGTCAAGAAAGAACTTAACATATGAAGTTGAATGTATGTAAATACACCAAAATCTTGAGGGAGAATTTCCTGAAGAAAGAAATTAAATATTGTAGCTTAATCTAAAAAGAAATGTAACATATGGACTTGAGAGTGAAAGCGTGAGAGTGAATTTACTGAAGAAGCCCAAGACTCTTCATGGGCGGCACCCTGTCTAACTCTTGTGCATAACATCACCGACATTTCGTTTGATCAAACTTAACCTTGTTGATATCTATAGGAGCCTGGCTAAAGGAACTCTAAAGACTGAATCTTCCTTTTGGACACAATATGAATTAGTTTTCTGTTTGTGGCTTCTGTAGTAGATTTTGTACATAACTCTCTCAATTTTTGGATTATTAATATAAGATTTAGAACGTAGAATGGTTTGGTAGTGTTTTGTGTGCTGCTTATGTGCTGCTTATTTTATACTGGGTTATTTAGCAAAGTAGTCTGACTGAGAATGAGAGTGAGGACTGACTGTGCTCATTGACTACAGAATGCTGACAGTCTTGGCTGTTGGGGTGGGAAGAATGGAGAACTAGAGAGTGGAGGAAATGGAAGTGGCTGGTATCTTGAACAGCAGCACACCACTTGGCAACACGTTATCAGTTGTGTCACTCTGTTTTACAGACTGAAGTTCATCACTCTTCTCCTGGAAAGACGGTAATGAAATACTGCGCTCATTTATTTAAGTCCACGTCTTGATTTGCCACTTTCCCACAAGAGTTTGGCAATGATTTACTGATCTTCCCTGTAGGCCAGTATTGTTGAGAAGGTCATACTCTCTAGGAAGATGTATTGACCTGAGAGACCCCAGTACCTGAAAGCTCGGGATCGCTGCATGTCTTATTAAAACGACAAGGAAGAATTCCACGGGTGGTTGCATTCTGCCACTTGAACGACTTCACACAGAGTATGCCTGTAGAAATTCCCATTCAAGAGACAGGCATTGCACCACCTCATTGCAAAGGTCAGTGTTAGCATGTCATTGGGAGGCACTTCAACTCTTGCTGATGGCAGAAATGAAATTGTCTAATATTTCCCATGAGTTAATTTGCTTCCAGTCCTATGGGTCGGGGACAGAAAGGCTACCATGGGCTGGTGTGCTGCTTCATTTGATATTATAGTGGTGAAGCATTAATAACCAGCTGCATCCTTGACCAAACTGGAATTTTAACCCAGATCCATTGAAGGCTAATTTGCTCACTGAGAAAAAAGAGAGGAGGAAAAAATACGTATGCTTTTCAGACTTTGCCATTCCAGGATGCTGGTGTGTGGCAAAGTCTCTCTGCCATGGAAGGCTAATATGTCAGGAGAAGAGTTATTATTGGATATTAAGGATTTGTTAAACATGGCAATCTGTACTAAATGTGACTGGGGTCTTATTTTTAGATGCAAATTGTGGGCCTATGCACTTTCCTCACTAAGGATACAATGACATGACCCTGATGTGATTGTCCAGGAGAACCCAAAGGACCCTGTTGGACTTGTGACCTGGCTGGGATCATTTCAACTAGAGCCTCCATGTGGGAGTGTGGGCACATGTTTGCTTTCCACCATTGTGGTGACTGGGAAAAGTGCTGTTATACATATCATATGGTATTGAAGAAACACCAGAACTAAGTGCATGGTAAGACGATGCTCTAAATCAGAGGCCGGCAAGGTTTACCTCACCTGAGCCGGTTCACTCCAGCAGAGATCCCTCTGTGGGCTGGATTGTGCGTCCGCGTGAGCGCATGTGCCCGTGATTTCCAGCATCTGCATCTGTGCAGATGCGATTTCCAGCGCCTCAGAAGAGAGTCCCCATGCTGTGCTGCGCTGGTTTAGTGCAGTGCGCGGGGACTTGTCGCGTGAGCGGCTCAGTTCGGGGGCGGTTCAGGGGCCAGTTAAACGACCCCCATGGGCCGCTTGTAGCCCTGCTCTAAGTCATCTTACCAAAAGGTTAAAAATGTTTGTTTGTTTGTGTGTGTGTGTTTCTATGTTCATTCAGCTTTGTGACCAGATCTACTCTCAGAATAACAATATCACTGGCCAGCTATCAAGTAATCACATGGTGAGTTACTACTTTTCAAATGTATAATTTATCTAACATCAGCTGTTGCTAAAAATGCAACAAGAGCCTGTCTCTAGCTCACACTGTCATTCATTCATGTGGAGATGAGTTTGAGGTTTGCTTCAAGAATAGTTCTTAAATAAATATAGGTTGCTTGCACCCTCTTATTATATAAAGTTACAGAACATCTTACGTGCCCTAATAAAGTCAGGTTATCTGGGGATGATGAGAGTTGTCGTACAAAACATCTGGTAGAGGTCAAATTGCCAAAGGTTGCACTAGTTTAATATAGCTATAATAATTGAGATGCTTTGTTTCCAGGATGCTGTCAGGATAACTTCACATTTTATAATTTTAGGTGTACAGCTAAGGTGTGTATCCACCTTACAGTATGTCCTTTCATTTAACATTCAACATGTTTTGTGCTCAATATGTTATCAATACAATATCACACTTTCAATACCATTTCCACCTGCAATACCATTTCTATCTGAGGCTGTTATGATGCTTCATTCACAATCAGTGCATGGGCCATAGTTTCCTATGAGATTTTCTGTACCTTTTAATGCAACAAATGTTCCACACTTGGTTGTGTCCTTTGTCCTACATTTGTTGTGTTGCAGCACAATAGTACCCCTTCAGTTGGCAATAAATGCAGTGACATTAGTGAAGCATTTCAGAACTAATAAAGCAGAATGGTGTGTGGGTAGTATAGCATTATTGCATTTACCCCAATCTCCGAGCAGCAAGAGACTCCAGGGGTTCCTGCACTTTCCCAGGGTTTAATTCTCTTGGAATAAAGGTGAACAAGACTGCGATACAGCAGATACAGTTTTATTTACTCATATATACAACCTGAGCACAGGAGGGAAAGGCTCACAGGATTAACACTAACAGACGTAGCTCCCTATTAACTTTCCAGGGTAGCCCCCCGTCCAGCTTCTAGCATCAAGGTCAGAGCAAATGTGAGCAACTTTGCCCTCAAATGCTTTGCAAATTTGTGCTGTCAGAATGTGAAACACTGATCAAAGTATTGTTTCTTTTGACTGGCAGAGCCTCTTCAGGATTTCAGGCAGAGAGGCTTACTTTCTATCACTTGCTACCTGGTCCTTTTAACTGAATTTAACAGGAAGTGAACCTGGGATATTCTGTATGCAAGGCAGGTGCTCAGCCACTGAGCTATGGTCCATAGTCGTGAGGTAACAATAAGCATACCTTTTCTGTCAATACACTCTCAGAGAAAGAAGTTACCAGCAGAGGTAGGATGACCCAATAGCTCCCCTGTCTCTGATCTTAACAATTCCATCTAGTCCCATCATGTGCTTTGTCACTATGCCCAGGGTGCTTCCGCAGTGACCCCGGGGGATTTTTTCCATTTTTCAACCATTCATTTGCAGAACTCATCATAGCAACCTGCTGTGCTCCTCCTACACTCCTTACAGCTAAGGCAGGTGTGTGTAAGCAACTTGTTGTGCAAGCAAGTAGGGGCCTGTCAACAAAGCTTGCACAAGAGTTCATTTCAAGCTATCTGGGAGTGGTGAAAGAGGGCGGCTTTAAGGATGGGCACTCTATTGCTGACCGGGGCTGACCACACCTGACCATCAATCATATTGACTGGGGCTGATGGGAGTTGGAGCCCAACATCTGGAGAGCTGCAGATTCCCCAGCCATGACTTAGAAGATACTGCCTCTGCTCACACAAAAGATCAAAGGTATCTGAGCATTACTTTCTGCTATAGGATTGAAATAATGCATGGAGTCTGCATGGCTTGTTGTTTCTTAAAATGACAGAAACAGCTGGCCTTGCATTTATGGCCCAGTGGCTATCCTAACAGAGAGTGTTCCTCAGAGTCACAGCCTGGTCACATCTATGTGATCTATGTAAATAGCCTTTGCCATTTATCTGAATATTTACTTGTTCACCAGAGGACAGACAATAGTGCCAATTGCTGCTTTGTTACAGAGCATGATTGTGTTCTAAGAAAGCAGCTCTTGCAGAAAAAGTGAAGAAGTTTTCAACCAAGACAGAAACAATTGTGTCAAAGCCACTTGACATATTATGCAGAAGTAAATCTGGTGGATTTATGGTACACGTTTAGAAACTTGTGTATGTTGTATGCATGCTTCACGATGTCTTCGGGCTGCTTCATGCTGGTGTTTTCTTGCGGGAGTTTTCTGCAACATGTCCTTGATGCAATAATAGTGTGTTTATGGTGGATTTATAATGTTATAGTATTGGGGGGTTGATCTGGAGGATATCTGGGGAAGCCTTCCAGTCCTGTGAACCTAGCAGAATAATCTGCTAAACAAGCAAACCTGTCTCTTTGTAAAATAATGACCATAGCTGACCATTCATCAGCATCTTAAAGAATGAGCCATGTTGCCATAGTGACAACTCAGTGATGGTGCTTCCAGGAGGAAGGAATTGGCCTTTTCCTACCTCACCTGGCTGGATGCCACATCATCCAAAGAAGGAATACAATAGGCTGAGGTGTGTGAGAGAGCCTTTTAGGTGGTTTTTGGGGCTGTGATGGTACAAATAATAATAGTAATAGTAATAATAATAATAATAATAATAATAATAATAATAATAATAATATATTATTTACACCCCACCCATCTGGCTGGGTTTCCCCAGCCACTCTGGGTGGCTTCCAGCAAAACATTAAAATACAATATGTTCCACACTTGGTGGTTGTGGTTTTTTTGTATGTGTGTCCTACATTTGTTGTGTTGCAGTGCAATAGTGTCCCTCCAGTGGGCAATATCTTTATTCCTCTTTACTGCATACCAAGGAACCTGTGTGTTTCACCTAAGGAAGAAGGCAGACCTGGGTAACAGCTGTTTGTTATACGTGTACAGATGGATGGGGGCATATCAGCCATTATGTGTTTTTTTTCTTCCCAGGAAAGTGCAACCTGAAACCTGCCCAGCATCTACAAAGCCTTATTTGAATGTCTGGTACTTCCTCCCACAAGTAGCTTATGAGATGGAGGCTCTAATGAACTTTTTTCTTTCTATTCTGCCCACCCTCCACCGAATTTGTGTACCATGTAGCCTAAAGAAAAATTCTGGAGGAAACTTATGCATCGTTTTGTGACCTGCTTTATTTCCAAGCTCCTAGAAGTTCACTTGGAATTTGTGGTTTTGTGTTAATACAATGCATAGTTGTTAGGAAAAAGAAAACTGGCACTGTTAAAACGCCTGTGAAATCTGTCACTGATTTATTCAATGAAAGTGAAATGTATGTTTTATGACTGAGTCACCAAATAATCCAACACCAAGAGGTCAGGTTTAATGGATTCATTTTCTACAACCATATTATAACAAAAACCAAAGCATAATTTTGTGTGTGTGCGTGCGTGCGCACGTGTGTGTTTCTAATTATAGTTAAATGACTTCTAAGCTTTTGATCTAGCTTACTAGTGACTTGCATTTTAGACTTCTATAATTCTCATGTCATCTTATTTGTAATTTTAGTAAAACCAAGTCCTGGGAAAATATGCTTGCCACCTCCCCTTCCTTGTCTGTTCCTAAGATCAAGGAAACTCACCACAATGGTACAAGATTTCTGTGCCTTTCAAAAAATTGGACGCTGTCACTAAAATGAAACACTTGCTTCCTACACAGGAATACCATGTGACATCTGAAAGGTCTACTGGTTTCTCACAGCTACTTGAAGGAGAAAACAACACACATTCCTAATAGTATACTGACCTTTAATGGGACTGGCCTTTGAAATACTTATTTTGGTTCTGGGCAAGTTGTATGTTGTATATGCCTCAGTTTTATTTTGGTATCTCTTGGACAACTTTGTTCACCACAGAATATTTCCCTGCATGAAATTATGCGATGGGCAGGACAGCACTGTAAAAGAAGTGCAAAGCCAAATTGTTTTTATCTGAAGTGTACACTTGCAATGAATAATTCAAGAGCTCAGAGGCTTTGGAAAGCTGGAAAAGTGGCTGGTTAGAGGTGCCTAATTAATTTCTTTCTCTCTCTCTCTCTTATGTGCTTTCCTATGCTGCCACTGCCGTAACCTTGACCGCCCGCTGCATCAGAATGCCCTCAGTGCTGCTTGGTGTTGGTAAGGAATTTGAAGACCAAATTAAAACTTGCCCTCAAAATCCTTCTCCTGAAGCCCCCTGCCCCAACTTTCAAGGCAAAGCCAAAACCAGTAATAATGGCACACAGCCTGCGCTGGCAGCAAGGGGACAACAGGAAGGCTTTTCATAATACTATCGTCCCCCTGTGTATCTAATTGCCATGTCAAGAAGGAGCCAGCAAAATCGGCAAGAGCAGGGAAGTGCCGCCCAGAGGAGAGCAACACTGGAATGTCAGAACACTGGAAACTGCTTTGTAGCAAATCAAACCATTTGTCTGGTATTTGTCTACTCTGACTGACAGCTGCTCTCCAGGGTTTCAGACAGCAGTCTCCCCTGGCGCTATCTGGAGATACTAGAGCAGGCATAGGCAAACCCAGTCCTCCAGATGTTTTGGGACTACAACTCCCATGATCCCTAGCTAACAGGAACAGGGGTCAGGGATGATGGGAATTGTAGTCTCAAAACATCTGGAGGGCTGAGTTTGCGTATGCCTGCACTAGAGCTTGAACGTGGGGTCTTCTACTTTCAAGACAGAAGCTCTACCATTTAGCTATGGATTTCCCCCATCTTGTCTCATCTAGCAAGTGCTATTTCTTGGGTCCAGATACTTTTTCAGGGCTGGTTTATGCACTAGGTTTTCCCCAAAGAAGTGACACTTGCCCTCAATATATGGTATATATTAGACTGTTGGGTCTTTTTAGCTGTGGCCCCATATCTGAGGAATTCCCTCTCTAGGGGGCACATATAGACCTACTTTGCTGCCTTATGAACAGACCTTGGAGACCTTATTTTAAGCAACTTTTAATTAGTAACTGTGGCCCTCTTTTTATTTTAAACTGCTTCTGTTTCAACGCTTCAGTATAGCATTTGACTCGGAGGAAATCAGCTTCCCATGTTCTCAATTGCCTGCCTATTATATATTTGGGATATGTAGGACTAACATTAACTCTAATATAGCGTGGAAATAAAATAACACATAATTAGGTACCTTCAGCTAATTGAATGAACTTCAGCACTATCTCCCATTTGGAATACAACAGAGCCTTTCCCTGCCCTGAATTATAATTTAACAACGAAGGGTATTTTAAGCACTCAGATGTAAAACATTATTGAAAACGAAGGCTTTACAAGCATCTTCCATCAACACCAAAGTATCCCAGCCTCTTTGTGCTCACCCTTTCTTTCCATTCCAGCTGGTCATTGCAAGAACTCTGTAACTAAGGAATCATGTCTGAATTTGCTCCCCCCCCTCTTTCTGTCCCAATCCCTTTCCCCTTTTGTGTCATGTCTCTTAAATTTTAAGCCTAAGGGCTGCGGCTGCCTTATCAATGCCATTTTTTTCTCTAGGGCAGGATAAAACAAATAACCCACTCCCCAGGTTTGCAAGGCAAAGTGACTTAGCCCTTAAAATTAAACCCATATGCATTTACGAGCCTGAGCTTTTGCTGGGCACATAAAGAATCAATGATAAAGGAAACTTCAGGGTCATGTGACTTTCAGGCTACCAAAAAAGCCAACACAGCTTTAAAGGGCATTTTATTAAACAAAATAGGCTAATAAAAATGATGCTACACGTAATCATTTAGGTTTATGTATTCCCTTTCATTGAAGCTATTATAGTGATAAATATCAGTTATGGGTTTTTAAAATTATTATTGATCCTCTAAGCTGTTTTGCTTTTTACATTATGGGAGTTCATTTAACTCACCTACTACTACACCCTAACCAGACTATATAAATGTGGACTCCTTACTTCCTTTTGTTTTAGATGCACAAAAACATCAGGAAGGTATTTTATTCTCCTTACACTTTGAGCACAGCTGTCAACTTTTTCCTTTTCTTGCGAGGAATCCTATTCGGAATAAGGGAATTTCCCTTAAAAAAAGGGAACCGTTGACAGCTATGCTAATGAGGCCTCCCGCCGCCAGTGCCCTTCCACCGTTTGGCTTCCATTCGTAGACTGAGGTAATGTTCGCAAACCAGAACACTACTTCCAGTTTTGCGGAGTTCGTAAACCGAATAGTTCATCAACAGGGCTGTTCAGAAACTGAGGTACCACTGCATAAGCTAAGCAAGCTATAGTTTAGGGCCCCAATGTCTTGGGGGCCCCAAAAAAATTTAAAAGAAAAAACCCTGGATGTACATTTCCAAAATATAAGATAAAAAACAAATAAAATAAAACTACATGCAGCGAATGGCTTTAGATACCTATTAGGTCCATAAATTACCATATAGCATATATTCAACACAAAAAAGTGACAATTTGTTGTTGACAAAGGACAGCTGGACATATAAAGGGCCTCATCACCTTCAGTAGCTTAGGGCCTCATCAAACCTAAATCTGGCCCTGGGTTGGGGTAGTGTAAAGGAAGGGGTTTTTTGGGGGGGGGGCAAGGTGTGAAGGGAGAGAGCTTGGCCAGGTGTGAGGGGGGGCTGGCAAAGCATTTGGTATTGGCTGGTAGGCTGCGTTTGTGGGCAATGCAAACAGTTTGAGCTGCCCCTAGTGGAATATATTTGTCATAGGTATCACCATTATTTCTTATTCTTATTATTCAGAATAGCACCTCAATAAAGTCACGCAAATACAGAACGGCTGGACTGCGTACGTTGTCAAGGGGGTCATTTCTCCATCTGGTGAACATCAAACACGGCCTTGTGAATCACTGGGCTTGTTAATCCAGTGTCAGAGATGTTTCTGTAATGCTGTTAAATTAAATCATTTGCCCTTTGAGGAAATGGCTATTGTAATTTTGGAAACTATAAAGAAATAGAAAATCAAACTAATGGGAGAGAAAACTGAAAATGACTCTCAAGGGGAAAGCTTCTAATTTTTTGGTCGGTATGCACATTTTAAAATGGTAATGACCCAAGTCAGTTATTGCCTTTGTTATGAAGTTTCCATGCCATATAGGATGAGCCTTTCTCTGTATGCCCGCTGCAGGCCTGGCACACAGGAAGGGCAGTTGCTTGCATGGCTACAGTTGAAGGTAAGAGCTGGTTTTGGGAGCCCTGAGCCTGATGAGAAGCTTTGCATGAGAATCTAATCTATCCCCCAATGATCATCTGCATTTTATATAATTCTGTACTCATAGAAGCCAGATGATGCTGAAAAATGTCTTCAGGCTCGGGTTTAGTATTGTTCAAAGGGGCTAAACAGCATGAGCCTGTAGTACATGCATGCCTGTTATTGCTGAACCAAGGTTTCCTTAAGGTACAATAAAGTGGGTTCTAAATCTTCCTCTTCATCAAAAAAATTTTCCTTCAGAAGAAAATGATTTTCCAGGCTCCCTGCTTCCTCAGCCTTCCATGTATGGTACAGAAAAGGGCTTGCCAACCTTTTCAGGTATGTGAGCACATTTTGATTTTTGAGCAAGTTTTGTGGGTACCCTCTTCTCTGGTCACTGCTATCTGCCTCCCCTAGGTCAGCCACCCCCCAAAAGACAGATAGAAAGTTTCACACCTATAGCTGAGTTTTCCAAGGAAGCTGCATAGATGTTAAGATCTACAGTGGTACCTTGGGTTACAGACGCTTCAGGTTACAGACTCCGCTAACCCAGAAATAGTGCTTCAGGTTAAGAACTTTGCTTCAGGATGAGAACAAAAATCATGCTCCGGCGACGTGGCAGCAGGAGGAGGCCCCATTAGCTAAAGTGGTGCTTCAGGTTAAGAACAGTTTCAGGTTAAGAACGGACCTCCAGAACGAATTAAGTGCTTAACCCGAGGTACCACTGTAGTAGAATTAAACTAAGTCTTGAAAAGCTGAAAGAATAAGTGGGACATGTATTAATCTCTCAGCTGCCTTTCAGCTGTATGTAATTTTCAAGGATGAAAAAAGCTACCCCACCCTTGGCCGTTTCCAGGACTAACCTGAAACTGTGAAGCTCCTTCGTTGTTTTTGCTATTGGTTGCTGCATGTTGCTTAAGTGATCTAGTTAATGTTACAGTATTGAATTGTGGTTGTTTGTATGTTATTGTATTTGTTTTGCAATATTGGTAAGAAATTGTTACCATGTTATTGTTTCGCTATATTGTTATGCAGAAGTTTTTATGTTTTAACGTTTAAAATGTATTACTGATTTCTTCATTGTATGCCACTTCAGCGTGGTTTTTGTGTGTGGAAAAGTGAAGGAAAAATGAAGGAAGGAAGGAATGTGATGCAGTTACCACACATATACATCAGTACATGCAGAGGACTGTTTTGCACAATTCCATCCTCTCAAAATGAAGGATAAAATTAAATGAATTAAGCTTGCATCCATGTGTAAGTTTCATACTACCTTGCGGAGGTGGGTCTGCAGTACCCATTTTTCCATGAAGCTTTTTGGATTTACATATTGGGTAAGCATGAGATTTGGTGCTCCAAAGACAGCAGTGATGAACACTTGGAGTGTTATTTCCTTATAACAGAAAACAGTAAAGGGGAGGTGTTGCCACCTAGTGCCCTTACTGAAGAAGAGCACCATGCCTTAAATGTACAGTGGTACCTTGCCAACAAAGGTCCGTATAGTTAAAGCTATGGTTTTCCCAGTAGTGATGTATGGAAGTGAGAGCTGGACCATAAAGAAGGCTGATCGCTGAAGAATTGATGCTTTTGAATTATGGTGCTGGAGGAGACTCTTGAGAGCCCCATGGACTGCAAGAAGATCAAACCTCTCCATTCTTAAGGAAATCAGCCCTGAGTGCTCACTGGAAGAACAGATCGTGAAGCTGACGTTCCAATACTTTGGCCATCTCATGAGAAGAGAAGAGTCCCTGGAAAAGACCCTGATGTTGGAAAAGACTGAGGGCACAAGGAGAAGGGGACAACAGAGGATGAGATGGTTGGACAGTGTTCTTGAAGCTTGAGTTTGACCAAACTGCGGGAGGCAGTGGAAGACAGGAGTGCCTGGCCCATGGTCCATGGGGTCACGAAGAGTCGGACACGACTGAACGACTAAACAAACAAAACCTCGGGTTACATATGCTTCAGGTTACAGACTCCGCTAACCCAGAAATAGTACCTCGGGTTAAGAACTTTGCTTCAGGATGAGAACAGAAATCGTGCTCCGGCGGCGCACCAGCAGCAGGAGGCCCCATTAGCTAAAGTGGTGCTTCAGGTTAAGAACAGTTTCAGGTTAAGAACGGACCTCCGAAACGAATTAAGTACTTAACCCGAGGTACCACTGTACTGTATTCCACATGACAAGAAGCCTGAAATAGTAAGTTTCACCAAAGATTTGTGACTTACAATGAGTCTGCACAAATAAAAAATAATCAGGAAAAGTGACCCCTCTTGTCTCTTTATCCCCTCCCCTGCTTCTCCACCTCCCATAGCTTGCCTGTAGGAACACAGAAGTGCTGCACTATATTCATGAATTATCACACCATGACACTTTTCTTCCTGCCCTAGTTCCTTCTCTTCCCAGAGACTGCATTCATTCCCACTCTGACTTGTGAGCAGAAGAAATTGATTTCCCCCCTCACCCCTCAATGGGAGGAAAAATGGATTTGAAAGTTGGTTTAATGAGAAAAAAGTGCAGGGGGCTTTATGTTTTGTAGTCCTCCTTCTCCCACAGCAGATAGAAAGTGATTGTCAAGGCTAGTGATTCCTCTGCTCTAAGCTGATGTTGGCAAACAGATGAGTTGCACCCTGACCCATTATCTTCATTTGCCTTGTTTTAGGTAAAATAATGTGTTTCTGGCATTCAGGGGAATGTGCTGGGGTGGGAGAGATACATATGCCCAGATGACTTGTTTATTGAGCATTTATCCTGATTTGTTTGTGGGGAGGTTAGATGAAGTTGTGTCAAGGAAATGCTATCCCATATTTTACAGTGCATCTTCCTATTACTTTTCTTATTGGAAGAAAGCCCAGTCCATTGGGGAAGCGGGCTTCTTGTGCAAGACCTGCCAGTCAACTGGAACTGCACCACTTGAATTTGCCAGTATGTGACTGAATCCCACCTAAAAGCAACGACGTTCTGGAAATGCAGAGAGAGAACACTCCACTTTTGAAGCTCCTATAGAAGAGACTGGAATTTTGAACTGGGCCAGGAGTCTGGAATCAAAATGAAACACCACCTCAAATTAAGGAGGAGTATAGATGGAAAAATGGATGTTATTGTACTTGCGTATTATATAAATTGCCTCTTGTCCACTTAAAACTTTTACACAAGAAGGGGTTTGATCATTTTTCTGCTGAAACCATTAAGGGGGAAACTACAATTCATTCTCAGGCATGCAATACCCTTTTTTTTTTTACACTTAGTTTGTATCTGGTTGGAAGAAACCATCTAATGTAAAGCATGTTATGTTGCTTACCCATACACAAGAATATCCCTGTGAGCATAAACATTGCCCTCCTAAAGTTTGTTTCAAACAGAGACCACCACCATTCATGCCAGTCACTGCTTTTAATATTTCATCCAGCATACTTTTAAAATAGTACAATAAATTCAATCAACACTGGCAAGACATTGTGTTAATACTAACATCAAAAATGTTCTTCGGTCACAATGTAATCCAGAATCATTTTCCAAATGTAGAAATATAACCTGGCAGTTTTCCTAGGCATACGACTTTATTGCACTTTATTGGAATTATTTTTTTTAAAAATCTATTTTTACAAGATCAGTGTAAATTGGCTGATCTTAATACTATTTTGTTCTGCTTAATACCACCAAGAAACATGCCACAGTTATTAAACCTGTTTAATTAAAAAATAATAATACACTGCATAATACGTTTGTGTGAATATGCATATACTTCCATGGGGCAAAAGAATCCTCCTTTATCCTGGTTAAATCTATCAATAAAACTATTTGGATTGTATCCAACTAAATCATTATGTGTACAGAATGACTTCTGTTGGCACAACAGAACTACCCTCCTCCTCCCCCAGGTGTCTCCTGCACCCCCCAATGTAGTCTGGAGATTTATGGTGTGCATGTGAGAAAACAGGGAGGGAAGATTCTGCTGCACTCAGTGTGTGTGTTCCTCACATGCAGTGATTTAACTGGATACAACTCTGTGCTGCAGAATGTTATTCCATGTACGCCACTCATGAATACCTAGTTTCCCCAAAAACATGGAGGCTACACAAAACGGATCAAAAAACTAAAGAGAAGAGCTACTGGAAAGTTTCAGATTTTTGTTTTAAAATTCAAGCACTTTAAAAGGGGGACCAAAATAGTTATTTTCTGTTATTACTTGGCTGAAAAACACCTTATTTTGCAAGTCATTCAAGAACGGTGTTTAACTGAAGTGCACATTTCTTCTCCCATAGAATTATTTATTGCCATTTCCCCCCCAGAATTCACCAGGAAAACCAGCTCAGTGCAACCTAAGTCAAAGTCCGAAGCCTCTTTACTGGATGGCAAATCCCTAGTTAACTCAGTGGAATTTACTTCTTAGTAGATGTGATACAACCAGGCTGCTAGATCATTTTAAAAAGAATGTGTCTAGAGTGGCACAATTTCATTATTTTTTTTATAAGATATTTATTAAGATTTTCAAAATATTACAAAAAAACCCAAAAACAAAATAAAATTAGTTAAAAACAAGTCAATCTTTCGATTACTTATTTTTCATTAGCTTGTTTCCCGGACCTCCTCACGCCTCCCTTTTGTGTATTGCAGTTCAGTTTGGTGGTTCAGCAAATCCTTCCCTCTTTGTTTATCCTAATCTCTAATCTTAAAGTATTGTAACATTAAATTTTTACCTGTTAGTAATCCATTTTCATATTCCCTTATAATATTTCTGCTAAAAACCATTTAATTTCTATCCAACATCATTCTAACATTCATTAATTTTACAATATTTCTGTAAATAGTCTTTAAATTTCTTCCAATCTTCTTCCACCGACTCTTCTCCCTGGTCTCGGATTCTGCCAGTCATTTCCGCCAGTTCTAGAGTGGCACAATTTCACAAGTCAGAGTTGCAACCAGCCTGTACTATCCTTTGATCGTACAGCAGACTTGTCCCTTGTCCCTAACTGCTTTGAAATGGGTGCAAATGCAGTTCACTGTGGCCACCTGGTCACAGGAGAAGTCTGTCGCCTATCACATCACTCCTATTTAAAGGCAAATGATTTGGTGAAAAAGGATCTAGAGATATGGTCAAACTTGAAGCTTTCCTTGTTAGGTCGAATTGCTGTTATAAAGATGAATGTATCGCCAAGAATGTTATTTTTGTTTCAATCATTGCAAATCTTGAACAAAATGGACTGTTTCAAGAAGTGGCAGAGAGACATTTCTAGATTTGTCTGGCAGGGCAAGAAGCCCAGAATAAAATTTAAAATATTAACTGATGCAAAGGACAGAGGTGGATTTGCCCTGCCAGACCTCAAACTTTATTATGAATCAGCAGCATTCTGCTGATTGAAAGAATGGCTGCTTCTTGAGAACACAGACATTTTGGATTTAGAAGGTTTCAATAATGTTTTTGGGTGGCATGCATATCTGTGGTATGACAAGGTTAAAGCACATAAAGCATTTAAAAACCATATTGTCAGGAAAGCATTGTTAAATGTCTGGATAAGATATAAGGACTTACTTGAAAACAAAACCCCAAGGTGGTTGTCACCGAAGGAAGCAAAGGCTCAGAAAAGGCTCAGTATGGAGGCCAAATGGCCGAAATATTGGGAAATTTTGGAACAAGAAGGAGACAAATTGAAATTGCAGAGTTTTGAGAAATTAAAAGACAAAGTGCGAGACTGGCTTCATTACTATCAGATAATGGAGGCATACAATTTGGATAAGAAAATTGGCTTCCAGGTGGAAAAATCAAAACTAGAAACAGAACTGTTAGAACCCAAAACTAAGATTCTGTCAAAGATGTATAACTTGCTGTTGAAATGGAATACTCAGGATGAAACGGTGAAATCTGCTATGATTAAATGAGCACAAGACGTTGGACATAATATTATGTTTGCTGACTGGGAACAGTTGTGGACCACAGGTATGAAATTTACGGCATGTAATGCCCTAAGAGAGAATATTATGAAAATGATATACAGGTGGTACATGACACCAGTCAAGCTCGCAAAAATCTATCATTTGCCCGATAATAAATGTTGGAAATGTAAAGAAAATGAAGGTACATTCTTTCACCTTTGGTGGACGTGCCCAAGGATTAAGGCTTTCTGGGAGATGATCTATAATGAATTGAAAAAGGTATTTAAATATACCTTCTTGAAGAAACCAGAGGCCTTTCTCCTGGGCATAGTCGACCAATTGGTGCCAAAGAAGGATAGAACTTATTTTATGTATGCCACAACAGCAGCAAGAATACTCATCGCAAAGTATTGGAAGACACAAGAGCTACCCACCTTGGAAGAATGGCAGATGAAGGTGATGGACTATATGGAACTGGCGGAAATGACTGGCAGAATCCGAGACCAGGGAGAAGAGTTGATGGAAGAAGACTGGGAAAAGTTTAAAGACTATTTACAGAAATATTGTAAAATTAATGAATGCTAGAATGATGTTGGATAGAAATTAAGTGGTCTTTAGCTGAAATGTCACAAGGGAATATGAAAAATGGATTATTAATAGGTAAAAATTTAAAATTACAATACTTTATGATTAATGACTAAGATATACAAAGAGGGAGGGATTTGCTGAACTAACAAATTGAACTGGAATACAAAAAAGGGAGGCGTGAGGAGGTCCGGGAAATAAGCAAATGAAGGATAAGTAAAGGAAAGAATGAATTGTTTTTAATCATTTTTATTTTGCATTTTTCTATTTTCTTTTTTTTATCTTGTAATACTCTGAAAATCTTAATAAATATCTTATAAAATAAATAAATAAATAAAGGCAAATGATTTGTCACACTATCATTTTCTAAACTAGTGCTGATGTGTGTCAACAATGGGGAAAGTGCAAGCAGCACGAGGTATTTGGCAATGCTGAAAAAAATAGAGGCAAAAAGGTTGTTTAAAAACAATACCTAAATCACACTTTCCCCAGTGTTTCCAATCTCTCTGCATTTGGGTGCTCATTTCCACATGAAATAGCTGTGCTGAAGGAATTTCCCAATATAATTTCAAAAAATTGGGAGCATGGGTGAGTAACCTGCGGCTCTGCATGTGTTGCTGATATCCAACTCCTAGCAGCCCCAGCCAGCAGCACCAATGGTCAAGGATGATGGTAACTGTAGTCCAGCAACATCTGGTGAACCAAGCATTAGCCACCCTTGTTCTAGAGCAGTAGTTCCCCAACTTGGGTCTCCAGCTGCTTTTGGACCACAATTCCCATCATCCCTGACTACTGGTCTTGCTAGCTAGGGATGATGGGAGTTGTAGCCCCAAACCAGCTGGAGACCCAAGCTGGGGAAACACTGGTATAGAGTACACAGTCAGCTTAGTTCATCTGGGGCTTCAGTCAGGCCTGTTGACCTTCTCATTATTGTCCCATATGAGCTGAGAGTGAAATTTACAAGATACCAGATGCTTTCATTCTTGCTGTAGGGAAGACTGGTAGTGCTTGCTAAGCTGCCTTTCAGGAAAGCTTGTCTCCTGTTATTGATCCTTTTACTGAGAAAGTCATGATAAGCTTCTAAGCAACCCCAGGCCTTCCCGGAAAACAGCTTGAAAACCACAGACTTTACTCTGGAAATTCCACTGTTGGTGGGTCTTTCAAAGCAAAACGTTCAGATCAAGCATTAGATCTCCTTCTCCTTTCAGTTCGAAGACGAACATCACCTGCAGCTAAACAAGACTCGGCTGTATGGCATGTTTCAATTCTATGTTGCGTCTAACACATCTAGACAATAGTTATCATATAAAGTTACTACCACATTGGTAGGACAACACTCACTGATTGTGTATTATTTTGAACATGGACAAAGGCCAGGGTCTATGCTGGCTAACAATTTTGTTGAGTACAGAGGTAGATCTATTGATACCAGTACAAAGGGGTCTTCACTGTGACATTAAAATTGGTTTACCATACATGAAAAGATAAGTAGTAGCAATGAAGTAGGTATGTCAGGCATACTGAAATTACAGTGAAATGTTGATGATTGGTGAACAGAGTATTAGAACCTGGATTCAAATCTTAACTCAGACATAGTCTTGCCAGGTGGCTTTTGGGGGGCGGGTAGAAAGGTTTGGTCTGCCCTGGTTTCCAGAAATAATAGCAGCCTACCCCTCACAGGAACACACTATAAATAAGGATTGCAAAACATAATCAATAAGCAGTGGATTAAAAGTGCCATAAAACAATGTCTGTGCTTCTTAAAACAGTTGACCAACAACCACCAATATTATAAAGTGACACAACTCATTTGGGGTGGAAAATAGGGCACTCTTGCCATTGTTTTTAGCATAGTGTGTTCATGTGACTGGACTTAAAATATTGTATCAAGAACGTGATTGTCAGATATGAAAAAATAAGGCTAGGAAATAGAGAACTAATACACCCCCATGTCTGGGGGAAACATGTCAGTTAAGGCAAATGAAACTCATGAATGTAATGCAGAAACCCAGTCTCTTGATTTCCCCAAGAATTTGGCAACTGCCACTAATTAAGCAGGACAAATTAAGTTTGGCAGCCATTAGGATCCTGCCCGACACTGCAGTATGCCAGGCACCATGACTAAGAGTGAATTCACACGTTGAACAGGCACCCAGAGAGTTAGCATAGTATACTAACTTTATATGCACACGCTTTAACATGGGACACATTTAAAATGCAACCCCTAATGAGAGGACTGTACCATGTACGCTGCGCAACACTTGGATAGGCTCCAATGCAATTCGGAGGAATTTGGTGAGTTTGCCCCATCTGTGGGAACTTTGCACACTATAAGAGGCTATGTTTTCTGTGATTACCAGTTTCCTTTCACTGTATTAGTTAAGTGATTTCAGAAGTGATGGGGGCAGATAGCTTTCCTTTGCTCTACATCGTTCAAGTTCCCCCACCCATCACACTTCTCTCACCCATCCCCAAATACTTGTTACATAACTGAGATAAGGCAACTTATGAACCCAGTATCAAATGCAAACCACACATTCACACTCTGGGCCTTTGAGGAAAGGAATCTGATGGAGAATTACCACCTGAACTGTAGATATAAATATAATAGCAAAGATGAACTTGCTCTTTGCTTTCCTGTAGGGTAGGGTTGCCATATTTCAAGAGGTAAAAATTCGGACACAAAAAGTTGTTGAGCTTTTTAAGGGTTGAAGCCAGAGCCTGTGTCGTCCACACCGGAGCCTGAACAAGAGCCACCCATGCACATTTTTTAAAAATAAAACAAAAACAAAATCCAGGCCATTTTCTTTAAAATGTAAAATCCCCCCAGATGGGCATGGAGGACCCCCCAAAAGAGGACATGTCCTGGAATTCCCAGACGTATGGCAACCCTACTGCAGGGCAAAATTGAGAAAGGCAGCAAATCTAAAATAGCATCCTGTGATCTCCTTCTGTCTGCAACATTTTCCAAAGGAATTTTATCTTTAGCTTCTTGAGAGTAGTTAATGGGAACTGTTTTAAATATTGGCAGCAGAAAAACAAAGTGGACAGTGAAGTAATGGCATTGACAGCAATTTGAGGCCATAATTACGAAAATTATATTGCAATGCTTAAATAACCTCAGTGCTAAAAAAAAAAGTGTAAAATTGAAATAATACACTAGGACCGAGTTGTCTTCAACAAGGCTTTCTCACAATTTAAAATAAGTTCACCTAATTGTCATTGAGGGATATTTTGTCTTCTACAAATTATAACCCTTTGTTAAAATACACACGCTCCAATTCAGGGTTGCTCTTTTGGATCTTGGCTTGTAATTCTGGCTCCAGACGAGTTACAGACATGGAACTGAGCAAAAGAAAAATAGAAGAGACGTCACATACAACCCATGATCAAATTTCATACATGTAAGTGGTGAAGCTTTATGATGATGATTTTTTTTTAAAAAGTTGGAATTTATATCAAATGTGATTTTGTACTAAGGGTACTTCATTATCAATTCTAAAAGTATTTTCTTGCACTTCAAATAGTCCCTGTTATGAGCCACAGAAGAAGATTTTCAAGTTTTTGCTTGGCTGCTTTGCTTGGCTAAAGTTAACTGGTGAGCTATGTTAATGTGTCAGCCAGGAAAATGCACTTTACATGAACCATTAAGCTTTCACTTATAAATTAAACTTGGCCTAACAGTTCGTGTATCACCAACAGGTCTTTAAAACTGATTGCTAACATTTTAATTGCATTCACTCTTAATAATAAAAAACAGTTTAGCATGTGTGAAAACAAAGGCATGCAGTTAAAATCAAAAACTGTGTCACGGAACTCTTTAACATGTCAACACCAGAGAATACCCACCTAAGCGTGATAAATTCTGATCCCTCTCAAACTAAGCCTGGAACTGCTTTGGCCATATGCAACTCATAGGCCTTTTCGAAGCCAAGAGGGGAAATAATGTTAACAATCACAATGCTTTGAGTTAAATCAGCATTCATGTGCCAGAGAACAGAAGCAGCAGGGGGATTTCTGGTTCCATGAAAGAACCTTGATCAACCCATGAAATGAAGTTTATATTTATTGATCCCAGCAAATGGGAGTCAGACTTTGTTTATGTAGCTTCCTTTAGAGCTCAATGCAGAAGCAAACATATCCCTTATACAAGGTGGCACAAAGGACCACAGTGTTGCAACAGGGAACACCAAAGCTGTTCATCTTCAACAGAAAGACGTTCCAGGTGCCTCTGTAAGGTTTTCCCCCATGATCCTATACTGGCTTGCAGGATAAAGCACTTCAGTGTGAAGAAGCTCTTAGGGAATCTATGGCATCCTTCCCCACAGCAGCCCATTAGTAATCTGGCTGAATGACTGTAGAGCATAACCCCAGTGGGTAGCTATAGAAAACAACCAAGAAAATGCCTGTGGTGATGAGAAAGAAAGACTGCTGTGCTTCCTCTCCTGGGCTTCCTCTGGGTGGTGAAGAGGGAGTGATGATTATATAAGCAACACCACCAACCACTAGGTGGTGGTGTTCCATGCACGTAGTCCTTAGGTAAAGGTAAAGGGACCCCTGACCATTAGGTCCAGTCGTGACCAACTCTGAGGTTGCGGTGCTCATCTTGCTTTACTGGCCGAGGGAGCTGGCGTACAGCTTCCGGGTCATGTGGCCAGCATGACTAAGCCGTTACTGGCGAACCAGAGCAGCGCACGGAAACGCTGTTTACCTTCCCGCCAGAGGGGTACCTATTTATCTACTTGCACTTTGAGGTGCTTTCAGGAGCAGGGACCAAACAACGGGACCTCACCCCGTGGTGTGGATTCGAACCGCCGACCTTCTGATCAGCAAGTCCTAGGCTCTGTGGTTTAACCCACAGCGCCACCCACATCCCTTGGTTAAGGTTTTATGTATTGTCTGTTGTTGCATTGTCTTGGATCTGTTTCTCTAAAGAACAGACCTGTGTTGGAGGTCTGTGCTGTTGATTTAACTGGCAGTATTTTATTCTAAGCTGGTACGGCAATAACCAGGGGTGCGTTTGAGACCACCAATCTACATAGGAACAAGGTAACTCTCTGCTGAAAGTCCCACTCCTTTGTAAAAGGAGTTGAAGAGGCATCAGAGTGGTTTCTCATTGGCTGGGAAACAGCAGCATCACCTTCCTCACATAGTCATGAATGAGAAAGTGTTTCAAGACAGAATTGGGGCTTTTCCCCCCCAGCTGGAACTCAGTTCCAGGTGGGCGCCATTGTCATTATAAGAGAACAAGGCGGGTGTTCATGGTGAGTTCTGGCACCGCTTTTTCTAGAAAAATAGCACTGTTAGTAACTACAAGTGAATGGGGTGAAGGAGAGGAAAATGAACGTGAGAAAAATCTAATCTTATTATGCCAGGCAGGATTAGAACAGAAATGCTACCTAACCTGCTTCCTCAGAGCTAGGCAAGAGCAGACTTTGGGCTGGGAACCTATCCTAAGAATAAGGTCATTTTGAAAATTTCTTACTTACTTAAAAAAAAGAGGGGGGGGTTATGTTCTGACTTCTGGAATGTCTCTCTCGAAATGATGATGACTCTTTGTTTTCTAAATTTTTTGCAATGTGCTCAGCATAATCTTACCTCTCACCATAGCCCAAAGTATCAGTAATTTTTAAAAATAAAAAACACACACATTACCTTTTTTGTGGAAATAATGCACAGCACAGAGGTGTTGCGAACACCAAACTGGAAAAGACAAACATTAAGTTAGGTTATTTGGGGTAACTGTCCTCAAAGTACGAACTGGCCTCGTTAAAAAGTGCAGATAGTTTCAAAGCACCTAAAAATCCTAACTCTGGACATCAACATTAAAATATTGCAGCAAAACATTAAGATATTGCAGCAAAAGATTTCATGGGCTAAAGCCCACTTCATCAGATGAATGGAACTCCCCATTGTTTCTTTCCTTTGCTCTTGCATCACTTTATTTATGTACTACATTCAATTTTTTTACTATTCAACAGAGCTGATAGTAATGAACACGGTTCTGATATGGGAGGCTTGAAAAGAAAACCACTGGGAGACTTGTAAAGGGTTCTGTGAGTCTCCTCCCTACCCAGTTTGAGTTCCAAAACTTGGAGGTTTAAATGGGGAGCAGGATAAGGCTCACAAAGCCTTTTCCAAGTCTCACCATATTGGGGACTTTAAAGGAAAGGCAGGAGGCAGCCCTATGCTCTCATGTGAACCTCAGGAGAAGACGATGTCTTAAACCTCGTTGAAGTAGCTTATGTGTGCAAGCTGTTTCCATGGGTGCTTTTGCACAGGGCAGTAATCCCCACACAGCTGATGAAACCCAGTCCTCCCGCCTATCAGTTGATGACCCCTTGGTGGGCCAGGATTGGCCTGTGGACTAGAAATTCCCCGACTCCATACTACAACATGCTGTTCCCCCTCTGGGCTTATATGGCCCCCCTGTTCCACCCCTTTGGTTTGCTCTGTATCTTCCCCAACCAAGACGAATTTCAGAGGCTCAAGGTCTGCTTTTGTTTGCATTGCTCTTCCAGTAGCTGCTTTGGGAAAAGGTTATCATAGCACTTTCTCCAAGTTATTTGCCTTAGTCTTAAAGAGAGGCTTTGATGGCCTCATTGTGCCAAAGTCAAAACTACACATTATGCTTATTGTGTAGCATGCAGGTATTGTCTCTGCTGAACCAGATCAAAGGCCCATCTAGTCCAGCATTTGGTCCTCAAAGACACCAATCATATGCCTCTGTGAAGCCACTAGCTTTTCTTTAATTGATTACAGCTGAATTTGGTGGGTTGTTTTTGGATGGGGTCATAGGTGGAGAGGGAAAGGACAATCCTATTCTTTCCACATGTTGTGATCTCAATAGCAATTGCCCCTCCCACCATTGCTGAAATTAAAGAAAACACAAGATACACAGCCACACTGCACACATGAAGCGCAATGTGCAATTCCCCACTTAGGGTTCAAAATCAGCATCTTTCACAGAAGGAAACACTGTTATGATAACCACAACCATATCACCATTAATTCATTTTTATTTATTTTTTTACTCACCAGAAGCCAACTAAACCCACTTGAATGGGGGCACTCATCCATGGAAACCTCTGCGTTTTAAAAGAAATGTTACATGATGAAATGAGATATTTCCTCTCACCACATGTGTACTATTCACATTCTTGGGTCCAAACCTTTTCAAAGCACATGGTCTCTGAAAATTTATGCAAAATGGAGAAGGCATGCTTGAACACACACCTAACTACTATGGGTTCTGGAAATATTCCCAGCTTTAGAGTGAGGTGTTATAGCCTCCAAGGTCAATAGCCACCCGCACACCCCGACTCTGCTGATTTGTCCATGTGTTCTTAGCAGCAGGACAGAATTCTAAAAGTAGGGCAGTATTATAATATCAGACACACAGAGTGTTTAAGGGATGAAAACAGTCCTTTCCTGCAATTAGATGAATTACTTTTGTAAAATTCCACTGAAAGCACTGCCATTGCTATAGAGAAAAAGGCTTGGGCCTTCAGGTTTTGAAAATGTTCATTGCTGTTAGCCATTAAAACCCTGGGATGGGTGCTTTAGAGGTATATATATAGTTGTAGTAAAAATACACACACCAGGAAGTACTGAGGAATCTCTCAGACAATGTGAGCAATGTTAGGACTTTCTACAACATGTGATCCCATATTACATTTGTTAAATAATGCAAAAGGATTAATTCCAATGTTAAAGTTGCACTGAATTTCTTTTTTAAAGAATTACAAGTGCCGCTTAAAGAGAAATTGGGGCAGGGGTTGCATTCTGCGGTATTTCTCTATAAGCAAGAGTAATACAATCCTACCCCTACCCTCACTTTGGAAAAAAAAACTTTTAAAAACTTCATAAAAACTGATAGACAAGCCTCCCCTTTTCCCATTATCAACTGTTGTTCCTGTGTCAGTAAGGAACAGCTATTCTTTGGGAATTATTGTAACATCTAAAAAAACCCCAATGCATTGTTTCACAGCATACAAATCCTATGCACAGCTTATTGTCACATCAAGCAAAACTAATCTTGCAACAATTAATCATTTAAGGGATATTATAAAGATGCTGTGTTAAGACTTCTACCAGAAAGTAAATGCTAATGAAACCAAACCACAGCAAGCCTCTTCTATATTGAATTTGCTTCTGTTACTAAAAACAATCATTCCCTTTCATATATGGTATCATAAACAGGATGAAGATTAAAAGTAAAATAGTTAATTGGTTAGAATTACAATGGATGTGTGCAATTATGATTTTCAAGTAAAAAGCATTTCATAAACTGCTATTGTATTAAGGATCAGAATGAAGTGTTAAATAGTTGGAAATAAGCAGCAAATGTGGAACTATAGATTTTGTGCTTTAGATATGAGGTAAAGAGGCAGGGAAAATATTCTGTGCATATTTACTCAGAAGTAAGACCCCCTATGTTCACTGGGGCTTACTCCTAGGGAACTAATGTAGATGAACAAGTCTTTAGGATCGGAGTGACTATATTGAACTGCTCATCAGTTCCCAGATTAGACATATACAAGGATCTTTAACAATGCCTAAATGTATCACACCCACAGATGTAGACAACTAAGGTTACTGGGGCTTTCCCTGCGCTGCAGGAATCCAAAGCCACAAAGTAGCTGCCTGTGAATCAGGTAGTTAAGGAACAAATGGCAGCTTTAAACTTCAAGGATGGTGCGACATGTAACGATGCAGCACTTACATCTCTCTGGAAACTGAGCAGATGGCAGAACTCCAGCCAGCCAAAGGACTCCTATTTACTTCTTATTGCACCACAGTTTATGATCAAGCAGACACCAGCAGATGCCACCCAATGGAATCATAACAAAAGGGCAGAGGATAGAACTCTGCACTGGAGATGTTCTAACACCGAATGCAAGATGACACTGTATTTCTCAAAGCTGTTGTTCGGAAATATTTCATTTTTTGTACGATGAACAGTTTTGTGTAGGGGAGCCTCTTGGACACAAGGGCAATCTAAAGTTTGTTTTAAGTTTGTTGTTACACAGAATCAGCAGGCAGTCTCCTTTTCTAAGCATTTGAACTGGGGTTCATAGCACCATTCAAGTCAACTACCATTTTCAGATAGAGCAGGCACACAAAAACATTCCTATATGTGGGAACAAGAGGAGCCACTGATGCTCAACAGACACATGGATGTTTAAATGTATTTCTCAGATGCATGGGGCTGGCTTATACTAGCCGGAAACCTTTACTCAAGTTTGGTGAGCTTGTAGCACTTAGCTTCCCACAACTGTGAGAACTGGAGCATCTGCGTGGGTGCTGTAAATGGGGCCAAAATTACTCTGTCTTAAGACTCAGGTCTAACCAGGAACATTGGCACCTGCCTTTTAGCAAGTTGGATCATATTGCCTATGCTGATTGGTAGTGACTTTCATGGACTCCAGACAGTAGTCTCTTTCAGGGCCAGTTTGCTGGAGATTGACTCTGGGACATTCTTCATGAAAACAGACACTCTGTCGCTGAACTATGGCCCCACCTCCTATTACTACCTTTAATGAGATAAAGTCAGCATGAAATGGCTTTTCTGTTTGTTCCTTCCTCTGTTCCCCAGCTGAGGACAAAAGCAAGTGCTGCCAGGCTGCTGCTCAAATTAAAATCACGTATTTTTCTCAAACTCCAGTGATTAAAATGCCTGGCATGTTTGGGGCTGCTGCCATTTCTTTCTACTATGCTGCAGCCAACTCCTCGTGCTCCAAATTCACCACTGCTCTCAGGTGAACTGTCTGCTTTTATTTGGGGAGTCACATTTGGAAAGCTTCAGCTATTTCCATGACTCAGCAAGATTCACTACAGGTATATTGAAGGCATTATGTAGTGAAGAACAGCTAGAAGGACAGCCACCTGGAGCTAGAAACATATAACACTGGTCTTGAAAGACCTACACTGGCTCCCAGTAGGTTTCCAAGCACAATACAAAGGGTTGGTGCTGACCTTTAAAGCCCTAAACGGCCTTGGCCCAGTATACCTGAAGGAGCATCTCCACCCCCATTGTTCAGCCCAGACACTGAGATTCAGCTCCAAGGGCCTTCTGCCGGTTCCCTCACTGCGAGAAGCGAGGTTGCAGGGAACCAGGCAGAGGGCCTTTTAGGTAGTGGCACCCACCCTGTGGAACACCCTCCCAGATAAACAACTATCTGACTTTTAGAAGACATCTGAAGGCAGCCCTGTTTAGAGAAGCTTTTCATGTTTGAAGTTTTATAGCGTTTTTAATATTCTGTTGGGAGCCGACCAGAGTGGCTGGGGAAACCCAGCCAGATGGGCAGGGTATAAATAAATTATTATTATTATTATTATTATTATTATTATTATTATTATTAAAGGCAATGTTTCTGTGGCAGGATTCAAAGAAATGAAGACCTTCACACAATCCCTCTTTTTCTTCTCTTTGTCTGAACCTTTAAAGATTTTTTTTCTTAGGCTGAGTGAACAAGAGCTATTATCTGGAATGGTGGGAAAATGCTATAGCCTGTATGCATTAATAAAGCAGGTTGTAGATGGTGTCAGAGTAGTGCAAGTAATGAACTTTAAGCTGACATGCCGAAGCTGCTTGTTTTATTTAAAAAAGAAGTGCAGTTCATTGCTCAATGGATCCAGGGCTGATCAATAGCAAGTCTTATAATTAACTAGCTGTAGAGCAATGATTCACCTGAGCTCACAGTCCAGGAGGCAGAGAGGGGGCGGGGAGGAGCAGGAAAACATAAAGGGAGTCATGATGGTGTCAAAGAACACTGAACAGTCACTGAAGGGCTCTTTCAGATGTGCTGATCTGAAAAAATTACAACATCTTCATGTTGATTAAACTACATACACGCCAATGGAGACTTTGCTTGACATATGGCATTCTCTTTTCATTAGCCATTGCAAGAAATATCACTGAACCAACAGAAATGCTTTGTCACAGTCAAATGCAAACAGTGTTAACTCCAAAATGTGTAATATGCTTAAGCAAACATCCTTGCTCCTTCCAACATATTCAAGTCCCCCACTGGAATTCTACAGAGAATATTTCTTATTTGCTGATGGATGGAGATAAATACACTTACACATTATGTTTCCATCAAAAAAAAAAATAAAAAAAAATCCTTCCAGTAGCACCTTAGAGACCAACTAAGTTTGTTATTGGTATGAGCTTTCATGTGCATGCACACTTCTTCAGATTTTTAAAATTTGTTTCGACTACGGCAGAACAACACGGCTACCTACCTGTAACTAGAATTATGTTTCCATGTTTGCTTTAGCAGCCCAGAGGATTAGACAACATTTCATTGTGCAACACAGCGCCCAGTGTGCTGGGGACTACGTGTGCTAGAATGTACCTCAATACATTTGTGAAGTCCAGTGGATTTTAGCAAATAAATTTGACTGACTGACTGACTCTTTGAACATGAAGCATTGAATTCCACATAACCTATTTCAGCTAACACTTCATATCAATCTAGGAGACTTGGATCAAACTCTTTCTAAGTCACTAGGTAACCTCAGGCAAGTAGCTATCTGTCAGTGGGGATAAAGATGGCCTATATAGCATAACTGATATTTAATGAACTATGTCCCTAGAAAATTATTCTCACTTCAATGTTGCAAGAAAAAAATTATGGGAGGGATTCACTCTTGAACCCTGTCAGCAGAAGCCCTGTGCTTGCCCTAGGTGAGATTAATATCTTACAATGACACTGAATTCCCCGACATACAGAATGTTACATGAAAAGAGCTGCTTCTCGTGGAATTGCATAGGTTGGCAACAATGTGTGGTGCTGGTAATATTCTTGATGTTTAGTCCATCAGCAAGAGCATAAGAAGCATGGAGGCCACTTTAATGATTACTCCCTTATATGCACAAGCCACTTATATGCACAAAAATCCAAGAAGAGCCCTGCTGAATCAGGCCAGTGGCCCATCTAGTCCAGCATCCTGTTCTCACCGTGGCCAACCAGATGCCTGTGGAAAGCCTGCAAGCAGGACATGAGTGCAGGAGCATCTGCCCGCCTTCGATTCTCAGCAAGTGGTATCCAGAGGCATACTGTATTTCAGGCAGGTGACTCCAGGCCACCACAAACCTCTCAAATAAGCAAATTTGCAGCAGGATGGAAAAAGTCATCTGACTATGTAGGGAGCTGCCATGCAGTACTCGATTTATGCATGACAGCCGTTGCCATACGGATCAATTTTAACTTAAAGCAGCTTCCATGTGACAGCATACTTCATGTACATCAGCTTCGAATTAGGTCCTTGCAGGAGATGTCATGCATCTGAAAATAACCCTGACTCTTAGCATAAACGCTTTAATCAACATATATCTCCTTGTTACAATTCATGAAAGCAACGGTGTGGATCTAATTTGCACAATGGAATGAAGAGCTTTCACATCCCCCCCGCAACCCCTTGTTTTATTCACAAACAGAAATGTTCCCTAGAGCAGGACAGAGAATAACAGCTGATTTTCTCTTTTTCTTTTCATTGCTCTGTGAATGGCTATTTAATTAAAACTGATCTCTTAATTGTACTGGCTGTAAGAAGGAAATTAATATACCTTCAGGAGCTTAGGCTTACCTTTAAAAATGCCTTCTTTTCCAAAGAATTCATTATGAACGGGGGAATGGCTACAAAAACAAAGAATGAAATGCTTAAACCTTAGCAAACTATGTATACAGAGCAGTTTCTAATAACAGGTATGCTTCACTGAGTTTACTGGTAGTGTATAGCTTTCCTGGGGCACTCTATTAATATGCATAAATAAATTAGCAATGTATGGAGATGAAAAGGGATTATAAAGAGATGATGGAGAATGTGCACATGAAATTTCACAAGAGATTCTTATACAATTAATAAAAAAAAAGATTTTAAAGAATATTTGATGGTCAGCTAGAGCAATTGCTATAATATCAACAATGCATTGCAGATACATTGTAAAAATAAATAAAATTCCGCCATGTTTCTCTACAGTATCTTTTATGTGTGAGCCATTAGCTGTTCAAATCTAATGTACTGAAGCCAAAGTTCTTAGAAGAGCATGATTTCAATCACTACTTATGCTTAGCTGAAGGTGAACTAACCCATGCCAGGAGCAGCCATAAGGATCCGTGAGATAACCACCTGCACAATGGCCTGTTGGGCAGCTTTGGATGATTCACCCAATCGGTTTCCATTTTCGTCTGTAATGGGAATCCCATACTTTAGTTCCCTGTTGGGTTTTAAAAAAAGAAAAGAAAAAAGCTGAACAATTGTGAAAGGTTACTCCTTAAGGGCACTATATGCTCAAATTGTTTATGTTCCTAAAGTTGCGTTCCAGAACATTTGTTAATCATTTGTAAACTTCAACAGCAGCCCTGCTTTGTTTTTCATTACATGCATAAGAGTTGGTTTGCACATGATGCTCAAGCAATGCTATGGCTTTGTGCAAATGCTAGAGGTTGGATTGTGGCCACTGTGCTCCTCTCCCAGTCCTCCTCCTGCTGCACCACCGAAAGCTAAGCCATGGGTTGGTTTAGCACAAGGTGGGGAATCTTTGCTGGCTGGTGGGCCAGATCTCTATCTCCCCCACCCCTGCCTGCCAAAGTGTGAGTGTTGAAGGCACACTCTGATCCACCCATCAGCTGTTGTGTGGGTAGGAACTTACCTTCCTGGAACAACTTGGGAGTTTTAAGCTCTCGATTGCTCCTTTGAAGTCTTGCCCTTACCTGCTCCACACCTGCTGTCATGACATCAGGTGTGGGGTGGGTGGGTGGGTGGGTGTGGCTTCCTGAAAGTGGCTTACTCTGCAGGAGTCACATCCAATTTCAAGTCAAAACTGGAGAAGAATTCAGGACCATTTAAAGCTTGTGCCAGCGTTGAAATGGGCTTTAATGAGCCTCTGAATTTCTGTTCAAAGTCTGGCTTGGAACAAATTTTGCAGCATCCCTACTAAGCCAAGAGGTGGTCTGTGGCACATGCTAGATTTTTATCTTACCTTTGCCTCATTAATGGGATATTAATGCAGTTAGCAGCAGCTACAGCAGCAAAAGGAACAAAACGTCCTATAAGAGGTGAGACATGCTGTGAAAAAAGAAGTAAGAGTTACCTGAAGATGGACAAACCCCACCAATCCTCAGCCACTCTAAAATATCATCTTAAGTATTGTTTTGTGAAAAGCTGATCTTAAGAATCTATGCCAACACATCAGAGAATATATGTGCCTGAAGCTAGAATCTTTTGAGAACACTGGTATAGATTGTACCTTTTAAAAAATGAGAGTGGTTTCTCAACTGTATTACAGTGACATAAAAATATTTTAGAACAGAAATATTGAGTTATAATCACTCCCAGAAATCAGGTTAAATTTTTGATGAAATACCATTCAGGGAAGCTATATGATCAATTTTTTTTTTTTTTAAATCTATCTTTCTCTTTGAAAAATAGTTGTAGTCATTCTGTGAACGCTTTTTGAAGTGTAGCCATCTTAGAGTATGTCAGCAAACACAGCAGGGTGTCTCATAGTTTCTTGAAGATTTATTGCAGCAGAAGTTTTCCCAGGGAAGAGTCTACTTCATCAGATGCATGACATGGACAGTGAAGATATGCACATGTTAAATGATTTGGGGTTGGAGATAAAAATGACCTTTAAACACCTCTTTAAAATGTATACCAAAGTTTTATTTTTGTTCTGCACATTGCACAGTTTTTATTTGTGATATACAATCACATTTTGCTTTTATCTAGCTTTTAGGAAAATGTATTATTATATTTGTATTAGTTAATGTTGTTTCATTGTTTCTATGTAAACTGCTTAGATTTTTATTATACAAGCAGTATAAACTATTTATAAAGAAATCTAAAGTGGATTTTATGCAAGAATCAGAAACAGCACATTATCTGAATATCAGTTGCAAGAGACCTCGCCCTAGAAACTGAGACTATATTTTCGGTGAGGTGGTAAATCCAAGCCTGAGCTCACATAACTGAATACTCTTCCATATAAAAATATTGTTGTACAAAGAAAGCTGGAAGTTCCAGAAAATGCTAGGGAAAATGCTAGACTAGAACACTTCTCCCTGACATCTAATTTCTGTGTGCTGACATATTCAAAGCTATAAAAATGAACTGAACTGAAGTAAACAGGATTCAATCACAAGAGACTGATAAACCCACAGATGAAAAGATTAAGTGGGCTCCTGAATATGCAAGGTCATGTCACAATAAATGCATTTGCTTTTAAGGTGCCACAAAAACCCTTGTTACTCCTTGTGCACATGGAAATCGTTAACTAAAAGTTTCCACAACAATCAAAACTCTCAAAGCAAAAAGGAGGAAATGATTAAATACCTTTGTTAGTGCATTAAGTCCTAGAGCAGTTGCAACAGCACCTGTGGTGGCAGAAACATAGGCTGTTCCCAGCTGGCTAAAACAAAAATAAGAACGTTTGTGTGTGCACAATAGCCGTATATGTTACATCGCACATGTTCCAATTATGTAAGCGCAACTGGCATGGTACTGTAACATGTTCTCCTGGATGAAATACAAAACTGCACCGGAATATAATGTCAGGGCATCTAGTGGGGTTACAAACTTTCCCCTTTCCCACTTACGATGCTAAGTAGCTGACTCCTAAGTGATCTATATGTTCTATATCCACAGTTGGGAGGTGGTATGCCTCAGAATGCCAGTCACTGGGTATCACATGTGAGGAGTGCTATTGCCCTCAGGTTCCAGCTTCTGGCTTCCCATAGGCATCTGGTCAGCCACTGTGAGGGCAGGATGCTGGCCTCTGACCCCATCCAGCAGGACTTCTATGTTCTTGGGTACCAAACTGACAGTTGGGTGATGTGCACCTGTACTCTGATGATGGACTCAGTGGAAGCATCGTGCTTAGATAGAGGGCTGAGATCTTCTAGCCGAGTGGTAGAGCATGTGATTTTTGTATGCAACACATCCTCATCTCAGTCCTTGGTACATTCCGTTTAAAAGATCTCACTCGGAGACCCACTGTCAGTCATGCCATATGATAGTAGGTTAGACAGGCTAATGGGCTAAGAATATAAAGCTGCCTCATACGTTTGACAGTTCACTATGTTTGGAAGCATGATAAAATATCTAGTGGGTTGGGGCTTCAGATATACTCTTCCTATGCAGAAAGAACCATGGATTTCTTTTTGCAGCTATTTCCTCTGCCAGCTCTACTATATGGTGAACTATGCCAGTCCATTTATCAGAGAGCAGGAGGATCTAGGTGCATGGACAGACTGTCCTTTTCATGAAGGAGAAAAGACACAAAGGGTCCTCAAGGTACTAATTTTGGGGCTGGACCCTTAACAAAAGTCTAACAACGTTCATCATCTCGGCCCCCAAACAGAGTCCCCCACCCCAATTGGGTCTAATGCCATCATAAGCTGCCAAGGAGACTGAGTAACCTTGAGCCATCTTCACCAGAGGCAGATAGATCACCTCAGAATATCTTGGGAAGTAATTCACTTCATTTCTTACATTTATATCCAGCTCAGCACCACATACACAAGGCTCTTGTGCTCTCCCATCCAGGCAGTGACCAGACCCAGAGGTGCTTAGCTTCAAAAAAGTTGCTTTGCTGTGTGCCTTTACACTTTGATACCAGTCAGAAACTGGTTATACCAAAAGCAGCTGGAAGGATGAAGAGCAGGTGTGGGGAACCTCAGGGCCCCTGGATATCATTGGACTCCCACCAGCTCCAGTCAGCATGGCCAATGATCAGAGGAAACCACAGTCTAACAACACGTAGAGGGCTTCAGGTTCCTCAACTCTGATGCAAAGACTTCCGAGCATGTAATTGTGGTCTCTCTCTCTCTCTCTCTCTCTCTCTCTCTCTCTCTCACACACACACACACACACACACACATAACCCCTGAGTGTGCAAGCTTAGGATGTCAAGCGAACTGAGTGGCTGTACTGAGACCACCTGTACCCTACTGGCAGTTCTGCTCCTACATTCAAGAACATCATCTTCATTCTGCTCTTGTCACATTTGGGCAACATCTTTTGGTCTTCTACCTCAAAGTTTCCCAGATGTGCTGGACTAGATGAATAATTCTCAAGACATTTAAAAGAGCCCACCAGAACCAGAAAACTTCATGGACTATAGAAGTGAAGCACACATGCCTGTTTGAAATGCTCTGATCCCATACCAGCTGCAATCCACAGTAGATGTCTAGAATGCATTAGTAGCCTAATTTAGTCATTCAAATTATGCATATATGACCTTGGGTGATTATCTACATGCAAATAACTTGTTTTTAGTACCAGACAGAAGTAACTAGGCAGTCATGCATCTAGTAATATCTCACATAGATTACTGAGGCGGTGTACGTGAAGTGCTTGGAATGCTCGCTATATGCATGTTACATATTAATGTTATTAAATTAGCATCACTTCAATTTCCCCATTATAGTTTACCTTGTGCTTACATGTCGTCACGTCAAGCCAGTCTATGAAAAACCACATTGCAAATTTAATAATAATCCAAACTAGGCAATCTGGGATCCATTATTATTACAGCTGCTGGAAGCCATTCAGAAGAAGCAGGGGACCTCTCTTGCCTTGGGCATGAATTCCTCAGAGCAGGGCAGAATACAGGGCTGTTTCAAATATGTGGGGCCTGGCTGCGGCTCAAAAACTAAACCTTACTGCCGGCTCCACAACCAATTACCACCCTCACCCCAAGCTTTAGGGAAGATGATTTAGGGCAGGGACGACTAGTCCCCATGGTTTGGGGGGGCTAACCATTTCTTCCTGGTTGGGCAAGGCCCCATCAATTTGATGGCTGGTATTAAAAGTGGGGGAAAGCACTAACATAGACCCAGTGCTGGGAAGGGCAGAGCCCATCACTGTGAGGCAGATGCAAGCAGTCTCCTCCCCAGTCATCAGACTGATCGTTTTAGGAGTGCAGAAAGGGAGATGACCACACCCCCTCTAGATAAGCCGAGTAGGGGAGAGTGTTGGACTGTGTGTGTGCATGTGAGAATGTGGACTGGTGCACACACTGCTGGCACGTGGTCAAGGGTGAATGTGGCTTCTTTTCGGGGGAGGGGGCAAAACAAGTTAGCCACCCCTGCTTTAGTGACTGGTCACGTCATCAGTCTTGTGAGCTATTTTGGCTTTCATCAAAGATAACACTGCCTGCATATCACATTACACTAATTAGAGCATCACTTTAACTCAGAGAGATTACATGTGCAAAATATTAAAGCATTTTCTCAGGCCGTTCACATCATAGCATTGAATTTAGGTCTAAACTAGAGCAGATATTGTAATTCAAGGTTTTTGAATTTTCTGCCTGGTGTGGCTTAAATACCTTACCTGACAGTAATTGGAGCATCTCCACTCCTGTTGGTGTAATTTACGATAGCATTGAACGACTGGTTAATCCACTGCCAGAAGACCACTGCTGGAGTAGTTCTTAAAAACAAAAAGTACCATCAATTTTATTTAAAGTGATGAGATTAAGACAATCAAATGCTGTTGGGTTGATTATTCTTCATCACACTCCCCCCAAAGATTATTCTGTATAGGATCAGCCAAATAAGTCTTTTGAACAGTTACTTCACAAAATGATAGCTTTCCTACATGAAATGTAGAAATGCACAGGTCTTCTTGAGGAATCTGTTCCAGTTTGAGTACTGAAATAAGTTAAGATTCTATTAGATGTAGCTGTTCAGTTACAATAATGTAAAACTTGAAGTGCTTTTCCCAGGTACAGAGCTATGTTACTTGACAAACATTTCCAGCTCAGATTTAGAGAGTCACATAGATTAAAATGGTGGTTTTTATCCTGTAAGACTTGACAAAAAAGCCAATTACTATAATTCAAGTGGGAAGGTAGCGATAATCATGGTTAAAGGGAAATTTGATACTTCATCTTTCCATCAGTATCTCGCATACTGAAGTTCAAGAGTTCTCAGGTTGAATTTTCTCCACTTTGTTTTCTTTTGAAGGTAAATAAATAACCAAACCAATATGTGAAAAATATAAGGGAGAAGAAGAAACCCAAAACGTTCATTTTAACTGTTTTTTGAAACATTCAAAGTATACAACATCATTCACTTGGGCAGCAGCAGCACTAAAACTCTTTAGAATACACAAAGTTGTTACAACCAGTGTCAGTAGTACTATGGCCTTCAAATTGGATTTCCCAATTGCATATTTATTTCACTCATGTACTATCATGCATTACTTACCTATAAAAGGTCATCATGCAGCCAGTAATGGTCATGTTCATGGGTACCTGAGCAGACATGCGGCCAATTAAAACCATCTTTTCTCCAGTATCTGGGTGGAAGGCTGAATCGTAGATATACTTCGCCCTCCATAGTTCATCTTCTGTTAATCCAGGGCATACAATTCCTTGTCTTGGGGCACATGGAAATATATGTAAATATTTAATTATAAATATGACGTTAAGGTCCAAAACTTAAGTAATTATTCACACGAAAGATTGGCACATATCTTCTCTGCACACACAACTGTGCAGCAGCTTAGCATAAGAACCTCTGTGTCCCTTTCCATCATCATAACTGCTCTTTCTCATGTCAGCATAGTCACAGGAGTATTGCAGGTAGGTCAATGTAAGCAGCTGGCTCACATTGAATTTTGTTCATGCAATTGTGCATCGAAGGGCAAGGCACCTAAGGAGAAAATAGTCACTGCTTGTTTGCAAAATTGACTTCTGGCATTCTACTCCAAAATATTTTATCAGTCCCTTACATTCCACCCCATCTTCCCTTCTTCCTCACTACTGACAACAAAGTTTAATTCCTCATTCCTAAATGTTCATTGCAGAAGGCCGTTTCCTCTCAAGCAACCATGTTTAGGAGCACCCCACTTATTGTAGCTCTTGACACACTGCCTGGATAGCTCAGCTGGTTAGAGAGTGGTGCTAATAATGTGAAGGTTGCAGGTTTGATCCCTGTAAGGGACAGCTGCATATTCCTGCATTGCAGGGGGTTGGACTTTCAGCGGTTCTCAACCTGTGGGTCCCCAGATGTTGTTGGACTACAACTACCATCATCCCTGAGCTCTGGCCTTGCTAGCTAGGGGTGATGGGAGTTTTAGTTCAACAACATCTGGGAACCCACAGGTTGAGAAAGGCTGGGACTCACTAGATGATCCTCAGGGTCCCTTCCAACTCTATCATTCTTTGATTCTATGATCTGACCACACTGTAAAAACCAATTAACACCTGGAACACAGTGCATGCCAGCTCTGATCAGCAGTTACAATTCATGATGGTGGATGCCTCTGGACTGGTGTTTTATGGCGTTCTGCCTCATATTCTTGACACAGTAATAGTGTATTGCTCTCTGGAGGGGTTTATAGCACAACAGAGGCAAGGCAGAAATAAACCAGATCATTTTTTTGTATAGGAAGTTATGGGATTTCAGCAGGCAGTGACAGGATATGACCTGATTGAAAACAAAGAACTGTCACCACCCCAACGTGTTTTCAGGCACAAACAGGATTGAAAGTGGGATCGCATATGACAGCCTCGATAGCATGAGCACAAAAATAATGAATGCACAATAAAAGGGATGTCTGGAAGGGCTGGTCATAATGCATAAATACACACCCACATCCACACACCCACGTATCACAGAGGCTGTTTCTTACACTGTGTACATATTTCCCCCCTCTAACATCAGCATAGAACACCCTTTTGATCATAACATCTGTACACCATGTTTGCAAGAGGGTGTCTTAAGGAGGCCTGGGTATTTGCTGGCTCCACAATTGTGGGATTTTCTTCCCATTTAAGACTTCCTGAGATTCAAGCTGGAGACTCTTCTTGACCAGACACTACAAGAGTTGCTTTTTTTTGAAGAGAGTGGGGCCTGGGTACTATTTTCTACTGCAAGTGGCTATTTTATTTTACTCTTTTTACATTATGCCTTGAGTATTCTCAACTACCTTGAGCCCTTGGGATTAAATTAGGGTGCTTTTTAAAAATAAACATTTACCTGTAATCATGCACAATTTTTCTTGCTTTTTCTAGTTGCTCATTGGACAACAAAATATTCCTAGGATCAGTGACAGTGAAGAAATGGCTCGCTCGTCCAATAAATGTACTTTGATCCCAGCGAGGCTCTTTGATATTGATGTTGAATGGTATATCGGCTGACATTTTTTCAAGAACACTAAATAAGAAACGGAGACAGAAGCAGTTTTCAGTTTCACAGTTCTTGGCTTCCTGTGTTTATCTGGATCCCTTTAGATTTCTGGTTCTCTGCCACAGATCTCTGAACTCTTGTTGAAAATCAGAGATAGAGAAAACTCAGCCCAGTGATGCAGTCAAATGCTGAAATAGCACATGTGCCACATCTCCAATAACAGGATATTTGACCAGAGTTTTCAATAGAAAACCCTGCTTGCAACATGGATGAGATCATGCTAAAAGTAGGTCAAGATGTCCCACAAAGCTTTTGTTGAATGCCCTTGTCTGTTTTGTAAGCTTCCCATCATATTTAATTTTCTATTCATAACAGCAGAAAAGTTTATTGCAGCTCACTTGAGGATGAAACAGTGTGTGTATCTACTTACAAAGTTATATGAGATAGACGCATTAAGGACTGTATTGGATTTTACTGTCCCCTAGTCATCTTAAAGATGCAGTTAGCAGAAGGCAGCAAAATAACTATGGGCATGTTGTCCATAGGGTCAGAAACTAATCTGACACACAGATTTCACAGACTTTTCATTATTTCTCACCCATGCCTTAAAGATGCAGGTAACCTCTGAAGCAGCATATTACACAATTTCTGTGCATGTGTGTATACATATGCACATCAATATGAAAAATGAAAGCAGGTGCCATTTATTCTTCTATCACCTGCAACAACAATATGCTGAGCTGTCATTCCATCATCTGGGGGGGGGGGCTGCATAAAAAATCCCAGTGGGTACTAGAGATAGTCCAATGCCTACCAGTCGACCCAATACTAAAAAACCAAGGTTACAAAGGGTTACAAATTTGCTAGTCTCAATGCAAAATTATTTAGGGTTTTATTCGTGAAAGACACAAAAGCTTGTCCTGCCTACTCCCATGTCAGCATTATCAGTCAAGCTTGGATTCTCATAGAGAAGCCAAACCACAAACACACCTCTTAATCGTCTCCTGGTTCTAGGGGACATTTCCTTAGAACCGGAAAGGCTTGCTGAAGTTTCTAATCTGAAACCTTATCATAGGACAGGATCTCCACTGGCCAATGTTTACTCAGTTAAAAAAACACAAAAAACTCCAAGAAGAAGAAGAAGAAGAAGAAGAAGAAGAAGAGGAAGGGGAAGGGGAGTTTGGATTTGATATCCCGCCTTTCACTCCCTTTAAGGAGTCTGAAAGCCGCTAACATTCTCCTTTCCCTTCCTCCCACAAACACTCTGTGAGGTGAGTGGGGCTGAGAGACTTCAAAGAAGTGTGACTAGCCTAAGGTCACCCAGCAGCTGCATGTGGAGGAGCGGAGACGCGAACCCGGTTCCCCAGATTACGAGACTACCGCTCTTAACCACTACACCACACTGGCTCTTGAAAAAAAAATCCACTTACCCTAGACAGTTTAAGTGCATTGCTGAACTTGGCTCCAACTTATCTTTCTTATTGTTTTAAAACCGCAACTGCTTATGCCATAATTGACAGACAGTGTGAGCTACCATTTCCCATCTTTGAATCACTGAAGCTGGTCAATGTACTGCCCAAGGTAGGGATCCAAAGAGACGATTTGAATGCCTGGGAATCTTCCTCATGTGCAAAGGATTGCATTTTTTTGCTGATAGCATAAACCACTCATGCTCCACTGAATGCTGCTCTAGAGTATGCAATCAGGCAAGTTTAGATTCTGGATGTAAATAACTAGCTCTCTTTAGATAGTAATGTGTATTACTTCACATACTTCTAATTGTGGTGAGACAGCCCAGTTATATTTGGGAACCCTTCTGATTATTCATAAGCAGACTTGGTGTACATGCGGAAGCAGCTTTGCAGTTCTCTGGATTCCAGCTGCAATCTCCAAGATTGAAAGAGAATCTCAGAATTAACTATACCTGTGTATTGCATTTGGAAAAGGTAGGGCATATAGGATTTCAATGACTGTTCCAGAACCGCAAAGTCTTTGGGAAACAGTACAGTGTATGCATTTTGTTGAAGCCAGGGTTAAACTGGTTGGTTAAACTTGAGCTGGCGAATAGCCTGAATGTTTGAAAGGTTACAGGGTCTTACCAACACAAAATGTAGGAGATCAGTAACACAAGTGTAAAATCTAATCTAGTTTCAAAATGAAATGCAAGTCTTGAACAAAGTTCAGCCAAATGCTTTTAGTATGAAAGAGTACATATAACAGCAAAAAAGGAGACTTTAGACCTTGTTTAAAGGTCAACAATGTACCTGCAATGAAACTCCAGTAGCAATCAGAAATTAGTTCTCTTTTAAAAATAAAAACTTTCTATTGTATAATATGGTTGCAAGACACAGGTGGTACATGGAAATGCATGATTTTCCACAGCAATATACTGCATGATTAGAGCTGAAAACATTTACGTACATCCTTCTAGTTTAAACTACATTTTTCAGACCGGAGTGTTATAATCAGATTAGTGTGTTTTGGGTATATATGTTTATTGCTTGCCTGGAATGAATTTTGCTTATGAAATGTCCATTCAGCTTCTGAAGGACACAGGAGCTGACACTGACTCGAGAAGACCAAATAATCCACAAAACCCAGTACCTGGTGATAACAAACAATAGCACTGATGTAGTTAATTGCATTTTTCAAAATGTTTCATGTACTTTATAGAAGGGGTGGAGAACCTGTGGCCACCAAGAAGTTATTGGACTCCAACTTCCAACAGTCTCAGCCAGCATGCCCAATGGTCAGGGATGATGGAAGTGGCAGTCAAATAACATCTGAAGGACCACAGCCCCCACCCCCATCCATGTTTTATAAGATTGTAAGGATTACCTACATAATGCAACGAAAACAACAAGGAAAGCAGCAGTTACCAGTTACCAGCCTCTGAAGCCACAGCAAATGCTGTTATTCTCTAGCCATTTGACTTAGCCCCTGGAGGCACAGGCCATTGTCTTTTGAGACAGATTAATACGAACAAAAAAAATTACAAATATAGTGGTGGGGATTTAGTAGTTTGCATAAAGCAATCTAACAAATTCACTGCAGGAGCAGGATTCCAAGAAGCAATGGGCACACTCTGCTTAGCTCATTCAAAATGAGCTCAGTTATTTAAGAGCTTTCTTGGAGGATTCTTAGAAGAAGAAGAAAGCTTATCTCTTTTCTGAGAGTTCTCTTGTGGCTTGCAGCCAAGAAGTCTTGCTCATTCATTTTTTTGGGGTGCAAGGATACATTAATCACAGCCAAGACTTAGCTGTAAAGTCCCCCACCTCATATAACTGATAAGAATGCTTCCCTAGCCCCATCCACAGTTTAACTACAGTCACATGGACAAAAGTAAAAGAACGTTTTACTGCTGAGGGCCATATTGCCTTAGGATTAATCTGTCAGGGGCTGTATGTGGTCAGAGAGTCATGGAGGGCTGCACTTTGCCCCCTCGGGGTCCCCACCCCTGAACAATTTGCTGTAAAAAGCTATTCCAAGTATGCCAACCAAAGAGCAAATTACTAAGAGTTAATAACCACCCTGAGGGTATCAGTGCAATGCACTACAGCCACACGGAACAAGCAAGTCTAAAATTAAAGTGATGAAATTCAATACAAACCCTCATACCCTTTCTGCCAACTACTTTTCTGGTCATCTTGTCACGGCAGGAGGGTTCAGGTACACTGGGAAGGTTACACAGAATAGCTCAAGAACAACAAGCATCATGCAATGGGACAGGTAGCAAATCCACCAAGGTTCCTGCCTCCTCTAAGCAATTTTAGTTTTCCCCTCCCCTGCTTCTAATGAAAATCAACTGGTGGCATTTCTAAAGAAGGTGCCATTCAGAACTTCGAGGCTACGGGTGTCAGACTTCATTTGCTTCACTTGACAAAACTGTGCCCTGCCTGCAGCTCCAGTCTGAGAAAACCAGCAGCCCAGCTGATGGCTGGGAAGGAGGAGTGGTGCAACACATCTATCAAGCTAGGGAGGCAAACAGCCCGCCCGGCCCTCCAATGTTACTTTCACTTAAAATCAGCTTGCACTGGCATTTATCTGCACCAGCCGCTTTGTCTGCAATATACACTTCCCCACAGTGCGCTAGGAGGAGCCTACTAAGCAAAGGAAGACAGAAGTCAGGAAGAGGGTCTACAACATCAATATTACAAGATGCAATTTATAGGAGGGTGGGAGAAGTCCCCACGTAACCTAGCAACAAAAATTACAGCTCCCGTATAATTCCCACTGCCGAGGCAGCCTGCACAGCAGCAAAGCAGCCATCTTTGGTGTGTAACTTAGCGGGAGATTTCATCATTCCGCGCTGAAGTCACCTCCAGATGTTCGCGGTTCACAGCAGTCCCTGCCAGCGCAGCAACTTCACACCAAAACCTATTCTCCGCAGTGACACATTTCTCTTAGCCGAGCCCGGACAGCCTCCTAGACGGCTTTACCCTTTCCTTTCCTAATGCTACTGCAGCAAACAAGGTTCCTGGGGAGAATGGCCGCGTCTGTTCCCTTCCTAACTAACAACGTGGCCGTGGGAAATTATTAATTGTAAAAGCGCACACACCTTAACCCGGTCTATGAGGTCCATTTAACGCAAAATCAGGCAGCTGGAAGAAGGGAGAAAGCGATCAGTACCCAAACGAACGACTCTTTCTCTTATTTATTCTTTTTTAAAAAACCTAAACCAATACTTTTAGATCCATCTACTGGGAACGCACACATAACCGAGAGGGACATTTTGGGTTAGTCGCTGAGCTCACTGAATAGATGCACACGGTATACAGGAGGACAGGAAAAGTGGGATAGCTAAACGGGCATTGCAATGCCACATTGCATCAAGGGTGCCAACTTGAATAAAATATTGGGGGGCCCAGGTAAGCCCCGCCCCATCGCTCACAAGACACGGCGCACGCGTACCGTTGGAGTGGAAATGCCCATCAACGGGGGGGGGGGCACTCAAATATTTTATTGGGAGGCCGAAGGGACCTTGGCTCCTATGTATTGTATTTGGGGGGAGAGGCTACTGTTGTAGGCAGATGCACCCTGGGGGAAGAGGATGCCTCTAGCGCGCTCGAGAGACGGGCACCGGGGAGAAAGGGAGGCGTAGCTCTCCGTCATCTGCAGAGACGCAGCAGCTGCGGGGCGCCAAGCCGGCCTCCCTCCCCGCACCGGCTCCGGGGGATGGAGAGCGAGGAGGGTCACCCCCCCCCCCACTTCGGGGCTGCTGGCTGGGTGCAGCGCCGTCGAAAGAGCGCCTACCTCCCGAGCGGCCAGGGATGGGGAGAGAGAGGTGCTTCTGGTTGCTGCCCAGGGTTACTCACGGCGCCCGCTGCGCGCCCCGCTCCACGGCTGCCTCCCGCACGTCCGCACCGGCTCCAGTCCGATAGGCGCGCCAAAGCCCGCCGGAAGAAATTCAGGAGGCAGCGAGCGAGCGGCGGCGGCGGCGGCGGCTGCAGAGCGGGCCAAGCCGGGGTGGGAGGGGCGAGCAGCGTCCGGACCGCCCCCTCGGGAGGGAAGGGAAAGGAAAAGGAGGGCGCGTCAGGGGAGGAGGAGGAGAAGGGCGGCGAGGCGGCGGGCTGCCTTCGCTCGCTCCAGGCACCCGGGCCTGGCGCCGCGAGGGAGAGCCAAAAGGTGAAGCGTTGCCCGCCTCTGCGGTGCTCAGCATGTGGGGAGGAGGGGCGGAATGGACCCCGCAAGCCCCACCCCCCGACCGGAATTTTAGCTGAATCAGCCCCCCCTCCCGCTCCCGGCTTCTTAGAAAAATATGTGAGGGCAGCACTCTGCCCGGTGTGGGGTAGGGGATCGCCAGGCTTCTCCATGGCAGCTTGGGCCTCAACATGCCCCGCCCGCTTTCTCTTTCCTATTTAACGCGGACTTACCCTTCCAGCAGCAAATCATGGGATTGTGGAGTTGGAAGGGACCCTTAGGATCATCTAGCTCAACCCCCTGCAATTTCAGGAATATGCAGCTGTTCCATACGGGGATCGAACCTGCAACCTTGGCATTATCAGCGCCATGCTCGATAACGTCTAACCAGCTGAGCTATGCGCTGACAAATATGTTGCTAGTGTTTGAGATGTCTCCGTCATGGCTCGCTTTCAGATTAAATTCCGGTCGGGAAGTGCTCCTGTTTTCGTCCGGAAGCTGTTTCTGGCAAGGGCATCTTTTAAGTGTAAAAAGTTACAAATGACTACAATTGTAGTCATTTGTAACTTTTTTACACTTAAAAAAATAAACCAGAGTGTCTTCTGTTCACAGGGGATACGTAAGAAATCATTGAGCTGGTTTTCACAATCCTATTTGAGGCCAACGGAATGAATAGCTTCTTAGCAACATTGGGATTATTGGTTTCTTTGCTGAGAGCATTAAGTAGCCTGGAGATAGTCTGATGAAAACGACAAAGGGAAAGTCAGGACAAAAATGAGTATGTCACAGTCTTGCATAAGCTCATCTCTTCTTTTGTAACTAGTTGAAAAGGTGATGACCCTGTTAAAGCTAAACAAGTGTGTGCTGAGCTTGCAGGTTTCGGTTTAAATGCTGCTTAACTGCCGAATTTATAGTAAATCAGAAATCCAGTGCTGCTGACCTAAGCACCCTGGAATTACACTGAAGATTGCAATGGAATTTGCCTTTAAGTGTTAAGGCATAAGGCAATATACACATTCACTTAGCAGGCCTGTGGTTTGATATGTGTGTGAAAGCCCACATTTTCAGGGGTATCTGAGTAAGGAGATGCTGAATAAGAACTCTGGGATGCAGGCCTGCCGTTTGCATTTAGAACTACAGCCTCCCTGGCCATTGTAGCTAACATCCATTTCTTCAAGATGACTGACTCATGCATATAAGCCCTGGCATTTCAAATAAACTATCTGAAAACTCCATTAAGAACATAAGACAAGCCCTTCTGGCACAGGCCAAAGGCACAACATCTTGATTTCACAGTGACCAACCAGATGCCTATTGGAAGCCCACAAGCAGAGCTGGCACCATTCTCTTCACCTGTGATTCATAGCAACTGGTATTCAGAAGCATACTGTCTCTGGCATAACCACCCACGCTGAGTCTGTCAGCTATAGACTGAGCAATCTCCTTTTCCATTATTCTCTTACTTTCATCTCCTTGTTTAAATACAGTGGTGCCTCGCAAGACGAAATTAATTCGTTCCGCGAGTTTTTTCGTCTAGCGAATTTTTCGTCTTGCGAAGCACGAAATCCCATAGGAATGCATTGAAATTCAATTAATGCGTTCCTATGGTCAAAAAAAGTCCAAACAAAGCCAAATTTGGTACAACAAGAGTTTATTAAGTGCTCTTTAAAGTCACACATACTGTAAAGAGCATTTCAAAAACTGAAGGAACAATAAATTCAAAAATTGAAGGAACAATAAAAATCATAAAAATTCAGAAAAAAACCACACAAGCTTCCAGATTCTTGCAAACTCCTCCTCAACTGTTCCCCCAGCCACCCACCACACAGAAATTCAAATCCAGAATTTTTTTTAAAAAACAGCAGAGTGGCCCAATGGTCACAGAAAATCATAAAAATTCAGAAAAAAACCACACAAGCTCCCAGATTCTTGCAAACCCCTCCTCAACTGTTCCCCCAGCCACCCACCACACAGAAATTCAAATCCAGAATTTTTTTTTTAAAAAAACAACATGGCCCAATGGTCACAGAAAATCATAAAAATTCAAAAAGAAAATCACACAAGCTTCCAGATTCTTGCAAACCCCTCCTCAACTGTTCCCCCAGCCACCCACCACACAGAAATTCAAACCCAGAAATTTTTTTTTTAAAAAAACAGCAGAGTGGCCCAATGGTCACAAAAAATCATAACAATGCAGAAAAACACACACACAAGCTTCCAGATTCTTGCAAACCCCTCCCCAACACCAAGTCCTTGAATTCCAAACACCCCAACCCAAAATCCAAAACCCCCCCAAAAAGTTTTAAAAGTTTAACTTACCAAATGGCTGCAAAAGAAGTTTTGGAAAAGCTTCAAAAATCGCCAAAGTCTTCAAAAACCTCAAAAAGGCTACCACACCGCGTGCTATGAGTTGCTCCTCGAAGTCAAGTTGCAACTGCACCTCTTCAAGCAATGCACCTTGGGTTTTAATGGTTTTACGAAAAAGGAAACAAACTTGCAAGACGTTTTTGTCTTGTGAAGCAAGCCCATAGGGAAATTCGTCTTGCGAAGCAGCTCAAAAAACGCAAAACCCTTTCGTCTAGCGAGTTTTTCGTCTTGCGAGGCATTCGTCTTGCGGGGCACCACTGTAAGGGCTAACTGAGGCTGCCTTGCTGCCTGTGTGAACCTCATCTTAATTGACCCAGTAGGTCTCCCTGCCACTCATAGCCACCTAGATCAGGGTCAGCAGCCTTTTTAAGCTGTGGGCCGGTCCACCGTCCCTCAGACCATGTGGTGGGCCAGACTATATTTTGAAAAAAATAATAATGAGTGAATTCCTGTGCCCCACAAATAACCCAGAGATGCATTTTAAATAAAAGCACACATTCTACTCATGTAAAAACCACGCTGATTCCCGGACTGTCCGCAGGCCAGATTGGGAAGGCGATAGGGCCGCATCCGGCCCACGGGCCTTATGTTGCCTACCCCTGGCCTAGATTAAACATCCTAAATCTGAAATCTTGTACCCTGAGTCCAGTAGTGGATGGCATGGTGAAGGGCCACTGCTCACCTGACAGTGAGTTGTGGTGCTGCTGCTTACCAGGAGGGGGAGGTTGGTGGGGAGATTGGCATGGTACACACACCCTAACTGGAGCACCAAACTGGCTCTACCGGTTGCTGCACACCAGTCTTGCTGATTCCTCACCCCGTTACCTCCCAGTAAGCAGCAGCCACACAGCTGACCGGAGGTCAGGTGAGTGGCTGCACTCCACCATGCTGTTCCCTACTGGCCTATTCCTTTGCACCTCTAAACCATCTCAAGAGCCAGTATATAACCTGTTCAACAGTTTATTTTGATCTCAGACACAAATCATCAAATGAATATAATGAAACAGCAGCAATTTCCTTGTTTATTTTTCTGGTGTTGCTACAAGGTAGAGTGGATGGGGATGTTCGCCTTCCTTTCTAGGAGCATGGGATGAGGCAAAAGTTGGGAGATGGATTTACAACTGCTGCTGCTTGTAGTGGCTGTCAGAACCAGAGGCTACTACAGGTTCAAGGAGACTTCTCTGTATGCCCCCCACATGAAAGATGGTAACGTGACCATACACATGTTTTCTTACATAGTAATTGAGTGCATACAAGTCTAACCCAACAGCAGTATTAATAAAGCAAATATAAACCCACAGACCTTGTTTGCCTGCACCTACCTTTAAGAAGGGCTTTGTTCTTTAAAGCAAAGGAACAGCTCATTCTGAGCTGTTCAAATCAAGTTGGAAGGCAGGAGTGGAGAAACAAGGATCTACAATGGGAATCATTTGCCATGGAGAATTCAACCCAGCAATTGCCTGAACACCTTAAGAAATAAGATTGTTTACATACATTAATTTGAGATGAAATCCAATGAGCTGTCACAACTAGCAAGTTAGCTTACTAATGTTTCACACAATGAAATACAGTGGTACCTCGGGTTAAGTACTTAATTCGTTCCGGAGGTCCATTCTTAACCTGAAACACCACTTTAGCTAATGGGGCCTCCTGCCAGAGCCTGATTTCTGTTCTCATCCTGAAGCAAAGTTCTTAACCCGAGGTACTATTTTTGGGTTAGCGGAGTCTGTAACCTGAAGCGTATGTAGCCTGAAGTGTATGTAACCCGAGGTACCACTGTAGTTGCAGTGAACGGCAGCATATCACAAACGGTTTGTTCACAGTTACTAGATCTATCCTGTAAGTGGCACTACAGGACTAGGCTTTTACAGCAACTCAAAATGACAGATGAAAATTATTTTGCTTTTATTGAAAGCCTGTATCATATATATAGAATGTTACTAGGGAATTGGTTGAGTTTTCTGGTAATAAACTTTGGGGATACTTTGTTTCCTTTGTTTGCAGTCATGAAAGATTAGAAGTGGCACAATGCACTAATGGATTTCCCCCCAGTGAATAGCATTGCTAAATATTGTAGCTCAGTTCCACTTTGAGTTTAGCAGTTTGGATGTTCAGGCCAATATAAGTTTAGTTCCCATTCAGCATTTGAACTGATTCTGTTTTGGTTCATGTTACAAAATATATGTATGATTCATATTACAGTGTTGATTTCTATTTTTCTACTTTTATGGAGCTATTGTTTCTCTTAGCTATGTAATATAGATAACAAGAAAATAGATGAATAGTAAATGGGTATGTATATATTATAAATTGCATATATAAAACACTAGCAACCTTGTACATGGTGTTGTTTGGGATTTCTAAGACCAAAAAGTCAGTGCAGTTTTGAAATCAGTGGTAAAGATCAGTGTAGTTTTGAAAGGTTTGATCCACCATCTTGATTCAAAATGGAGTCCAATTGCACCCAAACATAGATGGATTCTTGCTCCTTGATTTCAGGAACCATAATGCAAAATTATTATTCTATTTATTTACTTATTTAGTTGCTTTTTTCAGAAAGGTGAACCCAAAGTGATTTACAAAAACAAAACAAATTTGCTTACAATCTGTTTTGAGGTGTCCAAATGCATATTAAATGGACGAACAGCTTTCCAAAATATGTAGTAGATGCAGGAAAATAATAAAAAGGAAGGTGCGCCTAAAAAATGGTTACTGAAGCACATATCACAAATCCCGCCTTATATGCTATGTCAGACCATTGGTTAGGATCTGAATCAATTTACAAGGAAAAGGATTTAGACTTAAGAAGTACTTCCTGACAGTATGAGGTGTTTGATTATGGAACACACTGCCTCAAAAGGTGGTGGTCTGCCCTATGTTAGAGGTTTTTAATCAGAAGCAGGATGGTCACATATCAGGTAGCCGTGGGTTTCCTGCCTTGTTAGGGGCTAGACCCTTGAGACCCCTTCCAACACTATGATTCTATTATGCCACTGTCTTCCATGAGGCTTACTTCTAGGTAAACTAAGGAGCCA